AATCGAGGGCTGAAGTAATGGGGGCTTGCGGACTGACTGACTAGCAGGCAGGCGGGCAGGTCCAGTAGAAGGCATCCAGACGTATGTGAACCTTGTCGAGGAATGACAAGAGGGAATATGGCAGCCTGCAGGCAAAAGCCTCAACGACCGTATCTTTTTGTAGGAGAGGGGATCGGGAGAGGCAGATGCGTCAGTCATTTCATGAGGTCCCCAAGCTCCCCTTCTCGACACAGGCCTTTGTCCTCTATGTCACGAGCCTCAGTACTCACCTGTTGAGCTCCCACTCTCGGTTGTCTAGTGGGCATACGTGACGAGTCTTTAGCCATCGTGAGATGCAGTGGAAGTGGAAGGCGTGCTGCAGTGGAGGTAGGCCATTGTGGATAGGTGGAGTGGGCGGGAGGAGATAGGTGAGTAATCTGACGTACAAAAGTGGGGGAGGCAAGGGAGGGAGACAGGGAGACAGGGAAGGAATGAGAGTTGAATTGTGTGGACTCACGTTGCATTGACCCCATGCGACGGTGCACTCCTCGCTAGTGGCGCTACCTTGATTGGCTTGACACTCGATGCCTATAGGTGTGATTGGAGATGCGGGAGTCTTCAGTCAATATGAGAACCTCACTGCAGTTCCATCGGAATCTCTGTCTACTCACATAAGTCCATGATGTGATTCCTGCAGATGGCGCACTGTCGAGTAGATTGGCCAGAGGGGTGAGGGGGATCACAGTGAGCTCATACCTGAGCGAGGGACTTTGCCACGATGATAGTCGGGGACATCTGGAAAGGTATACTCACATTGTCGACTACAATGTCCCAGCTCCAGAGACAGACTGCGTTCCACTACCGATGTGGGCAAGCAGGGAGGGAGAAGCAATAGAGGTGAGCATGCATTCACCTCTAGGGACTCATCATCGCCTCCACCACCACCGGCACGGCAGTGGAGACATCGACTCTGCTCCGCGAAACCACCCCTGCTCACCTTCTTTACTTGAAACCTCTGAGACTTGCTCGCCGGAGTATCTACGTCCATCTTTGTACCGGCCGAAGCGGCCGAGGCCGAGGCGGAAGTGGCCGTTGCTGGGTCAGCCATCCCTGCACTGGCTTGGCTTTTGAAAGAGTGTGGGATCAAGCCTGCTTCTACACTCTCTGCAAGGTGCGTCTTGATGCTTATGTGCTAACAGGGACGGGCGTACTCTTAGCTGTTGAGCTGAAGCGGCTAGGTAGGAGGCTGAGGACTCGAGGTTGTGCTGGTAAGGGTGAGTGGGTGGAATGAATGAGTACCGACTGAGTGGGTGGCCGATGCTTTCGTTGCGTTCAGACTCCGACGGAAAGAGAAGGACGCAGGTGCAGCAGTGATACTGACACCTTGGTACCACCAAGCATCCAAGGGGAGGAGACTCATCATCGTCCTTGCTCTCCAATCCTACCAGAACATCGTCTCGACCTCCTCCTCCTCAATCATGGCCAGCACGCCTACTCCAGCCCACCTCAGCAGCTCAAGCTCATCCGTCGACGCGCGATCAGCACCCAGCTCACCAAGACCCAAGTGAGCCTCATGCACCCTCGCCTCTTTCTCCTTCTCCCCTGAAAAGCTCTGACCCACTCCTCTTACCAATTTCTCCACGTACAGATTCGACCCCCAACCACTTCGGAAAACACTCAAGACTCTCTTGCCCTCAAGACTGCAGGCAGTGACATGGGACAAGGCAGATCGGGAGAGGATGAAGCGTCTCTCGCGGGGTGTGGCAGATGCAGTCAAGGGGAGAATGTTAGGTCAGTCGTTTATACCACACCAAACATCATTTGCAATCTCGAGGAACAGCTGTCTCATCCCTACTCTTTCATTATTCTCCTTCCCCCCCTCCTCGTTAACTCCCTTGCAGAAATCGCCCCAAGAGGATTCAAGTACATTGTGCAAGTCCAGCTCGTAGAGGATCTAGGCCAGGGAGGAAGGGCAGACTCGAGTTGTCACTGGGAAGAGGGAGACCTAGTCGTTGCCGAGACCTTGTGAGTCTGATGAAGACGAGGTAGCCGAATGGGGGTTTCTGCTCAAGGCTCACAACAGGAGGTAGCGCAGGAGAAGAGAGACTGACCAACTGGATCCCTTTACTAATCTCGCGCGGACTTCGACCTTCTCCTACCAGCTCTAACGTGAGTAGCATCGAGCGGCCTGTCTTGCACTGCACCACCTCTAGGGTAGTCTGCTCTGACAACCCTGATCTGCCTCCCGCTCCTCCTTTTCACCTGCAGGACTCGATCATTTGTACAGTGCTGGCCTACGCAATTAGGTCCTATTGATACCCATGACCCCATCGCTCCTCCAGTTGCGGACAAAGGATCAGCGACAGACTACCCGCAATGCAGGATTGCTGGCAAACCTTTGAACAGGTCTAAGTGGCTGGCTAGCTAGCTCGCTAGCTAGTAAGCAAGCAAGCTTGGGCCCCCCTTGGCACAAGACCTACAGGCGCCGGTCGCACCCACATCCAAATCGCACGCGCACACGAGTCGATTCAAGTGACAAGAGAAGATTGATACCCAATTTGCACAAAGACTACTCGTCAAGGCCATCGCCGTCGCCGTCGCATCTCATCGCAGCATTGTAAGCTATACAGAAAAAGGGGACAGGGCAAATAGAGCGCGCCGCTGTGATACTAGGTAGGGAAAGTTGCCCCAGGGGACAGGCCATCGATCGGCTCGGCTCGGCTTGGCTTGGGGGGAGCTCAAAATGAGTCGATCCTCTAGCCGGACCACTCGATGGTCTTGAGGTCCACGCCGTCCTGGAAGAGCTCCCATAGAGGACTAAGGAGAAGGGAGCAGGAGAAGGGAGAAGGAAAGTCAGCACAATGTCACTACAGGATAGATACCCCTAGAGAGTCGGAAGCACGCAATGCATGCAATCTCGACTGCTCCAGTGTTCAGCGCTCAAACCACTCAAACTCACCTCATCTCCCTGAGCTTGTTCACCACGGCAATGATCTTCTGACTGACATAGTCAATCTCCTCCTCTGTGGTGAATCGACCGATCCCGAATCTCAAACTCGAGTGAGCATTCTCATCGTCCAAACCCAGTGCCCTTAGCACGTAGGAAGGCTCCAGAGAGGCAGATGTGCATGCGGATCCAGAGGAGAGACATACGTCCTTGAGTGCCATTAGGAGGGATTCGCCTTCGACGTACTTGAAGGAGAGGTTGGTGCACCCTGGGTATCCCGAAGGGTCACCATTGATCAGCACTTCATCCACTTCGGCAAGAATATTGTCCTTGAGACGCTTCGCCAGTGCAGAGACGTGGGCGTGATCATAAGCGAGCTCCCTCTTTGCCAGTCTTGCCGCCTCTCCGAATCCAACGATCAATGCTGGTGCAAGCGTGCCGGACCTCAGACCTCGCTCTTGACCTCCTCCATTGATGATAGGTTCGAGCCTCACACGAGGTCTCCTGCGAACATAGATGGCTCCCATACCCTTTGGTCCGTAAAGCTTGTGCGACGAAAGACTCATCAGATCAATATTGAGCTTGTTGACATCCAGAGGAATCTTACCCGCCGCTTGTGCTCCATCGGTGTGGAAGAATGGCTTCCCACTCAGACCCTTGGATTTGGCCAGCTCTGCACCTTTTGTCTTGAGCAGCTGACCAATCTCCTCAATGGGCTGGATCACTCCAATCTCATTATTGACCGTCATGATCGAGACCACGGCCGTCTCGGGTCGAAGAGCATCCTCCACATCCTTTACGCTGACGAGACCGTTCTCGTTGACGGGCAAATAGGTGACTTCAAACCCTTCGTCCTGCAGCTTACGGCAAGAGTCCAGCACACACTTGTGCTCCGTTTGTGTAGTGATGACGTGGTTCTTCTTGCTACCATAGAAGTGGGCCACACCCTTCAAAGCCATATTGTTCGACTCGGTGGCGCCGGATGTGAAGATGATTTCTTTCGGATCTGCTCCGATGAGCTCCGCAATGTGCTCACGAGCCTTCTCGACTGCCTCTTCTGACTCCCAGCCAAGGGCATGTGTCTTGGAATGAGGGTTACCGAATTGGTTGGTGTAGAAGGGCATCATGGCATCTAGCACTCGAGGGTCGACTGGTGTGGTGGACTGGGCATCGAGGTAAATAGGACGCTTAGCATCTTGATGCTTGGGAGATGACTCCAGAATGTCAGCAACGAGACCTGATAAAGTGGCGCGAAGGATGGCAGAAGCAAGTCAGCAAGCAGCATGTTTCACACCTTCTCCGGGTATTCGCAATCACTCACCTCTGTGAGAGCCTGATCCCGAGCTCTTGCGCTGTGTGCTGCCCCTTCCTGCCCTAACAGTCGGCTGCACATCTACCGGTTGAGCCATCTGCTGAGGACGGCTCGGTGTTGCATATCCCCTCGAGGCGACGAGTGGCGCAGGTGCGACAGAACGTGACGAGGCTGCTGCAGCAGTAGCTGCGCTTCCAGCCAATCTCTTGGACGAGGAAGACGATGCGGCAGTAGATGCACCGCTGCGGGTGAGCGCCTGTCGTACTGATGGTGCAATCATGATCTTAATATCAGTGCTACAAAAGAGGGGTGACGATGGCGGTAAGAGACGGACGGACGAGGGGGTGGCCCTTTGATAAATCCTGACGTCCTCGCGCCGGGCGGGGCCTCATTGCTCAGCCTCGGCGATTGGAGAGTCACCACCGCGCGCAACTCGGCATCGGAAAGGGCAGTTGGGTTGCTTATCAATGGCACAGGCGCACTGCCTCCTTCTGATCTTACATTTGGGTGTGGGGGTGACGAGACCAATACAATCATTACGCGCCGCTGCTGATCCCTACGCCCTTGATCTGCTTACGGCTCTTGTCGTCCATCAGCTCTTCCCTCTTGAAAAAGTGCTTGGCCACCTCTAGCAGCCACTCAGATTTGATCTCCATGACCTGCCTCATGAAATTCTTCGACGTCTCCACTAGCTCAAAGTAGACGAGGTACCGCGGTGGTGGAATGTGTTGGTACAGACATGAACTAGGGTGGATATGCACCGTTTGATTCTGCTTGATCGCCCGATAGGAGTCGCCGCCTAGTCTCGCCGAGTTCATGAAGAAACCCGCGGTGATGGCCTTTTGGATCGGACTGATATCGCCGGGATTCTCATTCGACTCGGGGACCAATTCGACTCGCTCGCAGAGCTGAGCTAGCTGATCTCGAATGTCTCGCACTCGACCCAGCACCTTTGGCTGAACAAAGTTCTCCATACACCAGCTATGCGAGAAGCCATTCTCGACAAAGTCAGACCACACTTGTAGAAGTGTAAAGTGATCCCCACCAGGCCGGACAAAGGCCGCGCGAGCCTTGTCTGCGTGGAGCTTCTTGTCCTTGGGTCGGAAGAAGAGAGCAGAGCTTTCTGAGAGCATCGAGACGATTGACAAGACCTCGTCTGTGCAGCGGTAAGACTCGCTAGCCAAGACCGCTTTCGATAGCTGCGGGTCCATGGGAAACTCGGCCATCCTTCTGCCAAGCTTCGTCAACTCGCCCTTGTCGTTCAAGGCGCCCAGGGCGTAGAGGAGCTCGAATGACCTCATCAGAGTATCCGTCGGCGGCGGATCGAGAAAGTCAAAGTTCAGGATGTCGTTAATTCCGAGCGACTTGAGTAGCAGCACGACGTTTGACAAGTTCGTCCGCTGAATCTCAGGAGTCGTGTTAGCATCGAGCTCGTTCTGAAAGGCCCACTTCGTGAAGAGACGGAAGGCCTTGCCTGGACCAACCCGCCCAGCTCGACCAGCCCTCTGGTCGGCGGCGGCTCGGGAGCAGGGGACCACAGTCAGAGACGACATACCGGTCCTTGGGTTGTATGAGTTCTGCTTGACAAAGCCGGGGTCTATCACGTAGACGACACCCTCAATGGTGATAGAAGTCTCCGCAATGTTGGTAGCCAGGACGACTTTTCTTGCGGCCTTTGGCGTGGGCTCAAAAATTTTAGCTTGCATCTCGCTCGGCAGATTAGCATAGATCGGAGCGACGATGAGCTCAGGGACCGTCTTGCCGAGAGCGTATGCAGTCTCCTGTATACTCTCCATTGCACTGTCAATCTCGTCTTGACCAGTGAGAAAGACCAGGATGTCGCCACCGAGCGGTTGTGTAGTGTGGATCTGGAATACCGTAGTGATTGCTGCATGCAGATAGTTCGCCTCTGGTTGAGGGGTATAATGTATATCGACGGGGAAACGACGTCCGGGGACGTAAAAGATCGGGGCATTGTCGAAGAACTCGCTGAACTTCTCCGCGTCCAGCGTAGCGCTGGATATGATCAACTTGAGATCCGGCCGAAATCTAGCGATGTCCTTGACTAGACCAAAGAGGACATCCGTACTCAACGTCCTCTCGTGAGCTTCGTCGATCATCAAAGCTGAGTAGGCACCGAGATCTGGTTCAGTCAGAAATTCTCGCAGGAGCATTCCATCGGTCATGTACTTGACTACGGTATCCTCGGACGTGCAGTCCTCGAATCGAATGCTGTAGCCACACTCTCGACCGAGCCTGACGCCCATCTCCTCGGCCACTCGAGCTGCAACACTCATGGCCGCAACTCTTCGCGGCTGAGTACAGCCCACCTTCATTCCGCCCTTGGTGTAACCGTACTCGTGGAGGAATTGGGGCAGCTGGGTAGTCTTGCCCGAGCCAGTCTCTCCGACGACGATGAGAATCTGATGTTGCGCAATCGCATCCATCAAGTCTTCGCGCAGCTTATAGACGGGCAAGGTCTTCCTCGTCTCTTCAATGGAGTTGGCCTTTGCCTCGGAATCGGCTATCCGCTTCTGTAGCTCAATGTCTTCGGGCTTCATACTGCCGTTGAGCTTGTTGGCAGAGTCCATGACGAATTTGATGGTCTGCTCCTCATCAAATACGTAGTCGTACTCTCCAGCCTCGACGCCGGCTTCTCCTGTTGACATGCCAGACTTGTCAACCACTATCCGAGAGCGATCGATCTGCTCCTTCTCGAAGAGGTCCACATCTGTGATATGACTTGCTTGCGCGTTTCTCTCGGCCTTGGCATCATCATCTGTATAGAGTGTGGAGGGGAAACAGCGTCAGCAGGGGCGATGCGATGTCTCCCAATCTTCCACCTGAATCTGACTCACATCTCTTATAGAGCGCTGCCTCCTTCTTCCTAGAGCTCAGCTTCCCTTGCTCCGTAATGTAGTCTTCGGGCATCGCATAGCCATCGTCTCCATCCTGTATCCTCTCCCTTTCCTCGGCCAGACGCAAAACTTCCTTCTTGTAATCCAGCTCCCTTTGTTCTCTCTTCGAAAGCTTGACTCCCTTGAAGAAGCGTTCTTCTTCGGCTATCTCCAGTCTGAGCAGATCAATCTGCTGCTGCGACCGCTTGGCGAGGTACTCCTGACGCGAACGATCTCGCAAGTTGGGCATCGCAGCCTGCCGCGCCTTCTCATCCTCTGCCAGCAGACGTCGAGCGGCTGCCTCAGGATTCACTTTAGCATTCGAGTGATCCTCTACGAGCTTCTTCGTAGAGCTCTTGTCCTTCTCTCGCATCCTAGCAGCGAACTCGTCCCGCTCCTGTTGATCCCTCAGCCTCTCGCGCTCGAGCTTCTTCTCTTCGTCCTCTTCCGGCTCGGCCTCCCCATCGATCGCCAACTTCTTGTCTAGCGATCTGTCCAACGCCTCGTCTTTGAGTTTCTTTCTCTTCTTCTTTTCGGGCTTGATAGCCAAATGTTCCTCTCCAGCATCGTCAACTAGCAGCCCATACCGCTTTGATCCTGAGGCGCCTGAAGCATCTTGGGCTGCGCTTCCAACACCGGGAGCGGCAGCGCGGCTGGACCCAGCTTGCGCAGAGCTTGCGGAGATCTGGTTTTGCGGGAGCTTAGCCCAAAGCTGTCGTACGAAGCTATGCGCCTCGGGTGTATCGGGAAGATCGAGGGAGGTGAGGGAGTGGAAGAGGTCGGTGGCTGACTTTGCCTTGAGGGCAGAGGCCCAGACGAAGTCTACGATGACGCTATTGGACTGGCCATACAATCCAATGCAGTGGTCACCTATCCAGCGGCGCACCTCAGGAGAGGCTGAAGGAGCCATATGGTGGCCGCGAGGGATGAGTATGGCTGGCGATGTAGCGAGGTAAGAAGGATGTGGCTCAGAGGGTAGCCTGCTCAGACTGTACGGAAGGGAGCAATGGCACAGTCGGCCCACGGCAGACGCGGAGCGGAGACGACATTTGAGATTTTTGGCTCAGAGGAAAGAGGAAAGGAAGCACCACTGGCTCCCATCGAAGCTACCACAGCATCCTCATCTACTCCTACCCGACGCAGAGCTGCCAAGATGGGAGCAAAGCTCAAGAAGTTCAAGAAGCCTTCGTCGCATTCGGCTGCCTCATCTGCCAAGAAGGGCAATGGCAATGGACCAGTCGCCGGCAAGAGCCAGAAGAAGAAGCAAAGAGGCCCAAAGGCATATATTTCCGATGCAAGCGACCACCTCATGCAGAAGCATAAGAGCCTCCAAGATGGATCAGGTACTGAAGACAGTGATGGAGAAGAGGACCTGAGAGCAGCCATGGAGGCCGAGGATATGGCTGGCGCAGGGGCAGACTCGGAGTCTGAGCTGGAGGAGGGAGAAGATGACGAAGTGGTGCAGAGGAAGCCTAGTACGGACAAAGGCAAGGCCAAGGCTGTGGATAGTGGCGCACAGAACTTCCTCCTCAACCTTGACAAGAAGGCTATCAGTAGGTAAGTAGCAGAGCGACCCGATAAAAATCCAGCTAGACCTGTCAGCTCACGTCTCGCCTTCCATACCACGTATGCCCCCTTAGATCCCGAGCGGAAGAGGCGAGGCTCAAGAAGGCCGAGCGCAAGGCGCAAAGAGCCGACCAGAATGGCTCAGCCTCGCGAGACGACCGCAGACGGCAACCTTCACAAGACGACAGTGATGATGGGAGCACGGACATGGAGGGGGCGAGCGAATCGAGTGACGAAGACGATGGCTTTGCAGACCTCGCCTCTGATGATGACTTCGACTCCGAGGCTTCCTTCTCTGATGAGAGTAACGATGAGTCGAGCGACGGCGAAGACGGAGGTGATAAGGCTGAAAGGCTTCACGAGGAGAGGTTGAAGGCTAGGAGGAAGAGAGAGCAGGCCGAGGAGGCTCAAGAAGCGCAGACTTCAAAGCGGAAGAGGCTGCCTGTGCGAGGTACAGAGGGCAAATGGACAGATGACGACAGCGAGGGCGACAGCTCGGAAGGTTCAACTTCGGCGAAGCCGGAGAAGAAAAAGAAGAGCAGGGCAATCCATGCAGTGCAAGTCGCGGACGCTCCCTCATCGGAAGAGGAAGAGGATCTGGAAGAGCTGGAAGCTCAAAGGCGAGCTCAACAGCAGCCACTCTCGACGATCACCAGTGGAGCTCGGTTCGGTCTACAGGCCCCGTACTCGATCATGCTGCTCAAGCCTAGGAGCGCTCGAGTTGCTGCTGCCAGGGAGCAGATTGCCCGGCTCTCGACAGACATTGTAGGAGACCCGGAGGTCTCAATCGGTCTGCTTCGTCGGTTATCTGTGTTCGCCCAGAGCACAATCGCTCGACCGGAGCACGACTCTATGGCACGTGAAAAGGGCTTGCCTACTAAGATCGAGGTGGACGATGCCATTCGCGGAGCAGCACTGCTGTCTCTGACTGCCGTCTACGTAGATGTGCTGCCGGGCTACAGGATCAGGGCGCTGACAGAAAAAGAAAAGGAGGAGAAGGTCAATCAGGAGACGCAGAGGAGGCGAGATTACGAGCAGGGGCTTGTAGACGTCTATCGGACACATTTAGAGACTTGCGAGAAGGTTTTGAGAGGTGAGTTGCGGCTCGTCCAGTGAGGCTCAGCTAGGTGTCACGAGAGGCTGACCTCGTTTCAACTCATCTTCGGCCTCCACACAGACAAATCGCAAATCTCTTCGATCGCCTTGCGATCCATGAGCATTCTTCTGACACGAGCAACCCACTTCAACTATCGTACCAATCTCACTGGTGCCCTCGTCTCGCAGCTTTCTCGTCGGTCCTGGAGTGCCGACTCGCAGCTCTGCGCAGACAGCCTGATCGAAGTACTGAAGCGTGACCTTGGCGGGGAAGTGAGCCTGGAGGTAGTGCGCCTGCTGAACCGCATGATCAAGGAGCGACACTACAAGATCAACGCCAAGGTGCTGAACATCCTCCTCCACCTCCGACTCAAAGATGAGCTGGGCGGCAGACGCTCAGGAACCGTCTACGCCGACCGGGTCAAGAAGGATTCGGATGAAGCTGCGAACAAGAAGAAGTTCCAGTCGGGCAAGGGCAAGGCTAAGCCTCGCGATGTGAGAAAGGGCAAAGGGGAGCACTTGAGCAAGACTCAGGTGAAGAAGATGCGCGAGGTCAAAGAGGCCGAGAGAGACATGAAGGAGGCCGAGGCGGAGATTGACAAGGAGGAGAGAGACCGCAATCAGACGGAGACGCTCAAGCTCCTTTTTGTCCTCTACTTTTCCATCCTCAAGGCTTACGAGGCACCGGGGCCGCTACTTGGAGCTGCGCTAGAGGGTCTGGCTCGCTTTGCCCACCGCGTCAACGTCGACTTTTTCCGAGACTTATTGGCTGTGCTCCGCAAACACGTCGAGGAAGCGCGTGCCAATGCTTTGGCTCGCAATGTCGAACTTCTAGGCGGACTGGTCGATGATGGCGAAGAGGAAGAGGAGGGCGGCCAAGCAGCAGCGGCGCTACTGGCACAGGAGCCCGTGCAAGACGATCTGCGCAAGGCTCTCTTGTGTCTAGTGACTGCCTTTGAGCTTCTGAGCGGCCAGGGAGAAGCACTCAATATCGATCTCTCGGACATGGTGGGTCATCTCTACTCGGTGATGCTCCCACTCTGCTCTTCTCCCTCCATCGAGGAGGTCCCCATCGTCGTAGGCCAGTCCATCGCCCAAACCACAGGCAACAGCAGCAGTCCCAGTGCCAATTCCTCTCAGGGAAACACACATCTCCTCCGTACCGACGCAGACCTGCTTCTGCGCGCCGTAGACCTCTGCCTACTACGTCCACGGCTGAGCGAGCTCCCTTCGGAGCGCTCCGCAGCCTTTGTCAAGCGCATGCTCGTTTGCGCTCTGTACACTCCTGCCAATACAGCTCTACGTCTACTAGGCGTGGTACGCTCCATGATTGGTAAGGATCCCAAATTGGAGGCATTACTGGATACAGAGGATCGGGCAAAGAATGGACGGTATGATCCATTGGGAGAAGATGTTGAGGCGGCTAGACCCTTGGGTGCGGGAGAGGTGGCGTGGGAGCTGCATTTGCTTGCACAGAATGTTAATGAGGACGTGGCAGGGGCGGCGGCTGCGATCTTGGCGTGGCAGAGCTGAGGTATCTACTCAGTCAGTCAGTCAGTCAGTCAGTCAGTCAGTCAACCAGTTTCTATCTCAGCTTTGTCAGTAAGACGTGTGTATCACTTAGATCAGCAATATCATCAAGCCCTCGCCTATCACGCTATAGTCGTCATCTTCTTCCATTGTATTGACTGTCCGTATTCGCCATTGCCTACAACTCGTCCTTCTTTGGTACAGGTGGGCCATCGGACCGCAGAGGAGTCTCGTTGCCGGAGGGGTAGCAGACGGCAGGTGTACTGATCTTCATCGAGTAGATGCACTTTTCAGCCTGTAGTTGCGTGTGCGTGTGCGCGTAAGGGACATGATAGATAGGCGGTGAGTCAACATCTTGCAGATCTTCGTCTTCTCGATCGGAGACTCCTGACTAGTACTCACCTCAAAGACGTCCAGTACAGCATTCTCCATGGCGCACTGTACATCGACGATTGTGCTCCTCTCAGGTCCATTCCAGCACCTCTGTCCCCTCTGGTAGATTTGCCTCTTGAAAAACTCCTCCTTTCTATCTCCATCATGGGTGATACTCTCATCCAAGGGTTGGAATCGATCAAAGTTGCCCAATCGGACATTAGACCCACCCTTGTTGGGCTTCTGGGTAGTGTGGCCAAAGAAGCAATACTCGTACGTATACTCGCCCATGTTCTTCTCGATGCACTTGCCCTCGAGGGCTTTCCACTCCAGCTCGTTACCATACTTGGCAGGGTCTGCTTCCACTTGCTTGCGCTTCTGGTCGAGAGAGTTGTTGAGCTTGCGTAGGCTTTGAGAGGCTTCGTTCTTGGCTTGTCGAGCGGCAGTGACTGTGGCGGACTCGGTACCGCCGGCTGAGGACGACGACTTGCTGCGCTTAACGCCGGAGATGATGTTGGTCTTGAGGAGAATGTCCAAGAAGCTGTCGACGAAGGAGTCGATGTAGGGCACTAGCGGCTCAGGAAGGTACTCGTGCAGGCGGAAGACTGTGGAACCGGCAACGGGGCAAGGCTTGATCAGCATCAAAGCGCTATTCACAGGTTGGCCAAGGGAGTGCAATACTCACGGAGGCCTTCTTGATCAGCGACTGCACCCTTGGTCAAGTCATCTTCCATGAGCTCAAGCGTCTCCTTGGCAGCCATGTCCCTCAATTTGCTCCTCGGCCAGTCACCTTCCTCCATTAGCTTCTGCAGCTTGATGTTCTCCTCCATTGTTCCTGGCGAGCTCACTGCCTCGTCATTTTCGGCCTCATCTCCTTCATTCTCACTGTCTGCGACAGATTCAGGCTCATCTACCTCATCATCGTCCTCTGCGTCAAGTTCTCCACCTCTGCGCCAGGAGCGATAGGCCATGACTGCTCCCTTGACGGCCATGTCCTGATAGTTGGGATTGTAGCCAGAGGAGAGGTCGTCGAGTAGGTCCGTCAATTTCCTCAGCTCTTTTCTGAGCTCATTCTCTCGATCAAGGAGTGCGGAGATGCCATTCTGGTGCGATTTGAGAGTAGCATAGAGAGGACTCTTCTTCTTCTCTTCGATGATGGCCTCGCCCACAGATTCAGCTCTCGAAAGCTCTTCCTGCTTGCGAGCCTCATTCTCCTTGGCCACCTCGACCTCGACTTCAAGTGCAGTGATCTCAGCCTGAAGTGTCTCGATTTGCTTCTTTGCCTCGTAGATGTAGCCGGCCCTGATCTTTGAGCCGGCGCGCTTGATGTTTTCCTGCTGCTGCTTTTGCTTGCGGTACGCCTTACCAACCTGAGCGCACTTGTTCGGGCACTGAACCTTGCCGTCGTACTCGTCTGAGCCATCACAACACTCAGGGTCGCAGATTCCGTCATTGACTCTCCCGGAAAGAATGCGGGCAGGGATATGACCCTCGTTGGCGCAGTAGAAGGTAGCGTTCCTCTGTCCCCCTGCTGCTCCTACCACGCTTCCACTGCAGGCAGAGGTGCCGGGTTCGTCTGACCCATCGGGGCAGTCGCAGTAATCATCGTTGATTGCTGCAAAGGGTATGGATATTGAACCATCAAGACATTGCCATTGCGAAGGGTTGCTTTGAAGAGGCCGATACAAGGGTAGGTCTGGCAAGGAAAGGGAGATGTAGACATTGAAGGTGAGCGCTTGGACATCAATGACCGCACATCAATCGTCTTCTCCTTACCTTGGGGAGCCACTCCTTTCAGCTGAGCTTCGCTGCCTGCTTGAGCAATGGCGGACGAGCTCAGGAAGATAGCGACGGAGCAGAGGACGGTCAAGGAGCCTAGTAGACTCTTAGGCAACGGGGACGAAGTGCGCCTAGTAGAGGCCATAGTGCACGACTGTCTGGAAGAAGATGAGGTGACGAAGTGTCAATGTGCCCACGACAACGCAGTGGCCTTTGGCTGCCACGAGTCGAAGTCCTACGGCAAGATGTATGCTCTGCGGCGTTGATGGAGGAGGTGTACAAGGATGACGATGATGATGTAGCCCCTCGACGTTCTTCTCGTTGCCGCCAACTCATTCGCAGCGTCCGTGCACCTGTTCGCGTCGAGGATCGGAAGCTCCCTTGCCTCCGTTTCCGACGTTGGGTCTTCGTTGTCGTCGTCGGGAGAAGTCAATGCGCGGGGAGTCAGGCAGGTGATCGATCGAGATGGATGCTCAGTCGTTTGCGCGCGCAAAGTCGGCCCGGCGCGGGCGGTGAGTCACAGTGTCCTGGTCGGATGTGCCCGGGGCGGAGCAGGAGTGGCAGCTGGGCTTCCGGCCCGAGGCGGATGGGCACGCCACTGGCCGCTTGACTCGACAAGGGGCCGGGCGGGCGGCGAGAGTGGCGTGAGGCACAAAGGCAGGCAAGCAGACAGAGGCAGGCAGGCAGCCAGCCACAGCCAAGGCAGCAGCCACGACCCTGTCCGCATGACTCTATCGCCCAGCCTAGTCATACCCAAGGCCGCCGTCGCTGATCCTCACCTCCTACCAACCATACCCACTCGAAGGAGAGCAGCTTTGCAATTCACTTTCGCACAGCACGCAATCTCCCTCGACGACGGCTTGACTCACCACCGCAACGTCCATATCCTCATCATCACCACCCTCCGCCAAGACACCTGCCCACTCAGCCCACGCCACTGAGAGCGACCTGTGACGGCTTCGCCACCTCGCTGCTGCGATCCTAGTCATCCTGCACCATAGTCGTTGTATGCCATCATCGACTTCCTTGGCTTCTTGACTACTACACACTCTCGAACCACCGACACAACAAAGTTTGCCCAAGATGTTCTCCCACTATACCAACCTCGTCATCGCCATTCGTGAAGAGTAGGCTACTCGACCCCTCGCCTCCATCTATTCAACGCAAAGCGGTATACACACGTTCGATCGTCCCTCATTGTTGCTTCACTTTCCTCCCTTATCACACGCAAGGAAGAAAGTCAAACTTCAAATTAGGCCTGATCGACTGAGCGTTACTCTGCGTCAAGCTCCTTTTCAATCACCTCGTCCTCGTATCACTTTCGACACCACCTGCATCCGATCTAAGATTGACCGGATCCTTTCGCCACGCTCAAAGTCTATCAGCCTGGCGTCGCTTTCGGTCATCACCTTTGTCGCTGCCTAGGCGCGTCACCCGGTCTCCCACACCTCGTTGGTCTAGTCCTTAAAGGTCACCCGTTGTTCATTTGGACGTTCGCACACACAAACGAACGGCTCAAATTACTCTTCCGACGTTTCATTCGGATCATCGCAAGAGCTTCCACCAACCCCCATTGCAACTTCCATTTGGGTGTGATATTCTATCTCTGAAAAGAGCGCATCTCACAACCCACATACTTTGAGGCTGTACTTTACTCGTCAAGTTGTCACGCTACGTCGCGCCAAGGCTCTACCCCGCATTTCTGGTCAAGACATCTACCCGTCGGCAGGCTTTCCTCTTGTCGATAGCTGCATCTTGAACAAAGACTTGGTCACCAGACGTTCGTGTCAATCTGTAGTCTAAACATCCTCTCCAAAGGACATTGGGCTACCGAGACCTCTCGACGATTTCAGAAACTCCGTCCATCTAGGCGGACGACACAACCTCCAGTATGCCACCTACCATGGAATCGGAACGGCAATGGCTCGCGTCTGTTCCCGTCTTTCCGCTGAGCTCGGATGAGCTCGCCGGTGACGCCTTCTCCTATGGAGTTGGCAAGTCACCCGGTGGCGAAAAAATCCGAGCTCCGTACCTTCACCCATTCGCATCGAGCTCATCGTCACGCCTCAGTGGCAAGCGATCTCGAAGCAATTCGCCGCTATCGTTCAGCGATTCACCACCGTCCGACGATGGCGGATCGTCACAATGGTCGTCGTCATCCTCACAATCATCAACCCAAGCCACATCCACTCCCCCTTCCCCACCTTCATCTTCGCAGGAGTCTGACTCCGAGCGTGGCTGCCCTTCGCCCACCGCTGCAAAGCGCAAGGCGATTCGTTGCCGTCGACATGAGACTGCCTGTGCCGCCTCCGCTCGTCGACAAGGCGTCGAAGGTGCGACAGTGCCGCCACCTCAGCCATCCTCCTCCTCCTCATCTGCATCCTCCTCCTTCCCCCAGTCGGATGCGGAACTTTCGAGTCTAGACAACGCAGTCCAGGCTTTTGGCTTGGACAGTCACGAGAACACTCCCGAAAGGCCGGTGCTCTCTCAGATCGACCAGCCGCCATCCACCGTGTCAGGTCCCAACAGTATCAATGGATGCAGTAGCGCGGCCGAGGGAGGTGTGGGGAGGGCGGATGTGATCAAAGAGGCTATGGTCGATCATCTAGTCGGTGAGTACCTCCAATAGGTCGGGCACCCCTTTGCGTCTGCCTTCGCACAGAGTCGCCTTGCCAGGTACATGAGTGTCGAGTCTCACCCTTCTGCCCATTACTATGACGCTTCCTAGGTGTTGCTCTGCAAACCATCCATGCCCTGTGGTTCCAACCCCTCTCCCTTTCTGAGAGCAAGATCCCCTGCACAGCCGCTGGTGGTCTCACTCTTCACCTCTTCGTCCGCGAGACATTGCGACGCAGTCGCACCTCTTGTTCGACACTTCAAGCCGCCCTGCTCTACTGCTTGCGCTGTGGCCCTGCCATTCGCAAGCGACAAGCACTACTCATTGAAGAGTCAAACCAGCTCGGTGTCTCCCCCGCCGAGCTTGTCACCCGCGGCAGCTACCCCCTTCACCCCCTCCTGTGCTCGCGTCGCATCTTCCTCGCCTCGATCATGGTAGCGGCCAAGTTCCTTCAGGACAAGACGTTCTCTAACCGAGCATGGTCCAAGATCACTGGCCTGCCGGTAAAGGAGCTGGCCAATGTCGAGAGGGAGTTCCTCGCTGGCATTCAGTGGGATCTTAATGTCAAGGACGAAGAGTGGAAGGCTTGGACGGCTAGACTCGCGAGCGCCAAGGCGACGAGGACGTCTGTCCTCGGCCCCGGCAGCAGTCGTAGTGCCACGTCGGCAGGCATTGTCTCCTCTGAGGCGTCAGCTTCCGGCTCCTCCTCTCGTTCATCGACACCCACGCCCGCCGCCGCACACCTGACACCCAAGCTGGGACGTAGCCTCCTCGCCCGAAGTCACTCCAATGATGTTGCTGGCCTGCACGCACACGACTCCTTCGCTGCAGCCAGCGCGCCACCAGCCATCGCTGTCGCTCTCGCCCACCCGCTGTCACAGTGCGTCGATGCGAGTGAGAGCCAGCATGGTCCACCTCTGGGCGCGTCAATCGCTTCCTCCCCTTGCACCTATCAGGATGAGGAGCCAACGCCCACACCGGTGAATGCGCAGGTGCAGCCGAAATCGACCGTGACCGCGACCGCGAATGCGACCTCGGCAGCTGCTGCGATGACTTCTGCGATGACCAGGAGCGGTGGGCCTCCGGCACCCTACCCCATGCACAGGAGCTTTGTGCGCAACGCGGCTAGCTTCAGTGCTAGGCCTGCAGTGGCGCAGTAACCCTGGGCTTTGTTCCTGTCGTCACTTTGGTCGCACTTTCCCCCTCCCTCCTTGTCGCGTTTCCCCTCTGTAGAACACCCTCCTCCTTCCACCTCTCCCCTCGATTGTTCTTTGTCGCACTCAGCGAATGTACTTGTCCCCCTTTTCTCAATATCCGACTTTGTCCTCCTCTCCCTCCTCCTCCTCCTCCTCATCCTTGCGACTACCGCGCGACACCTCTTTCACTTCATCCCACCACTTCTCTTCCCTCTTCCCTCTCCTTCTCTTTCTCACCTCGGTGCTCCCTATTCGCTGCCCGCTTTTCCTCCTTTTCTTTTGTCGAGACCTTTCCTACCTACTTGTAATACCATCACACTGACACTTTTTGCCCCGTGTGTGGACGCAACAGACGTGGGGCAGGAGTCTGATGTGTGTGTGGTACGTTGTATTTGCGCTTGTGAGAAAGAGGGAGGGATCGGTAGAGATTCCTACGACTCAAAGACTGTACGGTGACAAGGGACCGAACGAGGTAGGTAGGCCTATCTACAGTACTCTGTATTGATTGACCCCCTCTTTCCCTACCTCGGGCAGCAGTACTGTATTTTTCAACCAGGCGCGAAGTACCAGTCTTCATCTCTGCCCTCTGCCCTCACGCCCTCACCTCTGACCTCTCACCTCTCACTCCTCTCCCTCTCCCTGTACCACTCCCTCACTCCCTACGTCCTCAATTTCGCCCGCATTCGCTAACGCGCTAGCCCTGCGAGTCATTCTAGCGCTCCCCGATCCCGCTCCCGATCCCGATCCTGAAGCAGAAGCAGAGGCAGAGGAATTGCCCAATGTAGCCACGTCCGTTTCTCCCGAATGTGTCCTACCCCTTCCACCTCCCACCTCGCTGGCGCTGGCGCTCCCACTCCCACTGCCACTAGCACGCTGCTGCGACGACCTCCTCCGTGTCTGATGGTGCGAGGTGCCGATGCTCACTCCCCGCGTGGGGGAAGGGGTGGAGGGACCGCGCGAGGAGCGACGGCGCGTTGTGCGGGTCGCTGATGCTGGACCGGACGCAGAGGAAAGACCGGATGCAGAGGCGGAGATAGGGCTAGTGGCAGGCGCAGGAGCCATGGTAGTGGAGATGGAGATCGGGGAGAGACGAGAGGAAATGCTGCTACTGCCGGTTGCGGTTGCGGTTGCGGTTGCGGTTGCGCCTGTGGATGCGGCTTCGCCGCCTGGAGGCGATAGAGTCCCCGCGAAGCCGTCTGTGCTCCTGCTTGCAGTGGTCCCGTCCTGCGCGTCGATGTTGGCATTGGCATTGGCGTTGACAGACGCAGGGCCGAGAGCGGCAGCTTCTGCGTGACGGGTACTCTTGGGGCTTGTCCGTGGGCTGAGAGGAGAGGAGCGCGAGGAGTGACGACGAAGCTGGGCCGGAGGTGCGGGGACGGGGACAGGTACGTCCCCGTCGGCACTTTGAGTTACAGGAGTATTGAGGCCGGTCGAGGCCGCTGAAATTGCTGCTCGCCCGTCTTGATCGTCAGTGTCCACCTCCATCATGCTCGAGGCTGGCTTCGTACTGGGCTTGTTGCTCGACTCATCGCCAAGACCGGCTGCAGTAGCCTGCTGAGCGTCCTCAGCACTCTTACCCTCCTCGGGCCCGTCAATCGTCTCCCACGCCCACTGCAGGAGTAGCTCTGCCGCCCTCCTCAAGTCTGCCTCTTGTGCCAGGGCTGCTCCCACTGCACTCTTCAGGTCTTTGGGGAAGTCTATTCGACCTCTCTGACCCGCTCCCGCTCCATCTGCTCTCGGAGCAGCGCCGCCCATTAGGGCAAGAGTGTCAGTCAGTCCTCCACTGACGCCATATCCGTCCTTGCAGCCAGCGTCGCGGTGTATATAGCACGAAAGACCGAAGAAACGTCCGGTCCCAGGGTCAGAGATGCGCGCCGAGAGGCACACAGCAAATCGAGGTACTTCTGAGGCTGATGCGGTTGCGTTGCTTCTTGCTGTCGTGACGTCTGTCAGATTGACGTCGAAGACAGTCGCCGCTGCTCTTTCTACGGTGAGTGAGCGACTGATTGAGCCGAGTCTCGCAGAGTCCTTCTCTGGAGCATCGACAGTGGGGATGAGACCTTGCATCAATCTCTGGACAGCGCTTGCTTCCTGCAGGACTTCAATGACCAAGTATAGTTGCTGCAAGGTCTGGAAAGGGATCGATGAGACAAGCAAGGCATTGTCCTCTGCAGTACTCTTGGTGCGCTTGGATTGATATCTTACTCGGACGCCTGCGATCTTCTTGGACTTGCGACTGCTGCCCAGGCCGAGAATGGATCCGTAGTCGCTGCTCCTATTCTCGCCCTGGGCCACAGGGTCAGTCGAATGTAGTGACGACGTCTCGCTTGTGGGCAGGCCGACGATGTTGGCCACGCGAGTGACCAGACGTCGCGGCAAGAGCACCGACGGGCTGAGCTTGGCGACGAAGCCGATATCGCTCCCCACTTCGGGAATGGAAGCAAAGAGGGCCTTTGGAACAAAGCTGTTGCCAAGATCAGTGGTGCCGGCTGAGAGGCTCAGGCTCTGCGATTCAATGGCCACATCAAGGAGGAACAGCTCACTGTCGCAGGGTTGTCCGTCGATCGGAACGAGACCTCTGCGTTCAGCCAGATGTGTCATACTGGCGCTGCTGCCTCCCTTGATATCGTAGACGATGCAAAAGCCTACGAGACCAGTATGGAGTAAGGGCATACCGTGGCCGACGCGCGCTGCATCACGAGGTTCTTCGCTGAGCGATACGTTTCCCCTGCATTCACTACTGCTGGCGTCCTCGAGGCTCTTCGCAACCTGATGTAGAGCAGCAAAGGTATCGCACGGAAGGATCGCGGCAGGGCCCTGCTGATCGCCTTGCTCGCTTGTCTTGACTGAACTGAGACGATCCAGTCTCAAAAGTCGCAGAAGATTCGTGCGATACCGGTTGAAGTGGGACCTGGCCAAGAGTAGGCTCGCCTCCTCCAAAGACGTCTCCATCGTTCCAACAACCTCTTCCCCGTCTATCGCAAGACCAAACAGTAACCTCGCCAGCATTTCTACATCTCTTCGTAATAGTTCAGCTATGCGAGTGTTACCGTACACAGCCTCTTCTCCTTCTTTGAGGGGGGATGTGTAGCTGACATTTGTCCGGTTTGTAAAAGACAGCTTGACTCTGGTAGTAGGCTGAAAGGTAGCTTCCGAATTCCCAATCGACGCCTCTAGGCCGAGCTCTACATCTAGAACGATGAGCTTACCTCCCTGCGTCAGAGTATGGGTATGCAACGACGAAGTCTCCTTGGGATCGTCAGCGGCGGTAGAGTCGGCGAATGCTTCTGCAAAGGTTTCCAGACCCAATGCTCGAGCGAGCTCTTCCAGAGCAGCGGCCAGGCAGCCCAGGACTTTGACGGCCTCGCCTCGAGAGCGAGAGGGCGCAGGAGATGTACTTGGACTTGCTGCCTGGCGCTTCCTCTTCAGACCTATCACTGAGGTACTTTCCGAGCTCGCAAGAGCTCCGGCATGTAAGACCGCAGGAAGCGGCCTTGTCGAGGCACCGTAGAGCGCATCTTCCCCTATCCTTCCTCCGCCTAGTCGCTTCTCAAATTCCCATAGCGGCTGCAGATTTGACTCTAGCTGGGCAACGTTTTGTGCCTTCTCCTTGTTGAGAGAGATGTATCGATCAAAGGTATAAGAGGAAGAAGGATCTACCAGGTTGGCGTTACGCAAGTCTACTGCCTTCTTGCGCCAGGCATGGGCAGCTTGGCGTACGCCTTCGACCTTGTCCGCGAAGTCGCTCCTGCTGAGTGACGCCGTGCCGAAAGGGGTTGAAGAAGATAGGCCCGGCGCCGGAGCCAGAGCCTGGACAGTACGGTGATCTAGGAGGTGCAGGGTCTCGGGCCTGGCTACGTCACGGAGTTCGCCAAAGGTCCGCCGAAGCTGGAGCAGCTGGGAGTAGATTGATGGACGATGCTGGTGGTGAGATGCGGACGTCGAGGCTGCCTGAGCCTGCGTCTCTGTCTCATCCATGACGAGGCTCGAAGCAACGATGGACGAGTGAAGGAAGCAGTTGGTGGTGGAGCCGAAGGGAAGCCGAAGGACGTGCGTGAGGGGTGTGTGTCTCTCTTTCCGCTCCAGGCGCGCGAGGCGGAGTGAGTCGAGTGGGCCAAGCAGGCCAAGCCACAACGGCAGATCTTCTTCATTGACTCGCTACCGGGTCCTCACTCTCTACTCCCGTCTGGTACCTTCACGCCGTACCTTCTCTTCTCATAAAGATGCAATACCTCAGCACCCGTGGTGGACCCGAGAGGCTGTCCTTCGAGGAGGTGAATTACTTGGTTGCTTTCGACAGGGCGATGTCCAACATTTGGCTGACGCTTCACGCCCGCCTCTCGTCTCCCCTCCTTTCTTCCTCAGGCAGTCCTGCGGGGTCTAGCTCCTAATGGTGGCCTCTATATTCCCTCGACTATGCCTACTCTGCCCTCCAACTGGGCATCGGAGTGGGCATCTCTCTCTTTTCCCGAGATCTCTCACAAGGTCTTGTCCCTCTTCATCCCCTCCGATGCTGCGAACGGCGGTATCCCCTCATCGGAGCTGCAGACGCTCATCAACAAGTCCTACTCGACCTTCAGGCATGACTTGACAACGCCTCTGCAAAAGACTCGACAGGGCGAGTACATCCTCGAGCTATGGCATGGTCCTACTTTTGCTTTCAAGGACGTCGCTCTGCAGTTCCTGGGCAACCTCTTCGAGTACTTTCTCGCAAGGCGTAATGCCTCACTCCCTGCAGATGCAAAGGAGCGTCACCGCCTGACTGTTCTGGGAGCTACCTCGGGAGACACAGGATCAGCTGCCATTGCTGGTCTGAGGAGCAAGAAGGATGTGGAGATCTTCATCCTGCACCCCAAGGGGAGGGTCAGCCCCATTCAAGAGGCTCAGATGACGACTGTGCTAGACAAGAATGTGCACAACTTGGCGGTGGAGGGAAGCTTCGACGACTGCCAGGTGAGTACGAGATGAAGCCGACACACGGAGGCCGCCGCTCACTCGGCTTTGCCGCTCTATCTTGCCTCATGACAGGACATTGTGAAAGCTCTCTTCTCGGAACCCGAATTCAACGCCAAGCACCACCTTGGAGCCATCAATTCGATCAACTTTGCCCGCATCTTGGCTCAGATCGTCTACTACTTCTCTGCCTACTTCCAACTCTGCAAGTCCCTATCAGTGGAACCCACCTCGCCCGACGCAGCCAATGTGCAATTCGTTGTGCCGACGGGCAACTTTGGCGATATCCTGGCAGGCTACTATGCCAAGCGACTCGGTCTGCCGATCAAGGGCGGTCTGGTTGTAGCCACCAATGAGAACGACATCCTGGAACGTTTCTGGTCGTCGGGTCGGTACGAGAAGGCTTCGTCGGAAGGTCAAGACGTGGAAGTGGATGTTCAGACAGCCCCCGCTGCTGGCTCATCCGATGGAGCTCAGGCCCAATCGCAAGCACTGGCTCAAACAGTGGGAGGTGTCAAGCAGACTCTTTCTCCGGCCATGGACATTCTGGTGTCCTCCAACTTTGAGCGACTGCTGTGGTACATTGCCTATGAGACGTCGGGCAGCGATCAGAGTAAAGCAGGAGAGCAGGTCAAGCAGTGGATGGACGAGCTCAAGTCCAAGGGCAAGATGGAGGTCAGCCCCGAGCAGCTCAAGGTTGCCCAGAGGGACTTCCAGGCAAAGAGGGTCAGCGACGAGCAGATTCGGGAGACGATCCTGAGGTACTTTGCTCCTTCGTCTTCGGCTGGACGCTCCTCGTACCTGCTTGATCCTCACACTGCTGTTGGTGTGCAGGCTGCCAACTGGCTCAATGAGGCGTCGTCATCGTCGTCATCGAAGCCCAACCAAGTTGTGCTAGCGACTGCCCACCCAGCCAAGTTTGCCGAAGCCGTGACCTCTTCGCTCTCTTCGTCCGGCGTGTCCTTTGACTTTGAGAAGGACGTGCTGCCGGTGGAGATGCGCGGTCTGCTGGAGAAGGAGAGGAGGGTGGAGGACGTCAAGGTGGCAGACGGAGGAGATGCGTCGGGAAGCGAAGAGGAGAGGCTGCAGTGTCTGATCCGTGCCACTGCCAAGGTTCTGGACAGGGAAGCAGAGAAGCAAGGCGTGGTGAGCGGGAGTGCTGGAAAGGGGACAGAGAGCATCTGAGCAAGGTTTGAGAGGGTCTGAGCGGTGATACTCGACATAGATTTTGTAGGAGTAGCGCAGCGGGTAATAGATAGTAGAGCAGCTACAGTACCTAGAGCCTTGCTGGCCTGACGTGCGATGCGCCCTTGTTCTCGTCTGGGTGCAAGCCTTGTTCTACTTTGCGGGGTAAGATGAGGGGATCATGCGCGCCGCGAGGCTGGAGCGAGGGGCCAGTTTTGCGCGCCTCGGTCAGACAGAGAGCTTTACGGAACCAGGGCCTCTGTCGCCGTGCCCGCACGCCTGCCTTGTTATTTGGCTCCGTCCCCTGCCGGCGCTGCCTGTTCACCTATACACCCCCCTTTGACGCTCACCCTCTTCTTGCCCTTCGTCCCCTATCCCCTCTTCCCCTCCCAAACCACCCATTCGCCCCGAGTTCCATTGCTTCCGTCCCACTCTACAACTTCATTTGATTTCCTGTTCTTCTTTTCCTTTGCACCAACGCCCTTTTTGTTCCCGTACGACCCCGCCGCTTGGCACAACCCACCCCGCGATCCATCCGCGCCGCCCGTCGATTTCAAGCGACCGCCACCCTACCACCTACACCTACACCACACTGTCAGTCCAAGCCAACGCTTGCTCAAGCCCTCGAGACTCCCTGAAAAGAATATAAAGACACACCCACACACTTCGTAAGCTTCGTCACCGTCGACCGGCACGACTTACCCAACCACAGTACCCACGGAGTACATACAAAAACACAAATAGAACCAGGACAGGACTTCCTCTTTCTCGTACCCTCCTCCCTCGCCCACCAGCGAGATCACCATCGATCCCGGCTCCCTTCTCCCACGCTTTCACATTAGCCGCCCCTCGGGACTCCTACGATTCCAAGACGTAGACGCTGAGCCAAGATCGCACACAGCCCCCGCTTGCTAGCACAAAAGCACACACCCTGCTCAAGCCTTTGCTATTGCCCCGTCGATTGCGACCGAGCAACCCGGCACTGCCCAATAGCACTCTTCCGCCCGGCACGTACAAAGCGTCCGATTGCTACAAGTAGACGGACAAGTCTCGATCGACCCCTCTTTCCCACCTATACGACTCCTCTAGGCATTCACTAGACCTTCGATCGATCATCATCGTCTCGCAAGGCTCCGACATACACAAAACCGACTCTTCTTCTACTGTCACTCTTGCTTCGTCCAACTCCATCGACTTTACGACTCTTCCTTCTAGAACTCGACTGAGCCTACCTACAAGACCCTTCTTTGCCCAGCCCTTCATCAGTCACCTAGATCGACTTCGCGCTTCTCGGCCCTTTGCAAACAACAACTTACTTAATACCCGTCCATCAGCATTACACCTTACGTTTCCAAGATGAGCACCGAATCTCAACCTCGATCCAATGGCCAGGCCTCCGCCCGAGCCAACCTCCTCGCCGGCCTTCGTGGTAGCCGTCAGACTCGATCTGGCTCCCCAGCTCAGCAGGAGCAGCCCAATGCCGCAACACTCTCCCCTTCTTCAGCCGCTCGACTCAAGGCCAATGCGCCCGTCTTCACACCCGGAGTTTCAGGGGGGGTGAGGCAGGTTACCACGCCGCCCACAGCTAACGACGACGCCCAGGATTACATGGGCGCACTCGAAGCTCAGCTTGCGGCCCTTCAGATGTCGGCTATGCAGAGCACCCCGACCATCGCCGCCTCTTACGGTGCCACGCAAGGCCAGCCTCAGCAAAGGCAGGCTGGACCATCAGCTCACCAAAAGTACCTTGCCAACGAGGAAGCTGTTGCTCAATTCCTTCTCCAGCGACAGCAGCAGCAGCAACAGCAGCAGCTCCAGGCTCAGCTGGCTCATGAACAGCACTTGGAGCAACTTCGTGCTCAAGCAGCCATCGCTCAAGCAGGCCAGCAGCAGAACGTTGCACACCAGCAACGAGCCCTCTTTGCCCAGATTCAGCAAGAGTACGAACAGCAGATGCGATTCAAGGCTGCCCTCGAAGCTCAGCAGGAGAGGGAGCAGCAAATGGCCGCTCAAGAGCAACGTCAAGCAGCCCAAGCCTCGCTCCAAGCAAGCACTCGCAATCGACAGGTGCAGAAGCTTTACGCTCAGCTCCTCGAGGAGGATGAAGCAGGCCGTTTGGACCCTCGCGTGCTCGCTGGCAGAGATCTCTACCAGGTCGCCCTAGACGCTGTCACCGAGCAGCATCAACAGGCTCAGCTCGTAGCTGCCACTCAAGAGCAGATTCGCCAGCTGCAGTTCCAGCAGTATGCCCTGCACCTGCAGCAACTCCAGCAGCACCAAGCCAATGCCCACTCTGAGGCCGAGAGGATGTACCGCTCAAGCTCGCTCTCCCCCTCCCAGCAACGACAAGGCGCTGCAGCGCCAGGACAGGGACAACAGAGGGAGAGGCTGCCAAGCTCGGCCGACCAGGCCGTCAATTGGCGACGGCGCCCGGCCGCGTCTCCTAGGGACGAGCAGCTGCCTACCGTAGGCGTCACCCTCGGAGACGATTCTGTCGATTCGGCTCCCAATGAGAGCAGCCCTCGTAGCTCGCGTAGCTTCAACTCCAACAGGGACAGTGCCGACGACACACCTCAGACTTCAGAAGAGGACATCGATGTACGAGCTACCTCTGCTCCCTCGACCAAGGCCAGCGTCTCGAGCCTCAAAGCGAGGGTCAATGCCTCTCCTTCGCCTTCTGCCTCTCTCAGCCCTGCCAACGGCAGGAGCCCACAACCTTCCTTTGCCCGCGGCACCGGTCTCGGTTTTAAGGCCTCCTCCGCCTCCATCTCGGGGCCATCCCGCCCTCGCTCAGCCGAGAACAGGGACGATTCGGGCTTCGTCGGCAGCAACAGCTTCTCCGGAGCAACTACGATCCACCCTGCCTCGCGCCAGCCAAGAGGTCCCCCGACGGACTTTGTTGGCACCAACTTTGCTGCGAGGATGAATGCTCGCACTAGGAAGCAGGCGCTGAGCAAGTTGAGGGAGATGGGGAGTGGTGGGAACAGAGCTGGTGCTGCCGCTGGTGCTCAGGCTTCGGGCGCTACTGCTGCTACTCCTGCTCCTACTGCTGAGGCAGTGGACTGCTCCTAAGGTCAATCTTCCGAGCAGAGGCAGCCCAGCCCAGCCAGACGGATACTCGATGTATGTACTTTACTCTTTATGCCCCCCTCCTTCCGGCGTGGTGAGAGCCTGCCTCAGCTCTTTCACCTGCCCCTCACCCCTCTATTCTTGCTCTCCCCCTCTCTCTTTCATGCTTGCTTACTTGCTTTCCTTCGCAGTCGCAGGGCTTTGACAGCCCCTCCCCTACTTTTACTCATATATGAGCGCCCCGCCCGACCAATGAGTTGGCCTACCTCTTTGTTGCATCCTTCTTCTTTTTGTCTTCTTCTTCTTCTTCCTCCTCTTTGTTTTTTGTTCTTCTTTCAGCATATAACCTAACTCAACTCCATCTTTGAAAATCTCAACGTCTAACTTCTAACGTGTAACGTCTTTTGCTTTCGCTTCTTTTCCCCACTCATTCATTCACTCACTCACTCACTCAATCCCACGGTGCGAGCCGTATGCATTCTGCGTGTTAAGCTGCTTCGCGTTGTGTTGCGTTGCTCTACAATGCTACAGTTACTGCCTGATATGATATTTCCAAGATCCGAGAGTGAAGAGACGAAGAGTGAAGAGTGAAGAGGCGCTAGTCGTCTGGCGTGAGTTGCGCTTGACTGCCTGTAGGCGCAAGGTCGTCGCCAGGTCGTCGCAGTGGGTGTAGCTGCAAGCGGACGGACGGGCGGAGGTGGTGATGTGGAAGGCAGGCGCAGGCGCAGGCACAGGCTCGCCCGTCCGCACGCACGCACGCACGCTGCCCGAATGCCGTGGAAAGAGGCAAGAGGGCAGTGGGGGCGGAGAGGGGCGAGGGAGCGAGGGGACATTGCATTGTGTTTGTCTAGTTGGTCTCCTTTATCACGCTTCAGACTCTGGAGATCTTACTATACAGTGCTACAGCACAGCGACTAACCACCGCACGAGCTTGCGTACAGCCTCACCCCGCTTGTTCACTCCTTGAGGGCCGACGTTCGAACAGTTCGTCCCCTGGGGATCGCAACGCCCATCATGCGCTCCTCTCGCCTCTTCACTCTCCTGGCCCTCTCCTTTACTTTATACCTGCTGCTATCCACATCCACTACCCTCATAGCCGCTCAAGATGCCAGCAGCGGCTCAGCCAGTGGCAGCGGCGGTAGTAGCTCAAGCTCCACTGCCAGCAGCGGTAGCGGTAAGACGGCCTCTGAGCTCCTCAAGGAGGGTACCCTCTCCATGTCCACTGGCCGGTTCCACAACGCCATCCAGTCCTTTGACGAGGCTATTCTCCTAGATCCCACTGCCTACCTCAGCTACTACCGTCGAGCCACTGCTGCCCTCTCCCTCGGTCGTACCTCGGCAGCACTGGCCGATCTGGATCAACTCCTTGTACTAAAACCCGAGTTTGCACAGGCTCACTTTGATCGGGCGAATGTACTTATGAAGGAGGGAGAGCTAGATCGCGCCAGTGAAGCTATTCAGGCATTCCTCAAGCTCAAGGGAGCAAAAGATGAAAAGGGTCTAGCGCTGAAGCTCAAGATTGATAGTGGAATCTTTGCGCTGGGACGCTTGAAGAGTGGATGGGAGGCAGTGATTGAAAAGGGGGTCAAGATGGGAAAGGATGTGAAAGCGGACAAGGGACTCAAGACCAAGGCGGAGGAGTGTGTAGCTGCAGCTACTGCTGTGCTAGAGGGTAGTCCTAATCATTTGGAGGCGAGGAGCAGGAGAGGAGAGTGTAGACTTGCGCTGGGAGAGCTAGATGATGCGATTAGTGACTGGAGGTAAGTAGTGGTGGCGAGAGGATGAGGACGGAGCAGTCCTAGCTGCGATGGCTGACGTTCCTTGCAACCCTTTTTACAGCGGTATTGTCCACCTCTCTCCCTCCATCGACCTTCTGCTCCGCCTCTCATCTCTCAAGTACTACATTCTAGGTGACTCGCCCGCCGCAAGAGAGGCTGGGTTGTCCCACCTCAAGGCCTGTCTTACCTCGGATCCAGACAACAAGGTCTGTGCCAAAGCGCACAGGAAGATGAGGACGGTGGAAAAGGCTCTGAAGAAGGCAGAGAAGTTTGCAGAGGGGGGAACATGGAGACCGGTCTTGTCTGCTCTCAAGGGGGCCAAAGTCGGAGGTCCGACGATCATCGATGAGGTGACGGCGGCGATTAAGAGCGACATGCAGCCAGCACGGCACGATGGGCAAGAAGACGGTGCAGCGCCAAAGGAAGCGCTCATTCCTCCGAGTATCTCAGATGCCGTAGAGAGGAGTGGTCTGCTGCATTACCTTCGGAAATTGCACTGCCGTGCCCACACCGAGCTCAATGAGCACAGTAAGGCCAAGCCTTATTGCGAGGCGGTCCTCGCGCGGGAGCCGGAGGAGCCTTGGGCTTTGGTTCACAAGGGAGACGAGGCGCTCAAGGAGGAGAAGTACGAAGAGGCCGTGCGGTTCCTGCGTACTGCATCGGAGAAGGCGGGCGGGCAGGATCAGAGCATCTTGTCCAAGTTGCAAAAGGCGCAACGTCTGCTGAAACAGTCTACGACCAAGGACTACTACAAGGTTCTGGGTGTGCCGCGGGACGTGGATGGTCCCACCTTGAAGAAGGCTTATCGCAAGTTGGCCAAGGAGAACCATCCGGACAAGGGTGGGAGCGCAGAGAAGATGGCGCAGATCAATGAGGCCTTTGATGTCCTCGGAGATGCAGAGAAGCGCGCTCAATTCGACTCTGGTGTGGATCCGAATGATCCCATGGCCGGCGCTGGTGGACATCCAGGTGGACACGGCAATCCTTTTGTCTTTCAACAAGGAGGTGGGGGAGCTCATCCTTTCCAACACTTTTTCCAGCAGCAGCAGGCGGGCGGAGGAGGAGGAGGACAGCACTTCTTCAAGCAACAATTTACCCATTCTGGTGGAGGTGGTAGAGCTGGAGGAGGACATTTCCCCTTTGACTTTTAGAGTCGAGTCTTCCTTTTGTCAGATATATGTCGTCGTTGTTGTCACTCTCATTCTCTCTATGCTGTCATCAATCGATACACTCATGCTTCCATGCACCTTAGTCCGATCGGCCCTTCCACTCACAAGATCACCTCCCTTCCTTCTCTACGCACTGGGGATCACTGAGTTGCCTCAACTGCGCTTTCCCATCTGCTGTTCGTTATCTCACCGGCTGCTTTCCTCTACCCCTATCCCTTTTTTGATTTGTCCCCTCATCTCACCTGCAGGGGGGGGGGAGGCTCCGCCCAACCGGGCCTTTCGTGGGCGTGGTGCGAGGGACGGAGCGGCGAGGTGCGTCCGTGCACGCGGGTGATGGTTCAGCCGGGCTTGGCTGGATGGCCCCCGGTTGCAGCTGGAGAGCAGAGGAAGAGAGCAACACGGCCAGGCGGCACACACACGCACACGCACGCACATCCGCCGACGGGAAGGCAAAGGCAATGAATGGATGGGCTGGGCTAGACGTTACCTCCTTTCTGTCCCCCTTTAGGCGGATACTCCCCCCTCGAACTTCTTCTCATTCGTCTCCTTTTCACCCCTTTGTTTCTTCCTCATCTCTCCCTCTCCTTTGTACCATAGTGGCCAGAGGGGAGGCTCCTGATTGTTTCCCCCCCTACCACCCACGTCGTTATCTTGATGCTGGGCCAAGCGCCACCCTCCCCTCTCCACCTCCTCCTCCTCACACTTCGCCCACTCTTCTCTTAGAGTCTGCGCCACCAGTGATCACATCATGATAGACCATCTCCTCGGTCGGCCCTCGACCAGCCTCAAGAGGTTGCAGGTGCTGGCAGTCTTGGCTTTCTGGGGGGCAGTGCTGAAAAGGAGCCCAAGAGAGGGACCAGCTAGATCCAAGTGGATCAGATGGGCAAATAAGAGGATGGGTCAGTCGTCGCTTTGGCATGCTAAGGGGGACAAGGCTGTCGACCCAGTGTAGGGGCGGTGCAAAGGGACTGCTGATCCTGACTACTCCTTCTCCTCCTCCTCCTCTTCTAATCCAGGTCGCTACTCGCCATGGAAGGTGGTTCTGTCCACCCTCATGTGTCTCTATGCCTTCCGTCATGTCGACGCCGTCTTTGGCTTTGGAGCCCCCGAACCTCTAGCCGCAATGTACTCGCGCTCCTTCTACCGCGTCACCTGGATCGTCACCGCCCTCGACGCCGGCTTTGCCACGGCCATGAATGTCAGGCCAATATGGCTGAGAGACCTGCTCAGCGTCATCTTCTCTGCTTACTACATTGTCTTTGCTAACGAGGCTGATGAGAAGCTGAGGAGGTACAGGGCATTCTGTACCCTCGATATGATGCGGTATACCTGGGAGAAGACGTCTAATAACCCCTATGTACGCCTCGCGACTTGGTTCCACAGACCTTCTCTACCTATTGCAAGGCCGATTCTACTCCCTCGCCCTACTGTAGGGGCTCACTCAAAAAGACCCATCAATGCTTGGCTCTTCTATGCCAGTGGCAAGGAGGCAGAGCTTGCCAAGGAGGAAGAGCTCTACCTCGATTTCCCTGGCGGTGGATTCATCTGCATGAGTCCTCGCGACCACGAGGAGCGGCTGAGACAGCTGGCAAAGGAGATGGAAAGACCGGTATTGGCAATCGATTACTGCAAGGCGCCGGAGTATCCATACCCCTTTGCACTCGAGGAGTGTTTCGACGTCTATCGTACGCTGATAGAGACACGAGGAAAGGCCATTGGCATGTCAGGCAGCTCTCGCTTCCGCATGATCCTGTCTGGTGATTCTGCCGGCGGTAATTTGGCTACTGGGGTGATGCTCAAGATCCTCGAGTATCCTCAACCACACATCAAGTCTGCCTTTGCTGCTCTGAGCGGATCCCCTAAACCACCGCCCCTTCCCAAGCCCCTCTGTATGATCCTCGCGTACCCCAGCTTGAACTTCTCGTTCACGGCGTGGATGCAGCCAGATCATTTGCGTGTGCTCAAGGCACAGAGCGAAGTCAATCTACAGAATTTGCAGATGCAAGCAGCCCAGGCTGAAGAGGATAGCAAAGCTGGGAGGAAGGGCAGCCCTCTGCGGCCACGATCACGTAGTCGCTCTCGTCAGAGCAGCTCGGCAAGTCTTTCTGGTATTCGAGCCGAGCAGACACAGAAGGCTCTGCAAGAGCAGCGGCAACAGCAACAGCAAGACAAGTCGCGAGCCCGCACCTCTCAGCCACCAAAAGGCCGACCTCCTACGTCTTCGGTGGACAAGAGCTATACCTCCCTCGCGAACCAAGCTCAGCTTCATCTCGCCGAGCGGGCTCGATTTGCCGATGCCGAGCCGGCTTCAGACGACAATGCATCGCCTCTTCCTACGCCTCAGTATACGACGGCAGCCGATACCCAGGATCGCGAGAATCTCGCGTGGCAGTCGGATTTGTGGTATGCAGCTAGCGAAGATGAGGAGCGACAGCGGCAGCTTGCTGCCAGTCAGCAGAAAGCAGACGCAGAGCGCAGTGAGAGGCGCAAGAAGACTTCTACTGGCGGTACAAGGTTGACGATGACTTCCATGGCTGGGTACTTCCAAGATCGGATCCTGACACAATCCATGATGCGATCGATGGCCTTGCTTTATGTTGGTCCACGTCGGCAGCCGGACTTTGACAAGGACTACTTACTCTCCCCCATTGTAGCTCCCGCCAAGCTTCTGGCCGAATTCCCTCCGGTTCTGTTCATCTGCGGTGAAAAGGATCCGATCTGTGACGACACAGTCGTATTCGCTGGGCGGATCAGGGAGGCGAAGCTCGCCAAACAGGCCGAGATCAAGTCTCGTCGAGCAGGTGCATCGGCTAGATTTGGAGAAGGGCTGAGGATGAGCGTGGGCGGTCCATCGAGGCAGGGTGGTGCAGCAGAAGCCGAAGCCGCGGCGGTGGATCCGATTGAGGAAGAGGATGTCGAGGACTGGGTACAGATGAGGATCATTGCCTCTGTCAGTCATGGCTTGCTGCAAATGGTGGCGCTGTGGCCCGAAGCCAAGCACATCATCAGCTTCATCTCTGCCTGGTCCGTGGAGACTTTCGAGGAGGAGGAAGATCGCCTCTTTGAGCTGAGGCAGCAACAAGAGGCGAGTCGACCAACAAAGGCTCAAACGCTGCCTGTGCCTAGTGGACGAGGACACGATGGCTCGGCGAGGCAAGGTCGTCAGGGTGCTGCTGCAGGTGCACAAAGGACGTCGAAGCTAGACGCCAATGGACAAGCATTGGACGGCGGCGTCATTGCAGACGAGGAAGACGACGACGAGCCGCTCTCCTTTACACCAAAGAGGATGCGTTCCCCTTCTGTACAGTCTCCTCGATCCCCTGCTGGCGATCATCCAGCGACATTCGGAGGTGCTGCCGCGGCAGCTGGGTCCAGCTCCTCTGCACGCTCTCCACAGTGGACCGGTCACGGCAATGGCAGTGCGGGACCACCAAAGGGTCCTCTACAGCTGCCGGCCATTGCAGCTCTCAAGGGTGAACCGCCTGGTGTAGGAGCGAGCGGTGGGCAGGGCACAGCACCTAGTATCGACAAACAGCAAGGTGGCGGTAGCGGCAGCGGCACCAGCGGCAGTCCCAGCAGTAATGGCAATGAGGGTAGGACGCCCTCTGCCAGGTCAACAACTGCTCCTCCCGGTGCCGCCACGACGTCCAGTCGCAATCGCCCAAGTTCCTTTAGCGATGTACGTGCCACGAGAGCGCATCTCGCCTCAGCTGCCGGGCTACGACCTCCACCTGCCGAGCTGGAAGCAAGTGCGGGCACTAGCGCTGCGGACGGAGGGGTTCGTCGCTCCTCCTTTGGCGGGATCAGTCGATCTCGCTCCCCCATCGGAGGTGGTGGCGGGGTCAATGGCTCTTCCCACGGAGGAGGAGGTGGTGCAGCAGGTGCAGCAGGCAGTGGCAGTACTACAGCTCGCGGCACGGGTGTAGGCCTAGGAGCAGAAAAGGGTACAATGGACTCAAGGACGCGTGCTTTGCTCATTAATGAGGAGTCGCTCCTCCAGAGGAGGAGGGACGAGGCGATTCTGGGCTTGCAACAGGGTGGCGGCGGTGGTGGTGGGGGGCCCAATGGCAACGGGAATGGCAGTAGTGCTACTGGTGGTAGTGCAAGTGGACAGAATACAGAGCGAGGCAGAGGGCAAAGTGGCAGTCGCAATCGCACTCGCACCCAGAGTCAAGCTCATGCTCAAAGTCGAGGTCGCGGTCGAGGTAGACGTGGGCAGACAGGGGGTGCTGCTGCAGGCGTCGATGCTGCAGCAGGAGGAGGGGGAGGGAGCGCGATTGGCTCTAGTAGTGAGGAAGAGGAGGAGGGATCGGAAGAGGACGACCAGGAAGAGGAAGGAGAGGGGGAGGAGGAGCGATCCTATGAATCTACCCTTGATGGAGATCGAGATGGTGAGGAAGGGGAGGGAGATTCGCTTGATGGAGCAGGAGCGGTTGCAGGTGCAGGTGCAGGGGTGGGCTCAGCAGCGAGTAGAGGTAGGAAGAGGGGGTGAGGGCTTTCATGCACACACGCATTCAACCTAGGCCAAGTCCAAGTCACGATCCGAGCAAGTCCAATTCGGCCCTTTACCTCTTCCCCTGTATACTTGGAGCGGAAGACTTATGTCCTTGAGATTGCATATTCGATACCATTTTTTCAAGAAAACTCAAGCCCGAAACAACGTGGTGCATGATCGCCCCCCCCCCCCCCCCTCTCCCTGGCTACGACCTCGTCCTCATCCCCAGCCCCGACCCTCGTCTTTCGCTTCATCCCTCGTCTCTCACCATCTTTCCATCTTCCTCAGTGGACCTGCCTGTCTAATCTCCTCTCCTACCAAAGAGTTTCCCCAAGCGCGATGGAGACTTGCCCGCCCGACCAGTAGCGGTACCAGGCGACTCTTCGCCCGCCGCGGCTGTAGTGGGTGTCCCTTGTCTCTCACCTGCGCCGACGCCAGTACCAGTACCAGTACCAGTACCAGTACCAGTACCAGTACCAGCGCTAAATCCGCCCTTTAGATCGTCGTCCGAGTCGTACCCTCCTTCGTCCGAAGAGGTCTGCAGTGTCTTTGCATCTGCATCATCATAGTGCCCTGCTCCTCCTCCTCCTCCTTCCCACCCTTGTGCCGCTTCCCCATTACCATTGAGGGGAAGACTGGAAGGATGCGCATCCCTCCCATTTCCCGGGAGTGCACCTCCCTTCTCCTTGCCCTTTCCGCTCTGCGCTTTCCCCAAGATCCTCGAATCCCACTTGGAAGGCTGGGCGGTTGCGCTCCATTCGCTTAGCTTCTTGTCGGAAGTAAAGGTCTTGCGGGTGTATTTCCAGTAGAGTTGGAGAAAGGGGTAGAGGGTGGAGAGGATTAGAGGGAGAGAGGGGAAGGGTGGGTTCGACGAGGAGGAGGAGGAAGAGGAGGTGGAGGGAGGGGAGAGGGGGTAGAGGCGAAGAGTGTGCTCTCCATTTGGCTCTGGAGAGGAAGAGAGAGCAAGGAGGACAGAGTCAGAATTCCGACTCCCATGGCAGGATCTGACGTGGTCATACACTCACTTCGAATGTAAAGAGCAATCGGCGTCCGCTGTCCCGAAGTATCTTTGGCGTACAACTCCACACTCTGGAAGATGGACCCCTTCCAGACGCATCTAGTCCCTTCAAGGTAAGGGTTAGGGAAGGCAGCCTTGTAGATGAATCCGCCTGCCCGACTGATCTTTTCTGGTTTCACACTCGTCGTCGCTGGAGAAGAGTCGGCAGAATCGGTGAGACGAGTGGCTGTGAATACTTTCGAGCCTGCTTCTGCTTGAATAGTGTAGATTGTCTGGTGGGGTGGAGATGTCCGAGAGGCGGTACCAAGAGATAGGTGAGAAAGCCGAAGGAAAAGCGCGAGGTACTCCTATCGCTGCCTGCTGCCAAGAATCACCTGCCGCTACTCACTTCTGCTCTAGCTACATCTACCAGATCCACCCCTCCACTCTCATTGCGCGCAAGCCGGTGGGAAGTCGTGCGACCTCCGGGCAGATCGACAAAGGCGATTGTGCCAGGCTCGTCGGCGCCTCGCACCAGAAGCTCCTGGTGAGCATTGCCGTTTGGACCTGAGGAGGAGGGCTCCTGGTAGCTGGGTGGGAGGGAGACGGTATCGCTCATGATCCACGTGTGGGTATCGTTGAGTTGGTGAGGATGAAGGAAGAGAGAGAGGGAGAGGACCCAAGGAGGGGAAACGGGGCCCCTTTGGTGCCCTTTGAGGCTGAGCGCTGTACCACGAGTCATCCTTCTTACCCGCCCTCTGATCCGCCCCGCCGGCTCAGGCACTGGGTCTGTGCAGCAATCGATCGGACTCAGCCGGCAATCAAATCCGATGAGAAGCGAAAGCACCACGCGACAGACAGCTGCACCATCAGTCCGCTCCGCTTGGCGTGGAGCCACTTCCGTGAGCACGCGTCTTGGGCCGACAGCCTCTCTGGCTACTTGTATCCTCTGAGCATTCCCCTCTATTGCTGCCATGGCGTCCCCAGTAGCTTCCACTTCGGCATTGAGCTCAGCATCAGGCAGCAACAGCAGCAGCAGCACTCCCAAGTATGCCATCGTCAGGCACTACCTAGGTACGTCAGGCTGCAGCAGCCCATCCATTGCCACGGCAGAGCTGACATGGATCTGTGCCGCCGCCTTGCTGTGCCTCTTAGTGCTCTTCTCTGGCGACAAGGACAAGAAGGAGACCAATCGAGTCTGGCACGATGGAAGGCTTGCACATCACACTTATAATGGAAAGGTCAGCTGAGCCGTGGCCAGACATACAGCATATATGCTCCTCAGCAGGCTCACGTACTTGCACCACGCACAGGTCTTCCTCTACGATGAAGCAGATATAGAGCTAGCAGATCAATTCTTCACCAATGGATCGCCGATCAGACCTGGTGGTCCCCCGACCCCTCCTGTCTTTGCTGACGACAGCGAGGTGACGGTGAGAGATTTCGTAGTCCAGATCCAGCGTTTTCAAAAGGTCACTAGGACGGTGAGTACGGCGTCAGGTCGTGAGCCGCTTCCCTACAGCCGGAGCTGACGATCCTTTGCCGCATGCGACGTCTGTCCAGGACATCACGCCCCTACTGCAAGCCAAAGAGCTAGCGAGGGCTCGCAAGTCGATGCAAACACCTCAATCGCTAATGGGCTCACCCGCTCGTGGAGCTACCTCGACCGCACCTCGTACTCCTGGTGGGTCCAGCAGCTCTTCTGCTTCCACTTCTTCCGTAGGCCGCTTTCAGCCTGCTTCGGCAGCTACGAGCACCTCGACGCCCACACGCGGGCCTGTCTCCAATGTCGCTTCACCTGCATCAGCGGCGCGGAAGGGTCCTCTTTCCCCTCATCCTTTCAAGACGCCTTTCAAGAGTCCGCTGAAAAGAAAGGAGATGGCAGACAGGAGCATCAATAGCGAAGCATCGCCTTTGGGTCCCGGTCAGAACAACGGCAGCCAAGAATCGAGAGGCGATGCAGATGCAGCCAAGAAGAAGAGGCTTGGAAGCAATGGTGCAATCGGAGGCGGGGTAGCTCGTCGTACATGAGTAGGTCAGTGGCTGGCTGGCTGGCTGGCTGTTAGAGCAATTAACGGCGACAAATAGCCCACATGGCGTGTTTCCCTCATTGGTCCATTGCGTTGTGAAGCAAGCACTGCAGACTCGCTTGGACACGTTGTTGCTCCAAAGCGGTGCACAGATTGGTACCAGGGCTATGTCGATTATCGAGGGAAAGACGGTCGGAGTCACAAAGCAGCACCAGCGGTGGAAACGGAAGCCGCCCCACTTCTCGGCACGAGGCTGTCCGGCGGCGGCGGCGTCCATCTCACCGAAGGGCGCGTAGCACCGATTGGCAATGACGTCGGAGGCTGTGCCAGGCGAGTCATTTTGCGGGCGGGCAGGCAAGAAAGGGGAGGTGGAGCAAATCAGGAGCCAGAGCTGGAGTGCTGCTGCTGCTGCCTCAGCTGTGTCTGTCTCTCCTCTTCCTCTGCACATCTCCGTCAGTGTCAGTGTGTCAGTCCGACGGGGCCTGCCGCTTGTGGTCGGATGGACGGATGGTCGGGTTGCACCGCACCCAAGAACTGACGGTGAGGGGAGGGGGACCCTGTTGTCTCCGTGTCCGCCGCATCTTTACCCCTCTTTCCTCCTGTACCATACACACATCTCTCGATAGCACATACTCGCACTAGACTTTCTAAAAACACATACCCCACCACTACTCTACTCTACACATTTCGCAAAGATGCCTTTCACTTGCTCTGACATTATCAAGGTCAGTGTCCCTAAGACCGCTTAAGACCGAGGCGCGATAGGTTCGAGGAGTTGGGTCTGATGGCAGGACGAGAAGTCGGGAGGTGGCGTCTGGATTGCAGGTGATTTCAACACATGAGGGAACAGGGCGGGACTGACAGTCGAAATAGGGCTGGTACGGAGTCTTTAGCAACACAGAAGTGGTGGTGGTGGAGGAGGAGGGGTGGGAACAGATCAACCCCTTAAGCTGCTGAGCATCGCATTGAAGACCGTCAAGACCAGCTTCACTGACACGACGATCACCTCTTCTTCCCTCCCTCCCTCCTTTCCCGCTCATTTCTCCTGCCAACCTCTTCTCTACTGAATTTGCCCCACTCAGATCATCTGTGAGTCCTCCACCCTGTTCCCGCGCAACGTGTATTACCCCTGAGAATGCTTTTACTGATCATGACGCGTGCCTCCACTCTCTTCACCTCACCTTTGCCTACCCCGCCCACAGTGGCCATCTTCGTCCCACCTCTCGGTGTGTTCCTCGAGGTTGGATGTGGTGCCTCATTGTGAGTCTACTAGCGTGGGCGTATGAGGGGAGAGAAGGCTGGAGGACAGGGATTGCTGGTTAGAGTGTCAGGCCCCTAAAGACAGCGAGGAATTTGGATTCGCAAGATGATACGGGCACAGTCACTGATGCTGTTCACTGCTCCTGCAATCTTCCACTCACCCCTTTAGCTGGATCAACATCCTGTTGACCATTCTGGGTTACATCCGTGAGTATAATAAGGAAGAACGAGTCCACACTCAATTGGCCACGTACTGACATCTCCACACTCCCTCACTCAATCTTCCCTTTCCCAGCCGGTATCATCCACGCCATCTATGTCATCTTCAAATTCTGAGGATCTCTTCGGGAATATGAAGACGAGAGACGAGATGGAGGACAGACGGATACCATTGCAAAGCGAAGCGAAGGAAAGAGCAGGGTTCTCTGAGCATCAGTAGCAGTTGTAGCAGGAGATGTGTAGGACGTCGACGACGGTCCATGAGCCAGGAAATGGACGATGCATACCCCAGTGGGGAGGGTCTCAAAGCTTGTGTACGCCAATTCTCAAGTAGAAGGGCATTGAATTCATCCACACCCTGACCTGTTCATGACTTGCTCGATCGAAGACGGTGTGATGTCCCTGTCCATGCTACGTCGCAGTCACCTGGTCTGCATCTCCCTCTGCTCACGAGTCGATCGAGCAGAGAACGTGGTGACCCTCTCTCTGACCGCGAGGCGGGCAAAAGGGAGCTTGCGCGTGGACCCGTGTGGAGGCGAAGCCGGCCAGTCGGGCTCGGAGGATTCGGTCCGAGGCGGAATCGGATCCGTTCGATCACCCTTCAAAGCTCTATGCTAGTCTACATGACAGAGTAGAAGTCTGCAGTGGTACATGCTCTCTGTTTCGCTTAGATTGCCTCTCTTCTCTTGCGCTACCATTGCCACTGCCACTCGTCATCTCTCGTATCGTTCCTTCTGCACAGCTGCTACTCGGCAGCAGTCGCGCCCTATCCTTGCCCCTACCACATCCAAGCCAACATCACCGAAGATGTACCTCTTCCTAGACTTTGACGAGACGCTCAGCTCGCACGATACCCTCTCTCTCATTCCTTCTCCTCCTCCTTCCCCTTCCTCTTCTTCTTCCTCCTCTTCTTCCTCTACCTCGCAGCCAGACCCAAAAGACTTCTCTTCGTACACGCAAGCATACCTCTCCGATATGCGCGATCATGAAGCTTCCTATGGGGGAGAGCGAGACACGATTCGCGGTCAGCTTCGTTTCTTGGGCTCTCTGGCTGATGTAGAGCGTAAGAGTGTTGCAAGAGTGGAAAAGGGGGGACTCTTTGTAGGATGGACACAGGAGGATGCAGAGAAGAGGGGGAGGGAAGGGGTACGATTGAGGAGGGGTGTGAGGAGCTCTGAAATGGGGCAGGCTGAGCAATCAACCCTGCAAGAGTTCCTACAACGCACCACCTCAACTTCCACCTCAGGCTCGGGAGCCCCTCAACTCCAGCCCCGCGTACTAGCAGGCATCATCTCCGTCTCCTGGTCCACCGTCTTCGTACGTGCCTCTCTCCAGCCACTCCCACTACACTTCGTCTACGCAAATGATCCCGTACTAGATCCTATCACCAAGCGCGGGACAGGAGCATTGAACAAGGGCGCTGCCGAGGGGGAGCAGGAGGGAGGGATCCGAACTGGACTGGACAAGTTGCGTTTGATGCGACGGGAGATGAGTAAAGCAGAGGAGAAACGTCTTCAAAATGCAAGTGCCCAACAAGGCAAGACGCACAGCTACAGCGTCTATGCAGGCGACTCGAATACCGATCTTCCCTGCCTAATCGAAGCCTCCCTCGGACTCATCCTAGGCGAAGGCGCCTCCCTCCTCTCTACTCTTGAGCGGATAGGTCTTCGTGGACGCGTACTGGACGGATACGAGGCGCTGCAAATGTGGCTTAAGGCAGGGGAGGAAGGCAAGGGCCAAGGTGAGGGGAAGGGAGCAGGAGGAAGCTTGCGACCGGTGGATCCAAAGAGGACGGAGCCTTGGAGTGAAGAGGAGGAAGAGAGGAGAGCGGAAGAGGTCTGTCTGGTTAGGGTTAAGGACTGGGTCGAGGGGACTAAAGTCCTCGAGCTCGTGCTGGCTCTTGAGGAGGGACGGTCAATGTAGATGAGCTAAGCTGGGCGGGCTCAGCAGCTCTCTACGTCTCGCAGCTGGCGGTTGGCATTAATGCTCAACGGATTCTCAGCAACTACGGGCCGGAAATCTATACCAGCAGCTTATGTGTATCAATTGTATTAACACGACTCGACGTGAGCTAGACACGTCCAATGTACAGCAGGATGCATCTTTCATGCCTCTATTTCCTAGGGCGAACCACTCTAGGCCTCAGCAGGAGCCTTCGTGAAGCGGAGGTAAGGCTTGACAATCTCGGCATCGGGGAAGAGACGTTTGACATCATCTCCCTGCACAGAGGGGTGAATGATGACCTTGTCTCCCTTTTGCCAGTTGACAGGAGTGGTAATGCGGTGCTTGTCACCCATCTGCAGCGAGTCAATCACCCTCAGGATCTCCTGGAAGTGACGACCAGTCGAGGCGGGGTACGACAGCATCAGGCGGATGATACCCTTGGGGTCAATGACGAAGACGGTTCGCACGGTGAAGGGCATGCCCTTGGCATCGACGTTCGTTGCGTCCAGAGCGTCAAGCATGTCGTACTCGGTTGCCACCTTGCGGTCCTTGTCACCGATGATGGGGAACTGGACTTGAGAGCCAGAAAGCTCGTTGATGTCCTTGATCCAACGGTCGTGAGAGGCAATGTCGTTGGCGGAGAGACCGATGACCTTGACACCTCGCTTGTCGAACTCGGGCTTCAGCCTAGCCACCTCTCCGAGCTCAGTGGTGCAGACCTGCAGGGGATAGGCGAAGGAGTGGAGGCGATGGGAGAGTAAGTGATGTGCTCAAAGCAATTGTGAACCTGATCAGGCTACATCGAATGACCATAGCCCAGCAACGATCCCTCATGTGGCCTCAGCGCCGAACTTGGTCATCCACCCAGGCAATACCATTTGGCTCTTGCCACCACTCCTATGTCCGCCTTGCGCTCCGAGCGCCACTTCGCAGTGGCAACGTCGGCCGGGCGTCCGCATCACCCCTCTGAATGCACACATCGGCTTCTACAGCGCAACTTCAGCAGTAAATAGCAACTCACAGGAGTAAAGTCATCCGGGTGCGAGAAGAGGATAGCCCATTGACCACCCAGCCACTGGTGAAAGTCAATGGTGCCGTGGGTTGTCTCGGCCTGGAAGTTGGGTGCGACGGAGCCTAGTCGGAGAGTGGGCATGCTGGGCGAGGATGTGTGATGGGTGTAAAGGTTGAAAAAGGGAGAAGATTCAGTTGAATGGTAGGAGGGAAAGAAGGGCAAAGCTAAGGGGCAAGGTGGAAGCTGCACGAAGGATTGAAGCGGAGCACGGCGCAAAGGGACATAAGGCGTAGAATGCAGCCACCCGATGGCGTGATCGATTCTTCGCCTTCGCACGGGCCATCGACAGCGGGGGAGATCGGAACGGAATGCAACACACATGCACGTGGGGTATGATTGTACAAGAGACCTGAACGACGGGGGATACGAGACTACTGTACATGCGACATCGAAAGGCAACACATCAGAGATTAAAAATTCAGCTCTCCTTCATCTCCTTCTTCACAGAATCCCTGCAGACTGCTTCCACATGGGCAGATTCTCCTTCAAGAACTTGTCCATCTTGTCCGCGCACTTTGCATAGGGAGAGTTGCGGGGGTTGTAAGCCCGACAATTGTCAAAAACCAGCTGAGCGTCCGCGCAGAGCTCATCGACAGTCTTGTACTGGTTGTTCTCCAGCTTCGTCTCCATGGTGGAGAGGTCCATGGGGGATGTGATCACAGAGTAGTAGTCGGGCACCTCGTCTCCATTGACTGGCAGCATAAATGGCCAGGAGCTCTGGTGGTTGCTCAGCTCAACGAGAATACTACGCATCAAGCCATGGTGAGGACCTCGCTTGGGACGGCGGCTCAAGATGTCCATCTCCGGCGTCCAACCAGAGTCTTTCAGCCCAGGCACCTGCGATGGGTCCACCTTGTACTGAGCCTTGATCGACTCGAGGTAGTCTTCACTGCCCTCGTCTTGCTGTTGCTGAGAAGAAGGCATCGATGCTGTGGACTCCTCTCCTCCTTCTCGCTTGATCTGCTTCTCCTGTTCCAGTCTCTTGAAGACCTGCAGGCCCGGATGGACAATGTGGCTCTTGGAGATGGAGCGAATCTTGGCCAAGACCATTTCCTTCTGTTGGGCTAGCAGCTCGTGTACCTCCAAGTACTTCACTCGCGGGATCATGCTACACTGCATCAGCGTTCCTCCCTCGTAGTCCTTGATGTATCCCACCCAGACTGAACGAGGCAATGAGATCTCTTTTGTGAATCCTTGCTTCTTGAAATAGCCAATGGCGTAATTGTCGGCATATGTCAGGAAGTGCATCACATCCCCCGACTCCTTGACATGGTCTTTGAGATGGTTCATTAGATGCTGACCATACCCCTTTACCTGCTGACTACTATCAATGGCGCAAAAGACGATCTCAGCAAACTTTCGACGATTGAAGGGACGATAAGTGATGCCTCCCACCACTTGGAGACCTCGCTTGACGATGGCCATCGATACGTGGTTCTTGTCGAGGACTAGACGAGTAATGTACTCTCGTGGCATCTTCGGCAGTTGCCGTTGGAAAATGTTCTTGAGACCCGTAAGGATCACAAGCTCTGAAGGCGTCGTAGCGGTAAGGTGAGCGTTGGAGACGACTCTGAACTCGATCAAGCCTTTACGCTCTTCTACCACGGCTGGTCGCTCACGCTTCGGAGCCGGCGCCTGTGAGATGGAAGAGAGTCTTGTGAGACACGACAGATGACTGTGGCACCTGAGCTGTCCTCACTTACCTCCTCGACCGATGCCTGATATTCGACAGGGTCAATACTGACTCCTGCTGTCACCAAATTGATATCCGCTTCAGGCTCTGCCGCCTTCCTCTCCTGCTCAGCGATTTGCTCCTTCTCCTCAGCCTCTGCCCTCTCTTTCGCCATCTCCACTGCCTCCTCTGGTCCTATGTCCTGATTCGCCACACCTTTTGAGGACTGGACAGGATGCTTGCCATGACCCTGACCCGTAGGTTCGTCTGTTTCCCCCGGGGATGGGGCATTGCTCGAGGGTACTTCGTGCTGGGGAGTAGACACTCTGCTTTGCTGAAGGCTTCTCCGATCCTTCGCGGCAGCTTGAGAGGAGGCTCGAGAGGAGGCAACAGAGCTGACGCCCCGACCGTCTATCCGACGCTTCTTGATAGGCGAGGATGATCTCTGGTGAGTGCCATTGCCTATGCCAAGCAGTGAAAAGAGAGTAGCGGTGGGTCAGGCTGCCATACCAAGGTCGCCCAGCGTCTCTACTCACCCATCGCTAAAGGTAGATCAGGACTGCTAGATCTCGCCGATTCGCTTAGAGACTTGGAGCGCTTCCTCTTGTTGTCCTCAGCGCCCTGCTCAAGTGGTAATAGCTGCCTGAGAGGAGTAAAACGGAGCCAGGGCAATCAGCTCTGCGCAGGACATTTTGCACAATGATAGACGTATGTATGCTCACTTCTTGAGAGAAGCCTGATCTTCGTCTGTATAGGCAAAGTCCAACAGCTTCTTACCATCCTACGATCACAAGGAAGTGGGTATGAGAATCAGCCTTACAGTCCGCGCACCTCCCCTGATGCTCTGATGTGATTCCCGGTCTCTCTTGACTCACTTCTAGCAGTTCGTCGAGCCGAATGGCCACCTTGATTCGCCTTGTCCTCTCTTCGTCGTCCGCTTCGCTGTCCTCCAATCGGCCATGCATAGCGATGCCGTGACCACACACGCCGCACTTCTTCCACTGCGAAGCGCACTCCTTCTCTCTCGCCTCGTCATTCTTACCACCCTTGACGCTTCTCGCCTCTACATCAACGTCCGGGCTGGGACGAAGTCCCGTGCATACACAGTCGCCATCGAAGGCAGAGCAGCGCGAATGCCGCGCTACCTTGAGTAGAGCTTCGGAATGTGTGAGGTCCGAGGGGACAGACGCGTTCGAGGGATAGTAGAGGGTCTGCGCAGAGGAAGAGGAGGCGGGTGACGCAGACGAAGCAGCACTAGCGGCGGCGGCAGCAGCAGAGTTGGAGGCTGCTATCGCCGATGGCCGCGTTCTGCGTCCCCGGGGCGGCATGTTGGTGAAGTGTGAGAGATCTGGAGCCACCAAGGAGGAAGAGCGATGCGTAGGACAGACGGGACGGGAGCAACACATGCGCACCTCCCTTTCCGCCGCCACATGGAAGCGATGCAGGTCTCCTCTCCGCCACAATGAGCCCTTTACGAGATAAGAGGTATAAACAACCTCGAGTTCAGACGAGGAGATGAAGACGCGAGCATGTGTGTCAATGTAGTTCCATGCAAGCAAGAGCACGATGACTGCAAGGATCATACAGATAGAAGGTACAGGAGGCGAAACCGGGTCGTGTATCGATGTTGTTCATACAAGCACAAGACGCACAAGGTGCATCGATGGCAAGAGACATACATGGGAAGAAGGACTGAAAGGTGAAAGCAGAGACTGCTTTCATCTAGCAACCGGTTCAAGGCAGGTAAAGAGTTCGGAAGAGCCGAGAACAGGACTGGAAAAGGTGCGAGTTTCTAAGCGTTGCCGTGGACGGCAGTCTCGGAAGGTGAGCCGTGACCGTGGCTAGCCTCCTGGCCCTTGCTGGTGCTAGTAATACCACCACCGGTGCCGGCAGCCTCCTGGTAAGCGGAGCGCTTACCAGACTGCAGACCGAGGACATCGTAGTTGAGCGATCGCAGACCAACCAGGTGCACAATGGCAAAGACGGGCTTGGCAAGGAGATCGAGGACACCGTAGAAGACCATCTCACCAGTAGGGGAGATCTGGTTTCCACCATCTGCCAATCCCCAGGCAATGGGGTACAGGAACCAGAGGAAGGAGAGCATAGCAGTTCCAGTGATGTAAGTACGACCGAGGGAGGGGTCGAGCTTCTTGGCCGAGGACCAGCCGACGACGTAGAGATCGTAGAAGACCAGGAACATGGCGATGCAGCCAAATACGTAGAAGCCCCACTTGTACTGCGAGGTGACCAGAGATCCGATTAGACCAGTCTCGATCATCACAATGTCCCAGAAGATGGTCAAGAAGACATTCGAAAGGGGCATACCACTGATCAGCAGCAGCTCGAGGAGTAGCAGAGGCGTGGTGATAGTCCAGTCAATGTACCTGGCGTACCAGATGGAGCGCGTGGGGTATACACCGCTGGAGTTGGCGGTGTCCCAACCGTTGAGGAACTCCACTGTAACGGGGGTAGAACCCAGGTCAGAGGCCATGGAGAAGTAAGCAATCGAGGCAGTACCAGTGATGGCGGCGGAGAGGTACACAAAGGCACGCTGGTGACGGGGCACCATGAAGTTGGCGTAGAAGAGGATGGCAATTGTGGTGAAGGCCATCACGGCGAAGACTGAAGGTGAAACAAGGGGCAAGAGTGGTCAGCTATGGCTATTCGCAATCACGTCGGGACAAGCGTCCTTCCAACTCACTAGCCCACAGAAAGTCAGTGGCAGCATCAGTGATGTCAATGTCTGCGACCAAAGCGTTGGAAGCGATGGAACCTCGCGCCAGGAGCTTTGCATCCAGGGCTGAGTTGAAGTGGTCAACACCACGCTGCACGTAAGAGGCCATGTTGGTATAGGGTCAGGAGGGGTGGTGTGCAATGGAGGGTAGCAATGAAATCAGGGCGATGTTGCTGAGTCCAGGGGCTCGCCTCGAGACTATATACTTTTTTCCCTCGCTTCTAAGCTCCGGTAGAGAGACTGGACGGCTGTTGTGGGCCGCACGGGATATGATGTCAAACTGCCCTGGCCTGAAAATCACAATGGCAAACAGGGCAGGGGATACTGTTCTTGTCCCTTTGCGGAGAGCCAAGCGGGATGCGGATGGGACGTTATCGTCTACGCCGATTCAGCCGCTCTCCCATGATCGTGAGTGCACCAAAGCGGTCTCTTACGTCAATCGAGGGTCACTTCAGGGTCCTCCTTCGCCCTGCCGAACCCACGGCAAATGACCACGGCGGTCTCGAAAAATGCTCGTCTGTGTCAGTGGCGCCTCACCACGGTCTACATACGGTCGGTCAGGCTGCCGAGGAGTTGCCGTAGAGGTGACTAACTCCGTGAGTGGCTGACACGATGAGACGGGATCCCAACCCCGCCCCAGCTCCTTCCGCACGCGTTGATCGGCGAGATGCATGATGACGATCCCAGGACCCTGATCTCTCTCACCCAAGCACAGAGCACGCCCGCACTCCTGGGCCCGGAACGGATGCTGGTCGTAAGCCCTGCTTGCATATATGCGTTCTGAGTGCTACTACTTCCCATCGCCGAATCACCATCTTTCCAGACGAGCGCAAGTGGATACACTGGTCTATATACCCAGCTTCCCGCGAAGCAAACAACGATGACGAGGCGGACATGGGCTCTGGCGCAGCTCAACGAGAAGCATGGCTACCTCGCTGGGAATTACGCCCCGGTGGAAGAGGAGACGCCCCTGACACCTTGCATGGTCGTGTCTGGCTCCATCCCCAATGAGTTGGCCGGAGGACAATACGTTCGCAATGGTGGCAACCCAATGGCGAATGATGATGCAGGGAGGGAGAGCCATTGGTTCGACGGAGATGGTGAGTCACCTACTGGCATGGACAGACAAGACAGCCCTTACTCAAACCCTAAAGTTCTTCCCATCCAGGTATGCTGAGCGGCGTATTGTTTCAACGGCGAGCAAACGGCTCCATAGCTCCTCACTTCGTCAACCGCTATGTGGTGACTGATATTCTCCTCGCCACAAGGCAAGGAGCCCATCGTCCCATCCTACCATCAATTGCTACACTCTCATCTCCTTCAGTCTCCCTGTTGCGTGTCCTCTACGAGGTCATGCGGTCACTAGTCCTTTGTCTTCTGACCTGGATCCCTCTCACCTGGTCTATAGGTCTGGGTAAAGGCACAAGGCGTCTCAGCAAGATCTCTGTGGCCAATACCAACATCTTCTATCACGACGGCAAGGCGCTCGCTGCTTGCGAGAGCGGACCACCGATGCGCATCATGCTACCTAAGCTGGAAACGGGTGGCTGGTGGACGGGTGATGAAGGAAAGTCTTGGGCAAGCGGCATCGGTCCTCTTAAGATCTTCAACGAGATGACCACTGCCCACCCACATACGGACACTTCGACCAACGAGCTCCTCCTCTACCACTCCACTTTTGTCGCGCCATACCTGCGGATATCGGTTATCCCGCCGCGGTCCTCGAGGAGGTCGGCGCTCATCGGCGCGACTGTCCCGGGGATGAAGGAGGGCAAGCTTATGCACGACTTTGCTGCTACCAAGACAAGAACAGTGGTGATGGACCTTCCCCTCACACTCGATCCTCGTAACTTGCTAAGCGGAAAGCCCGTCGTACACTACGAGCCTACAGCTGCTGTACGGTTCGGCGTCTTTCCCAGGAGGGAGCCAGAGAAGGTCCGGTGGTACGAAGACCCGACAGCTTGCTGCATATACCACACTGCCAATTGCTGGGATGAGTCCCAGGCAGAAACCTCTCAGAGTGGCAGCAGCGAAGACGCTGTCAACTTCTTGGCGTGCAGGCTGAATTCCGCCACGCTCATCTACTCTGCCGGTAACACCTTGGCACCTACGACAGCCAAGGCCCCCAATGGAGAGGAGGAGCGCTGTGAGCTCCACTATTGGCGCTTCGCAGAGCCACCAAAAGCAACCGAGCTCCTACCTCCCTTGGACAGTACCGCATTGGAGAAAGCCCCTAAGGCGCAGCACGACTCGCCGGCGCGCATCACGCACTCCTTTCCCCTCTCACGCGTCCCCTTTGAGTTCCCTACCATCAATCTCGCCCATGCACCTGCCGCGGGTCTGGGACCCAATCGCTTCGTGTATGGCTGCTCGATGCGAGAGGGCACCTTCGATGCGGGCATGGGTCGCCACTCTGCCAAGATCGACTGTTTGGTCAAGATGGATGTGCAGAGCCTGGTCAAAAGGGGACGGGCGAGGGCGGATGCGGGCAAGATGAAGAAGGGCGAGGCAGTAGACATGAGAAGCATGCCCGAGATCATCGCCTCTGCAGAGCATGCTCAGGACGGCGCGGTGCAGGGCGATATTACTGTCTTTCCCCTGCCTCACGGGTGGTACGCTCAGGAGACGACGTTCATACCCCGTTCCAATCCACAAGGGGAAGACGACGGCTTCCTCCTCTTCTTCTGCTTCGACGAGCTCACCCACCTGCACCCGGCCACCGGCGAGCCCCTCCCCTCGGCCGTATCGCAGCTCTGGGTCCTGGATGCGCGAGACATGAAGACGGTCGTTGCGAGAATCGAATTGCCTGCACGTGTGCCGTATGGCTTGCATGGCAAGTGGTTCACAGAAGCGGAGATTGATGGACAGGAGAGGGTTGATGAGCAGTCCATTCGCAGGTGGGCTTTGCGGGACGTGCAGAAGAGTGATCGTAGGAGCAAGGAGGAGAGGATCAAGAGGGAAGGCAAGCTCAACGTGCTCAATGCTTTGAGGCGGTGGGTAGAATTGTGGGCATAAAGAGAGCGCTCCATGTACATTGGCTCATTGTGTATTGTATAACATTCCATCTTGTTGCATAAGTATTACATGTGACATAGCTTCGTACAATTTGGTCTACATAGTGTGAACGCCACCCATCTCCTTCCCCCTCTGCTCGACTACTACTTACAAAAAGAGGGTGTGTGTGTCTCCACCTCACTCCTCTAGGAAGTCGAAGACGTTCCTCCTCTGACGGATAGGCACGCCCCTACAGCCAGTGAGATCAATGGACGACAGGCAGGGGCACTGCCGTATGAGTGCGTGCACCCCATCAGCAGTGACGGATGTGCCGCTGAGGTTGAGCGTCTCCAGTCGAGCGCACCGCTCGGCAAAGACGGATAGCTCCTCATCACCGATGTGCGTATCGCTGAGGTCTAGATGCTCCACTCTCCAGATCCGCTTCTCCGCTGGCTGACGAGGCCAGTCCGGCTCTGCCTTGTAGGGCTGCTCGGGGCGGCCGCTCTCCATAATGTAGCGCATGAAACGAAGGTCTTGGGAGGAGAGGTCCACGGTCTGATAAGGCAGGAGAAAGGGAAGTGGTCAGTAGCGACGTTCCACTCGTGAATCTGCTTGTCACCCCTTCAAGGCACTTCAAGGCTACTCACATCGGCTCCCGCCAGCAACGATGACGTGTATTCTCCCCCCGTGTGAAGCCAAAAGTCCTCGGGCCTCAACACTGTCAAATGAGTGGCACTGAGGCTAATACGTGTCAAGCCCGGCGGATCCCCAGAAGCGTCACCATCGCGATCCATGGCAATCTGGTCGAGGGCGTTGTTAAAGGCGCGTGTGATCAGTGTAAAGTCCGAGAACTGGACAAAGGGGTTAAGTCGGAGTGGAATCCCGTCGAGGATGAGGGTACGCAGCGTGCCCGCCATCTGCGGGAGCCAACGGACGAGGAAATCGTAAGGACCCTTGTTGGAATCTTTGTGTCGCAGGTCTGTGAAGTTGTGCGACAAATTGAGCTTGCAAAGGGGAGCTTTGATAGCCGCATCGGCGACAGTGAACTTATTGAGACCAAACACATCTTTGGAATCGTGGCTCTCTTCGGATTCCTCTTGGCTATCGCGCTCGGCTTGTGCTTGGCCTTCGGCTTCTGTTGCGACCTCGTAGCCGAGACTCATCGCCAGCAGACGGATCTGGTCACCTTGAGTAATACGCAGACCGCCGACATCTAGATTGCTCAGTGTAGGCTTGCAGAGTTGAATGAACGAGCTCAGTCCGACGACGCTCATCGCGGTTCCGCGTACTTTGAGCGTCTGCAGCTTAGCCAGAGGGGAGAAGGGCGGATCTTGCTCCGAAGCGTGTAGGACGGCTCTCCTGATCATATCCGGCACGACTTGATCTGTGAGACCTAGTACATTGGCTACCTTGAGAGTCACCAAGGAGCGTGCGTTGGAGATGATCGAGCCCACGCCTTCAAGCCCAATGTCTGTGAAATTCGCATTGAGCACTCGAAGAGATTTCATGCTACCGCTTTCGACGAGTGATTTCATGCAAAGAGCATCCACTCGAACGCAGCCTTTCAGAATCACTTCTTGTAGAAGAGGGGAGCGCCGGAAGAGGGAGGAAAGAGATTGCGGACTGAGCTGAGGCAGGCCCGAGAGGCTCAGCCTGATCAAGGGCGGAGAAACGTGTAGAGCAGCTGTGGGCGAGGGCACAGGCTGACCGGCGGCTCCGATGATGAGGTTGATCTGCTCCGGTCGTTCCGCGAGCAGACTCATCGAGGCATCCAGCTCCACATGGGTTCTACCGTTGACAAAGTACGTTGTCAAGATAGTGCGCGTGAGCGCGGAGGAGCAATGGCGCTTCAGGAGGCGCAGCAGCTTGAGTAGATTTCCCTCTGGCAACAGCTTGAGCAGTTGGTGATTCTCCTTTGACAGCTCAGTGAGCTCTTCGACCGTGGCTTGCACGTTGTCGGCGGCGGTGGCAGAATCGTGGCCCTCTTGTGCATGCCTGCGCCGGGTGGACGGGCCCGCAGCTATGCCGACTTCCTCGTCATCGGCATCACTTTCGTCTGAAGGTATGAAGTCTTGGCCGTCGGCCTCTTCCGAATCTCCTCGCCTCCTCTTCTTGCCGATGCCTCTGCTCACGGCCCCAAGGACCTGTGAAGCGCTGACGGTCCCTGAGCCACGGCCACGCGTGGCTGACGTCTTCTTCTGCTTCCCTTTGCCGTTCGCTCCAGTATTCGAGATACCCTTGGCCTGGTCGTACATCTGCTGCGAAGGCAGGACGTGTGTCAGGAAGTTCTTGGCTACAATTTCCAAGCAGAGACTGGCCAAGCTGGGTGTCTGGAAGGAGGGGCCGTCTCTCTCTCTGATGGCGGACAATGGCCGCGCGCGAGAGGAGACGTTTGCGTTGATCGAAGGCGAATACGTCTTCTGGATCTGCTCAGCATATGCCTCGTCCTCGAGAACCCGCTGATACCTCGCCGAGGGCTTGCTGGCCCGATCGGATCTTTTTGACTTGGCCCCTCGCGTCCTTCGACCACGCGATGCACCTCGGCTGGATGTTGCTGTGGACCTCGACGACGACGACGAAGACGAAGCCGCAGCAGCTCGCCCCCTTTTGGGCGCCATTGTGAAGAGCAGTGCAATTGTCTTGTGTGGTCCAGCAACGAAGGATGGGCTTCCGAGGCAGAGACACTCTAGAATGTACGGAACTGGGGGAAAAGCGTCTGCCTCCACTCCGCGGCATTTTTGGCTGAGCAGCCGCGCCTGCAGAGCAACGCAGGCTGCAGGATAGAGTGAACACTGCCGCCACTCGCACCTCTACTCGACCCCTTGCCCTTGTACCCCATCCTACCATCTCACTGCCGATCCCAACCGCCCACCATGTCCTACTCTCAGCCACCCCCATCCTACTCGTCCACCAACAAGAAGGGCTACAGCGCAATCCCACAGGATGACCCACTCACAAACCCTGCAGCGCAGGCCTCAGGCGCAGGCAGACCCATCGACCCCACCGAGCCCAGGCAGGAGGGAGACGTGGATGATGATGACTTCAAGTACGGTGTGACTGTGGATCAGTCCACCGCAGAGGTCAGAACGCAATTCCTCAAGAAGGTGAGTCGCACTAGCTTACTGGTGTACCCCATGCCGGGCGTGATGGGCGGACGCAGTTGCTGACACGCCACCCTCCTACTTTGCATCCTCTAGGTCTACTCCATCCTCTTCATCCAGCTGACGTCGACCGCCATCGTGGCCGGCGTCATGACGACAAAGCCCATCACTGCCTGGGTGCAGGAGCACCAGGCAGTCTTCCTCCTTCCCCTCTTTGGATCCCTCGTCACGATGGGTCTGCTCTTCTGGAAGCGTCACTCCCACCCTCTGAACCTCGGACTGCTGGGTCTCTTCACACTGCTTGAAGCCTTCTCATTGGGAGCCATCGTCTCCTACGTAGACCAAATCGTTGTCCTGCAAGCTCTAGTGATCACAGGATTCGTCTTCCTAGGCCTGACCCTCTTCACCTTCCAGTCCAACTGGGACTTTAGCAAGATGGGTCCCTATCTGCTGGGCGCGCTGATGCTCTTCGTCGGCGTTGGCTTCGTGCAGATCTTCCTGCCTTTCAGCAAGATGGCAGACTTGGGCATGGCGATTGCTGGAGTGCTAATCTTCTCACTCTACATCGTCTACGATACCCACATGATCTGCAAGCGTCTGCCGAGCGACGAGTGGGTCCTTGCCTCCATCTCCCTCTACCTCGATGTGCTCAACCTCTTCATCTCCATCCTGAGGATTCTCAACAACCAGCGAGAAGACTGAGTCAGCGGACTCAATCGGACTGCCTGGCCAGCCCGAATCTGCCGCACACTTTCGCGCTCTGCATCCCATATCCCTCCCCATTCCATTGTACAGAATATATCGCGTCCCTTGCTAGCCCTCTTGTCTTCTCTAGCCTCCCTTGTTGACTGTGCATTCAATCTTATTCATATCCAGAGGATTTCCAGATCTTGTGTCTGCATCCGTTGCCCCTAGCTCGTGTCTGAGTCGGGAACAGCCTGCGTGCTCATGGTGCTTCGACTCCCCAGGCAGGTAAGGCAGACACGTAGGCCCGGGTGTAGATCATTCATTGCCTTGGCACAATAATCACTCATCCGATTCGCGAACCCGGATATAGTGACCTTGCCTTTGAGTAACCGCTTTCCCCATGACAAGGCGAAACACAAGCCCCGTTGTAGAACTTTGACGATTGCTCCGGCGCAATAGCTTTCCCTTCCGGCTTGCGGAACAAGGCATAGGCCTTTGCCTAGGCGCAAGGACACTCCTTCAGGCACGCGGCTTGTCGATACTTCGCGTGAGGTGAGTGCGGTCAGGGGGATGTAGAGACCAATTCATACGGCTCACGCCAATGTCTTTGTTTTGCTGTAGAACTACGCAGGTGCCTAGAAATCACCTTGGCAGGCGCAGAATAGACCGATCACACCAAGGCAGCCGTGTATTCAGACGTGGGAAGAGAGAGATAGAGAGAGGATATATCGGTGCAATTAGAGAGTGACGCGGGGCTGAAAGCGTGTGAGCCACGAAATAACAAAACCGAAAGAGGGAGATGGTGGAAAGCGAAAGTCGAAGCGTGCAAAGGGATGAAGAAGGTGCTGGTGTACAAGCGCCACCCCTGGTAATATATGAGAGAGTTTGGCAACGAGAAGCAGGAAAGGAGCTGCGAGACAACTCTGCGTTTATTAGTCGTCGCCGAGGACCAGGAAGGTGGAGTTGGCGTGTGCCGTGTGGTTGGTCGAGACGTCAATGGATCCGTACTTGTTGCCGGCAGTGTAAAAGAAGCCAGACTTTGTGCTGTTGCCAGAGCCAACGAAGGGGTAGAACTCGAGGTAGCTGAGACCAGATTGTTCGTCGTAGGCCGAGACAAAGGTTCGCGCCTCGATGGGAGTGTCGGAAACCTTGGTCTCCAGCAGTCGGACGGCGTCCAGCCTGCCCTTGGAGTCTGCCTTGGAGCGGATGGAGAGGACGTTGGGGCTGTAGTAGGAATCACGGTCCTCCTCGTCCTCAGGCACGATCACACCCCAGGCGTAGGTGAAGTCAGCTCCGATCTCGGTCTCCAGGTCGATCATGTTCTTGGGGACGCTGAGTTCGTAGCCTTCGTCGGTCAGGCTCTGGGTGCAGTTAAGGAACTCGAAATACTGAGGAGAGATAGGCTTGCCACTATCATGAGAGAGTGACAGAATTACAATGTCGTCAGTGGCTTAGCCTTACAGGGAAGAGCAACCACAACGGCTGCCCTACTCACCTTGGTCGCTTGGAGTCCAGGACGGCATTGCTCTTCTTGCCGGTGATCAGAGACTTCTCAGTGTGGCCAGCTACAAAGCCGAGGTTCTCGTCAGCGTCGGCGCCCAGCGTCAAAAGACCTGAGTTCATGCCTTCACAGCCGAACAGGGGGTTCTGCTTCAGGCTGGCAGCCTGGGCGACGGAAGCGATGGAAGCGGCGGCGAGCGCGGCGGAGACGATGATTGCCTTGACCATTGTGAGTAATGTAAAGAGTGTGGGGTGGGGTGAAAAGAGTGTGGAGTGGTAGTAGAGTAGAGTAGAGTAGAGTAGAGTGGAGTGGAGTGGAGTGGTTGTATGATGAATTGAAAGAGCAGAGGAGCGACTTCTGAGCCCTCCTTATGTATGTCTTCGAGGGATATGAACGACTACCTACAGAGCCTGCAACGAACGAGTTTCTACACCACCCTATGCCTTCAACGATCCAGAGGTAGAAGCTCTCTGGACAGTCTACGGCTGAACATACCTGACATTGACTCGGCTCGCAGGTAGGTCCGAGCTGGAGATGTTGAGATGCTCAACGGCTCAGAGGTCGAGAGCCGTGACCTTTACGGTTCTATGTCGCCCGTTGAAAGCCAGAATAGAGCATGGAAGCATTCTTGAGCTTCTTCGAGAGCCCTTTCCTAAGATCCTTCGGAGTCAAATCGCGTCACTTCAAGTCGCCACAGTCAAGTAAGTTGCGGTGCTGGTGCACTTCGAAGGGCAAAGAAGAGCCGAGACGCAGGGCGGGTATTGGGGTGAGGTGTGTCACTTCTGGTCTGACAGGTTTCCAGACGACGACGAGCGTGAAGGTGTCGGACAGTGCGCCGAACTTTGAGTCTGTTGTCTCCGCTGAGCGCGGGCAAGCAGATGCTCCGGGAGAACCAGCATGCCAACACTTGCTTGATGTGACGAGACGAGCTTGAGCTAGACGCCGGCGGCTTGATTGGCTTCCACGGAACGACTTACGCTCACAATCTACGCTCGGAGCACCAAATGGCAATGGAATGGTGCGGGGAGTCACTCACTCTGTGCTTGGCAAATCCTGCGCGCAGGCTGGCAACCTCAGGGCGAGGGGCTCTGACTTGGACTCGGTACCCAGCATTCCTCAGGCCAATCGGGGTGGCGTAGCGGGCGCGTACGCGCGCCAGATCTTTTCACCCCCGCCATGCAAGGTCCGCATGCCCCACAAAGCGTTCCCGTCAGGCGAAGAGTCTGGTTGGCCAACCATGTCCTTGCAAGGACTGGCCACTTCGCTTCTGCAGGTCTGACAAGGCCGGGGAACGCAGGGCTGCAGGCGCTTCACATTATCACACTTCCAGCCATCGCCGAAAGGTGGGCTGGCTGGGTCGCAGGTCTCTCTCAAGCCGTTCCAAAGGTCTCGCGCTCAGCAAAGGTGACAAAATTCGGAGTGCTTCATAGATTGCTCGTGAGCTGAGGCTGCATGCCTGCCGGTGTAATCGACTATCCAAATTCTCGCACTGCGCAGGCGTTTCAACAGCGTATGTAGTGCACAGGCTTGACCAGAGAGGAGGCATGCGATTGCCATTAACAAGTCCGACTCTTCATCTAGAGGTCAACAGCTTCGGAGTCGGAGAGGGAGAAGCTCTCAGGAGCAGCGGTGGCCGTCAGATTACGACAGGCACAAACAGTGTATCCACATCTACGAGGGGCGCAAGGGAATGGACGATCGGATTGAGAAATGGCGCAAAAGTCCGATTGAGATGGAAATCTATGACAAAGGAGGCACCTTGATGATCGGCGGAGGTCGCAAGGAATGTATGAGCGAGAATATCTGCGGCTGTGAGCGCGATGCTTAGCCGGACGTGGAGAGTGTGAGGTAGGCGGAGCCGTCGTGCTTGGTCATGTTGGTGGCAATGCCGACAGTTCCCCACTTGTCATCGATGGGGTAGAAGACACCAGCCTTGGGTGCCTTCTTGGTGCCGGCAAAGGGGTAGTACTCGAGGAATTTAGGTGTAGAGTTGTCGATAGTGGCCATAATGAAGGTTCGGTATTCGACGGGAGTCTCAGAAACCTTAGTGTTAAGAAGAGCGGCGCCGTCGAGCCTGCCGTTGCTGTCCTGGGCAGTCTTGGACGACAGAGAGTGCTGGGTGGAGCCGCTGCTTCGCAGGACGCCCCACGAGTAGGTGAAAGTGGTATCTTCAGTGGTCAGGTTGGCGAAGCTGTTGGGCACTCGGAGGGCGTAGCCACGGTCGATTAGGCTTTGGGTGCAGTTAAGGAACTCAAAATCTTGCGCGGACACAGCGTCGCCGCTGGGTTTGTCAGGAGGTATCGTCTGTAGGTCAGCGCGATGCGAAGGGTCAAAAAAATAGAGGCGCTTGCTAGCTACAGTACTCACTTGGTACGAGTGGTGGAGAGAACAGAGTTTCCGGACGTGCCTGTAATCCTGGACTTGCCTGTGCGACCAGCGACGAAGCCGGCAGGGATGGCATCGCTGTCGTCAGGAGTTCCGAGACTCAGAGTTCCGGAAGCCTGGGAGACACAGCCAAAGAGGGGATCCTGCTTGAGGCTGGCAGCCTGGGCGACAGTGGCAATGGAAGCGGCTGCGAGCGCCGCGGAGAAGACGAGTGCATTGACCATTGTGTTCTGTAAAGGAGCGTAGGTGTGTGTGTCAAAAGAATGTGTTGGGAGAGTGGTACTTTAGTAGATTGGAGTGGAGTGGAGCGGTTGTGTGATGAGTGGCAAGACGAAGGGATCGACATTTGTGCCCGCCTTTTGTAGGTCTTGACAGAATGCTACTCATTCAGCATCAGACATTCGGGAATCTACGTCTTCAATGCCTCCAAAGATGCAGAGCTACTATCCACGATGGGCGAGCGCCGAACATACCTGGATCAACTTTGGCGTGCAGAGCTGATGCGAGCTCAAGTTGCTTCAGATTCAGGCTGCGCGTGCATGGTCTGCACGGTCGAGGACCTGCGCGACCGTGACAAAGGGGAGGTCAAGCTTCACGGAGAGCGGCGACGGCATTGGAAGGTGGCTCCCTCGGAACAAAGTGATGACGAATCTGTCTAGTAAGATCCATTTGAGACGCAGAACGAGCCTGTCAAGCCACCGGCGAAGAAGGGGTGCAACGCACGACGAGCACTGGGTGAGGCAGGTCACTGCTCGCATGTTCACCCTTGATCCGTTTGCGTACGAACATGTTGATCTCTACATAAAGCTAATAATCTGGGCTACGCGAAGCTTGCATACGCCCGATGTTCCGGACATGTCCCGTGTGTGACGCGACAATGCATGAGAGCCAGCATAAAGGCCCGGAACGTTTGCGACGGCTATTTGCGGTGGCTCGATCGGCCTGCACACATCGATACACGCCTGCAATCTGCTCGAAGCATGAATGCAGTCAAGAGGGCTGAGGGGTACCGGTCATTGCGTGCCTGACAGGTGCAGCGTGCAGGTCCGGCGAATGCGCCGCCATTCGTCAACATTCTTCAGGCCCGTTATGGCTGCGTAGGCGCCTACGCATGCCAAGCACATTATGTACTTGCAGAGGTTGGTCCATTATGCACCTCTAGGACGCCAAATTGCATGCTCTTGCAAACCCAGTCCTGGGTCTTCAGCAGGCGCAGTCATTCTCACATGAGGTCTCGTGGCTGCATCGGAACCCTATGTCCAATCACTTCGGTGGCCCCTCGCGCTCAGCCAATGTGAGGAAGTCCAGTGAGATTCATTGGGGACTTGTCGTAAGTTGAATTTTCATAAGCATCGCAGGCTCTGATTCGCGACGTCGACAAAGCGTGAGAGGAAGGTACAAGTGTTGCTACAGTCTCAGGCGCTGCTAGCCAGGGAGCGGCCAAGAGCGGGTCTAATGTCAGCGAGAGTAGGCAGGTGTACTGGAGAACGCTAGCAATCACAGTCGCTGCGTCACATTGTAATAGAGACGAAAGGCACATGGACACTTCGCGCACTCGACTGGAAAGAATGAAAACGAAGGATCAAAATTGACGAATAGAAAGCAAAAGCGTGGATGACATGGGGTTGGCTCCTGACCAAAAGGCCTTGTGTAGTCGCTCAAGCGTGACTGGCAGCCCTAGTAAAGAGAAGCTCTTTAAGTAGACGCAGGGGTCTCCTCCTCAGGGGCAGGGATGACACCGAGAGTGAGGAAAGTGGTGCCCTCGTACTTGGTGAAGTTGGTGGAGACGCTGACGGATCCCCACTTGTCGTCGGCAGCGAAGAACTGACCGGCCTTGGGGGCGTCGGCGGTGCCGGCGAAGGGGTAGTACTCCAGGAAACCGATGGGGGTGGCATCTGGGTCGTCAGAGGCTGGCTGTGCCATGATGAAGGTACGGTACTCGGGCTTGGTGCTGGCGACCTTGGTGTGGAGGAGAGGGACACCGTCGAGCCTGCCCTTGCTGTCCTGGGCAACCTTGGGGGAGAGAGAGTACTTCTCAGAGTCGGCGCTTCGCAGAATACCCCACGAGTAGGTGTAGGTGACCTCATCGGTGGAAAGAGCGGCAAAGCTCTGGGGCACGTTGAGCTCGTAGCCGCGGTCCATCAGGCTCTGGGTGCAGTTGACGAACTCGAAGTCCTGAGAGCTGACAGCGTCACCGCTGTGATGATGGGGGTAATGAAGGTATGGTCAGCGCATGGTCACAAGTATACTAGGCTCATGTGCTCGCAAGCTACTCACTTGGGGCGGGTGGTGGAGAGGGCAGAGTTCTTGGAAGTGCCAGTGATCCTGGACTTGCCAGTGCGGCCAGCGACGAAGCCGGCGGGGATGGTGTCCGAAGAGATGGTTCCGTCTTCAGCAGGGGCACCGAGACCGAGAGGTCCGCTGGTAGCACCAGCGAAGTCACAGCCGAAGAGGGGGTCCTGCTTGAGGGAGGCGGCCTGAGCGACCGAGGCGATGGAAGCGGCGGCGAGCGCGGCAGAGACGAGGATTGCCTTGACCATTGTGAGTGATGTAAAGAGTGTGGGGGGGTTGGTGGTAAAAAGAGTGTGAGAAGAGTGGAGTGGTAGAGTAGAGTGGAGAGTAGTGTGTGTTGATGAGAAGAAAAGTGGATGAGGTAGCGACAAATCAGGCCACCTTATGTACCCTTTCGTAGCCTATGTTGATGTCCAGCGTCGGTCGAATGTTTCGTCGTACACACCCGCTTCGTTGTCTTGCATTTGGCAACATCTACTCAGGAGAAGCCCGGTATGTACCGTGGATTGTGGTGATAGACCGCTCCTTCTCAGCTTGTTCGGATGCGGATAACCGTGGATCGAGCTTGGTATGCTTCCATCTGAGCAAGCGTAGAGACTCTATCAATGCCAAGAGTGGGTTCCATGGCGGATTGACTGCCGGACTTCGAAGCACATAGTGAAGGTCACCTGAGCGAGGGCGCTGTGTTCTCCGTGCAAGGAGATGCTACACTGAGTACATCCTCGATAGCCTGGGAATTGCGCAGTGGCTTCACAAATGCCTGCGTTGGTGCCAAGGAAGACGGACACCGAAAGCGAAAGGGGCTAGCTCGACAGCATAGGTGGGAATGAATCTTGTGCCATCGGAGTGGGATGGGACCATGCCTCGCCTACACGATGCTCCGTACTGCACCTCTCGTGCCAAGGTGGCAAAGAGGCGACGGTGTGCGTGTGGCTGGCTGATACTGGTCTCGGAGTCGTCGGATAGCATCCGCATTCCGGCGGCAGTGGAATTCTGGTGGCGCTCCGAGCAATGGCGTGCAGGCCACATTCCCCCTTGTCTTGAGCCAAATCCCCCGGTCTCTCAGCCTCGGCTGCATTCCAAAGCGTCCACCTGACCTTTACGGTTCTTTACTATTCTCCGCCACTCAGCTTTTGCTCCCCTACCCCGCACTCCTCAACAAGATCCGAGGGGACAATGGCGCAGCCGAGGGATGCGCGCCGGATCGGACATCATCGCCTGCAGGTAGTGGTGGCGTGCCTGCCTGCCCCCTCCCCCGCGTTGCACCCCGCCCCCGCGTGGCCTGCACCTGGATGGATTTAGATTAGGCTACGCAGGGTCTGTGTCGGTGTGCAGTCGTATGGGCGCATGTGCTGTACGTAGCACCGAGCTGAGGAAGGCAAGAGTAGGACATGCCAAATCAGGTTGCCCTCACTAGGCGGCGCGCTCTTCAGCATCGCTTAGAGTCATCAGATTCGTCATAGAAGAGAACAAGGAATCTAGCGAGGAATGGTGTGACATGATGCGATCCTTGCGCGCTGGGACTCAGAATGTGGACCAATGGATGAATACATCTGTTCTGGTGCAGAGAGCAGATGAGGAGGGGCAAAGAATCCCTTTGGAAGCCCGGCGAAAAGAAGTCTTCGAACACTGACCCTTCCCGCCCATTCGTCGCATCGGACCCCGTTTCTGAAGACCTTTACACCTGTCTAGCTACTTGCGCACCTCTCCCTGCTCGTGTCTGACCTGAGAGGCCCTCACGCCCTCGGTGATCGAAGCATTTGCCACGGAAGCTTCACTGACTGACATGTCCCCCTCCTCCAAGGTAGATGAAGAGGGTGGCGGTGGCGGCGAAGCTTCTGCCGGTGCGGTCGAAGCGGTCGCAGCGCGGTCCAGGCCCATCTCTCTAATTGGCAGACAGACCAGTAGAGTGAGTGTGAGGCTCACTGCAGCAACGATGAAGGCTACTCGCACAGCAGCCTGGTATGAGTCGACAGCGTGTTCTTGTAGATGTCTCGGAAGATTGATCAAGTCCGCCGCATTGTGTCGAATATAGTCGATGGTTTCTTGGGCGCCTTGGCCCTTGATGCGCTCCATTAGCTGAACGCGCAGAGCGGCTTGGGTGATGGCCCCTCCGACGCCAACTCCCATTACCCCGCCCAGATTGCGTGAGAGGTACATGAGCCCATTCGCCCTTGCCAGGTCGGCCTTTTGCAAGGAGGAGAGGAGGGCGATGAGTGCAGTCGTACTAGCAAAGCCCGCACCCAACCCGAGCGGAATCGGAGACACAAAAAAGAACCAAGATGGGGTAGACTTACGGTCCCACGTACAGAGCATGATGGCTGAGACAATACTTAGACAGTTGCTCAAGTTTAGACTTGTCTTGAATCTTCCAAAGCGTCGTATGTAAACTCCAGCCGAGATGGAGCCTATAGAGATGGCAAAGGCGCAAGGCGCTGTCCGGAGGCCCGTTTGAGCCGGTGAAAGCAGTAGGGCCGTCTCGAGGAACAGCGGCATGTGGAAGCTCATTACAAAGATTGAGAATGATACCAAGAAGAAGAAGAGGGTCGAAAGTGCAAAGTTGCGGTTGTGAAGCAGACGGAAGGGGACTACGGGCTCCTTTGCAACGTACTCCTCGATGTAGATGAAAGAGGTAAGTGCTAGGACTGCAAGTAGCAGCAGACCCCCAACACGAGGATGAAAGAAGGAAAGCTCCTCGCCAGACCAGAAGGAGATGGCAGTCTGCGAAGAGATCACGGCAACGGATAGAGTTGCAATTCCTGCCAAGTCGAAATGCTGGATCTTGGTTCCAAGAGACTGAGCCTGTACCTCCCGGGATGCGGGTAGACGCACGAAAATGGTGACGAGTAGTGCCGATATACACAGAAGAGGTACTTGAGCGCCGAATCCAAAGCGCCATCCTAGCGTTGCGCTGATTACGCCGCCTAGAGGGGCTCCACCAGATGTGCCCACGCAGAAGACGATATTTGCCATCCCCTGCCAGAGCGCACGTTTTCTCAATGGGACGAGGTCGCCCATAATGATGGATCCCATTGTCTGCACACCGGCTCCACCGATCCCAGCTACGCTCCGTGCTGCGATGAGGGCATTCATGGTAGGAGCCAAGGCGCAGCCGAGATTGCCGAGCTAGTATGGGAGGGCGGTAGAAGGGGTCAATCCTTACTATTCTCCACCAACACTACTCTGCTGGCTCCAGGACCAAATACTCACCCCGAAGAAGAACAATGCCAGCAACATACTCGGTCTCCGACCTAGCACATCGGCTAGCTTACCAAATGTGGTGCAGAAGGCAGTCGTGGAGATCAAGTAGCTGGTTCCCAACCACGTCCCCTTCTGAGACTCCCCAAAGGAGCTCGAGATTGGGGCTAGTAGCGTTGTGACGAGGACACCTGAGTGGGACCGTATCAAAAGGTATGCGGTGAAGAGGTTCAGATTCCAGTCAGGAGGTAAAAACATGTAGAGGACTCACCATCCAATGCAGAGAGGATGATTGCCGAGAACAGCGCGACCATAGTCGGGAGCAGGATATGCAAAGGCGTCTCCTCTGACTCTTCCCCCGGCTTTACATCTGCACCATCACCATTAGCACCACCTTCACCCTCGCTTTCGACGTTTCCAGCGGACTCTGCATCCCTCGGAGCGTCTTGTGAGGCAGAAGATAGCAGCGGTGTGCGCTCCGTTGCCCGGGAAGTTGCCGCGTTACCGCTTTCGCTATCTCCGGGACGCGCCATCGCGTTGCTGCACAGGGTCGGAGTGGAGGGACAGCACGGTCAGAAGCTCTGAAGGATACCCAACCAGACCGGAGATGAATCGCACGAGTAGAGAGAGCGACAGAGAGGGAGAGAGACCAAGCAGAAGAAAGAAGATGAGGTGAGAGTGAGGAGGAGAGACACAATCTATGGGAGTCGCCGTAAGTGCAGCCTCTGCTCGGGCCACCACCCCACCCTCTCCATCTCTCCGACGGAAGCGCCAAGGCGGCCGAAGAGAGCCGATGCTAGATAAGAACGACGGATCTGACGAAGGCTAGAATTAATAGAGAGGGACGACCCTTATCTATTCTCCATGTTGATGCTGATTTTGATATTGGTGATGACAGGCTACAAACACAAACACTCAATCTATTGCAATGCGTGGTACAGGGTTAAAAATATCTACAATTCCAAGATGCGGGGCAGAGCAGAGAGAATAGAAAGATGTGCGCGTGGCTAGAGTGCCTGACAAGAGTACTCGACGCGACCTTGTCGAAAGCCCTCCATTGCCTTCCAATGAAGTGCAATAGCCAGCAGGATAGCGCAGTGCCACCACTGGTGACTGTGACCCCACAGATCGAACTTGCCGGGGAGCAGGCTCTCGGGACAATTCGTGGCGTAAATGACTAGGCCACCGATGTAGGCCAGGAGGGAAGGGATGATGGGTGAGAGGAAGACAAAGGTGCGTATGAGGCCGTGCTTGTAGGAGGCGTGGAAGAAGGGGAGGAGAGAGGTGAAGCAGATGCCGAGGAACATTGCGATCCTCTTGCCCTTGTTCTCCCGCTTGTTGAACCACGTCTGCCATGGCAACACTGCGCCAGCCAGGCCGACCAGCCCAGTGGTCACAGAGTAGAGGAGGGCGAGCTTGGGCTGACAGAAGAACTCTGCATAGACTGTAGATATGACTGTGGCGGCAATGAGGACGGCTACGCCAGAGTAGTCGGCGCATGCGCTACGATTGAACAAGCAAATATTGCTGGAGCCAGAACAGATGTGCCAAGCGACAGAGAGGATCAAACACTTGAGGGCGCTGCCTAGATAGGCTGCGCGGATGACTCTGTCCATGTTTGTCGCATCTTCATCGTGAGATGCCCAGAACAGAGGCAAGATGAAGGCGATGCCGACGAGATGGGTGTGAATGTTGAGAGTCTCGTTGTGAATTGTGACGGCAGATTTGAGCAGAGCAAGGGGCTCATTGAGTGGAATGAAGCGATACCCAGTCAGGATATGCTCGTTGTTCCTCCACAGGTGTGGCAGCTCTTCGTAGGTGATAAGGCGACCTCCCTTTGCCAACTCGCAAGCTCGTGCGTATGCTGCTCGTTCCAATTCTAACATTGAGTCGATGATGGAACCCGCACGTTCCCTGCCCTTCGAAGTCGATTCCAAAATCGACTCTACGAGGGAAGAGGAGACTTCGCCCATCCTTGCGCTGGGCCATTGCAGCTGCTTTCGCTCTTCCCAAAGGTCTCGAAGCGACATTGTTGCCATTGTCTCGTTGAGCGTCTCAAGTTGCGAATGCATGGCTGCAAGCAGACCAGAAGGGCCGGCAGGTAGACGAGAACCCAAGGCCGAAGCAAGTCGCTCCCAGTCGGCAGCCAGAGATTGCGATCTGGCAGCAAGAGCTGCTTGCGATGCAGTGAAAGTGGAGACCGGGGAAGGGAATGAGGCGAGGGACTGACCGAATGCTGCTTGTGGAGGCGTGGGGAAGAGCAGGACAATGCGCTTGAGGTCATTGCGGATAACAGCGAGCTGCGATTGGAAAGTGACGAGCATATCGTTTGAGGACGACGATGAAGCTGGCGTACTGTCTGCTCCACCGCCTTCTTCGTGAGCTCGTAAACGAGATGCCACGGCCTTGGCTTTGTCTTCGAGCGCCGCGAGGTAAAGGACGATGCTGTCACGCATGGCGACGACTGTGTATGGCATACTGAGAGAAAGATCAAGCTGTTGAATGCGGGAAGTGAAAGGATGAGAGGGCCATCTACAGAAAAGGCGACCCGTCCCGCTCCATTCTGTACTCACATAGTCTAGTCGTTCCTGTTGCCTCGCCTTTCCCTTTTCTGACCACCGCAGAACCCGATCGTCTTCATCACTCCACTCTCCATCCTCGCTACTGCTCAATTGACTGCTCCAACCGCTATCTGTGCTGGTCCAGCCCTCAGATCCAGTAAAGAGCGACGATGCTAGCTCTCTCCGCCTACTGCTGGCATGGTACACCGAGGCAGGCTGAGATGCCCGCCGTTGATGAAGGTGGACGGGTCGCTTGGGGTGAGAGGCTGCATCGTGATGACGGTGGTGAGGTTGATGAGACTGAACCGCCTTCGAATGACGCCGGCGCACCGAAGTCGAGGCGGTGGGGGTGTCCGGGGAGGTGGCAAGAGATGACGCCATGCCAGGCCCGGGGAGGCGATGATGGAAGGGTCCAGTGAGGCGACTATGGGAGATGGTTTGTGTGCGCCAGTGGTGATTGCCGAGCCCTTGTCGGCTTCACTGCAACGTTGTGTATGGGATGAATTCAGTTGATGGACAGGAGCTGCACGCCAGACTGGGGCGTTTGCAGTAGGCCGGGCAACAATGTAGCAGTGGGTGCCTGCCAAGTCCTCCCGTCCCGTTGTGCCAGGCAGTCCAGGCCGCGCTGCCTCAGGCCACGGCCATTGCCTCGAGTAAATTGCCGACGGGTTGAAATTGGTACCACACGCGCAGAGACTGGCCTGGTGCCTCACAGCCGACGCGACAACGACGACGCTCGGGCCCCGACGAACGGAAGTGGGAGCAGCCCGGAGCCGTGCGTTCCTGAATCCAGCTTTGGTCAGTAGACTTGGCGCACCAGCTTACGACGAACAACGTCGGACGACGAACGAGCGAGGAAGAACACAGCCGCCGGACATCGTCGCAGCAAACAGAGACGTCTGAAGGAGAGAAAGGTATATAGAGAGCCCAGCATGTCACCCTTGCGCCTCCTTCGTAAGGACCCTCCCAACACTACACCTCCTCCCCTCAGCCTCCTCACCATGTCCTCAAAGGAGGTCGAGGCTCAGCCCCTCTACCCCAAAGCAGTCTCTGCTCCGAGGAGTGCCAACAGAGCCATCTGGACTCGTCCTCTGCTAGCTCTGATAGGTATCTGCCTCTGGTTCGGCCTGCGTGGATCCTTCAACGATACCTTGCATCAGGCAACCAGCCTCCTGCAACCCATACAAGGGCTCACTTCTGGGTCCGTCCTGCTGGCCAACAAGACGCTACCTGCAGATGAGGACGTCGACTGGGTGAGTACCGTCAGATCAAGCCGGATCTCTCATCCTCAAGTCTATGGGTGACTCAAAGCTGATGCCACCTCACCTCCCACGCGCACAGGCCAAGGTACCTCTGGGCAAGCTCACTGCCATCAAGTGCTGGGACGATGAGTTCGTAGACGCGCCTGGCACCCACTGCTACCGTATGCAGGCACCTCTCAATCACCTCAACAAGTCTGACACTCGTAGAGCCTCCCTCGCCGTCGTCAAGTACGAGGCAGGTGGTGGTAAGACGCCCCGCTCCAAGGTACTAGGCAGCGTCTTCTTCAACCCCGGTGGCCCCGGTGGATCTGGAGTGGACTGGCTCAGGTCCTTCTCCAATCGCGCCGGTGGGCCGCTAGTCAGCGGAGCCCAGTGGCTCGACGTTCTCCTGGAGTCAAAGTACGACATCCTCGCTCACGACCCTAGGGGCGTCAAGACTACATGGCCCAGAGCTGACTGCTGGCAAGACGAGACCCTTAAGCTCGTCGACGACAGCTTGCACCTCGGGGTAGACCTTTACCAAGCTTCTAGCGCTTCTCTTCCCAGAGATGTCGCACACAACCGACTTCTTGCGAACCTCTGCAAAGACCGCATCGGCGATGAGCTGCAATACGTTGGCACAGCTGCCACGGTCCGGGACCTCAGAATGCTATACAAGGCCGTCGGCGACAAGGCTCTCAACTTCATTGGCGTCTCCTATGGCACAGCTCTTGGCAGCTACTATGCAGCCATGTTCCCCAAGGAAGTCGGTCGTTTCTGGCTTGACGCCGTCGTGGATGCCGAATATCAGCAAGGACTCTGGTTCGACAACTTGATCGACTTCGAGGCTGTCCTGTCACATTTCTGGTCTACATGCGCACAGGCGGGTCCCGAGCTCTGTGCTCTTTCCGAGGCTCTGACTACAGAGTCAGACAGAGCGACCAAGGACAAGGGGGCGTCGGTCATCTCGAAGAAGTTCTATGAAGCTATGGAGAGCATCCGAGTTCAGCCCGTCGTCGTCATGGACGTCGACTTCCCCCAGCTTCTGACCTACCTGTTCCTCAAGGGAGAGATTTTCAGCACTATGTATGCGCCTTCAACCTGGCCACGTCTTGCTCAGCAGCTCGCTCCAGGTATCAAGGATGGCAATTGGACGGCCTTTGTAGCTGCAAATGGCCTGGGAGTGCAGGTGGCCGAGGCTGTCGACCCTCCAAGGAGGAAGCGAAGGCCTTCGAGCAACTACACGTCCCCAATGGCTCAGACCGTCATCATGGGCTCGGATGCTCTCGCCAACGAACAACATTGGGAGGCCAAGGAGTACCGAACCCGCCTGCATGACCTCCAGAAGATATCTCCCTTTGGAGCAGAGATCTGGACCGGTAACGGCGCAAAGGCTGCAACGTGGCCCATCGATGCCAGCGAGCAGTTCGATGGATTCTTCAACACCACCCCTGCCACTCCCATCCTCTTCGGCAGCAACGACTTCGACCCCGTCACCCCTCTGGCTTCCGCACGCAAGATGGCCGCCTCTTTCAAGGGCAGCGCTCTTCTCCGCGTCTCTGGCGGTCTGGGCCACAGTACGATCAGTCTCCCGAGCAAGTGTGCCTCCAAGACGGTAGCCGACTACTTTGTCCGAGGCGCACTACCCCTAGACCTAGATGAACGTGGCGAAAAGGTCTGTCTGCTTGATCGTCCTCCTTTCATCCCTGCTGACGAGACCAAGGCTCGCACTGCCGCTCTTCATGCCGCAATTGCTGGCGAGACGGTAGAGGGAGAGGACTCTGTCGGACTCTTGTCCGAGGAGGCTCATGTCGGTATGGGCACGCATCACGCCGACTGGATCTCATCTCACGGCCGACATGATCGTGCGCGACTTTGATCGCAGAGAGTGTTCACATTCGAATCGTTGCCCCGTCAAAGCATTGTTGACAAACTTCTTTAGAAATTAATGATACTGTCCTTCCATCTTTTAGCACAAGCTACAGGGCTACAGGGCCCCCAGCTTAAAGTCGTACCTCCTCTGCCCGTGCCGCCTCTCCTCCTCACTCAACAGTCTTGCCCGCCCTCCATCCATAGTATGTACATCCCTCTCGACGAATGTCACCTCCCCGCTTTTCCTCACGAGGAGGATCGTCGAGGTCCTAGTCCCGTACCACGCCTTACCTTTGCCCTTTGGAGGCGCCATGCTGAATGCAGGGACCAGGACGGTGCGTCGCAGGTCTGCTCGCTCTTGCACTTGGTCTAGACCGGGCGTGGCAAGCACTTGGAAGAGGGACTCGATAAAGGCCTCTTCTGCTTCTGCCTCTCTCCTTCCTTCCCCTTGCTGATACTCTGGCCCAACCGGCTGCCGTGAGCTTGAAGCTTCAGCAGCTCCAGCAGCACTAGAAGCGTACCGCTGCACCGCCTCGTCAAATCCGGCCCGACCCGTCTTGACCTTGGACCAGGGCTCAGAGAGGACAGAGTTGGATAGACCGAGCGAGGTGGTGTCTGTGTCTGTGCTTGTGCCAGAGTTTAGACCGTTGACCTTGGTGTTGGTGGGAGCGGCTTGTAGGCTGCTGGGTTGCAGAGAGGAGACTCGTGACCCGTCGCTGGCGTCATGGTCGTTAGCAGAGGGAACTTCGCAGCTGAGGCAAGCTGTTTGGCTGCCTTCCAATTTCGAAGAAGCGTGCTCATCATGAGGATGGAGAAGAAAGCGCACCTCTCCGGGTAGACTGTCCGACTCCCCCGGCTCTGCCTCGCTACCCTGGCTGTGATTGCGATTGGTGGCGTACGCAAGCTGAGCTCGCTTCTCCCCTGTAATCGTCGGAAGCTGACCAATCAGAAGATTGAATCCGGCGTACTCGTCCCTCTCTTGTTCCAGCCGGTCAAGGTACTTCTGCATATCCTCCGTACCTCCGTCTGCTGTGAGCCAATCCCTCACGAGCCCGCCACGGGAGCGATACGAGAGTACGTGCGGCTTGCCCTTCGGCGGGAGGGCAGGTGGAGCAGGCTCGGTGAAGTTGGTCAGGGCAGCCCATCTTCCCGAGAGGACGTGGACGCCCAGCCAGGTACCGCCGCCAGAGAGGTCGGCATCGATCCCGCTCAGAATGGGGTGAGTGGCGGAGGGCGTGGAGGAGAGCTGAGGGGAGATTGCTGATGTGCCCGCCGGAGCGGAGGAGGAGACGAAAGTGGAGGGAGAGGGGAAGGAGTGGAAGGCTGCAGAAGATGTGGGACGCTGCAGATACTCATCTCTATTCGAGGCGAGGATGCTGTGAAGAAGAGTCGACGGTCAGGTGAGCTGCGCTGCTCATGGGCGGAGGGAGGAGCTTAGGTGCACTCACAGGTGATGATCGTGGCCGCCAAGGGTGAAGAAGATGCAGCACATCCTCGCTGCTCAAGCGCCTCGCTGCAACGATCTTGATTGGGACCTTTTGTAGCTATAGATGGAGTGTGAGTACCTCGTGAGCTCTTGCAGTCCTGGTGGCATGAAAAGGAGGAGGATTGCTTCTCATCAGGGTCCAGGCGGAAAGGGAGCCGACCGCAAGAGGGCGGTGGCCCAAGCGCAACATTGCCGCCTGCAATGCCATGCTCCTTCCTTCTGTCCCTCATTCCTTCCGTCCTTCTTTGACCGGGACGACGTCTTTGCTTCTTTCTAGTGAAGATGTCAAGGTCGTTTCAGTCCATCATCTCTCCCGTCGGCTACTCTTCTTCCACTTGCGGCTACTGCTCTCCCCCCGGCCAGCGCTCCTCATCCAAGACCTCCCACTCTTTTGGCATCTGGGCGCACGACCTCTCTGCGGAGCACTATCAGCGACTGGCAGATGCAGGATGGAGACGCAGTGGAAGCTACGTCTACAAGCCTGATTTGGCAGCGACCTGTTGCAAGCAGATCAGCATTAGGCTGGAAGGGCAGAAGTTCAAGGTCGGCAAGAGTGGGCGGAAGACTATGCGGAGGTTCGTAGAGGAGCTGAGAGGGGCTGGGGAAGAGGGTGAAGCAGAGCTGGTGAGGCAGAGGGATATATGGGGCAAAGGCAAGGGAAAGGGCAAGTACACCCAGCCGACTTCTCTACAAGACTTCTTCGCTGCTATCGAGGAGAATGAGGACGATGGTCCAATGGAGTGTCGGCCCTCCACCTCTTCCGACCTATCCTTGTTGCACCAGCAACGTCACGACCTCTTTACGCAATGGCGCAAAGACTCGCCGCCTTGTACAAGCACACCTCGTCCTCCTCCACCGACGTACCCCCCTCGTCTGCCCAAATTGAAGCACAAGCTGCGTACACGTCTCGTTCCGGGCTCTTCCTCTGCTCAGAAGTATGCCCTGTTCAGACGGTACCAGCAGGGGATCCACAAGGAGTCAGACGAAGACATCTCCTCTCGAAAAGGCTTCGAGCGCTTCCTCTGCGAGAGTCCCGTGAGGCGTACATTCCCCGATGCGTCTGAGGACCCGGACCCAAGTGCTGCGCACAGATTGGACGGAGCTGTGAATCCTTCCGGTCCTTCTGCGATCCCATTTGGCCTCTATCACCTCGAGTGGCGACTAGACGACGAGCTCGTAGCCGTCAGTGTCCTCGATCTGCTTCCACACTGTCTCTCCTCCGTCTACTTCTTCTACGACCCAAAGCACGAGAAGCTCCAATTGGGCAAGATCAGTGTTCTGCGAGAGGTTGCCCTGCTCGAGCGGATCCGGGCGAAGCCAGGGATGGAGGAGGTGAAGTGGTACTATCTGGGTTTCTACATCCACAATTGTCAGAAGATGAGGTACAAGGGAAATTATAGACCTAGTCAGTTGTTGGACGCAGAAGATGGTCAGTGGGTCGACCTCGACGAGGCCTGTCCGGTCCTCGACACCGGCAAGGGGTACGGCTTCAGCAAGGGGAAGGGAACTATGGGAGAAGCGAGTAGCATGGAGGCTTCAATAGCGGTCAAGTCACCGGAGCCTTCCTCGCCTTCATCTTCTTCCTCAGACCAGTCATCCGCAAGCGATTCGTCCCTGCTCCCCTCATCTCGGACCCCCTGCCCTGGTATCCTAGACCCAGCGTCGCTGGACCCTAACAAGCTGGCAAAGCAGATCTATGTCCTTGAGTCGAGCCGGCAGCGAGACGGCATCAAGCCCATGATTCTGTCTAGGCTGGAGGGAAGGGATCAAGAAAAGGTCAAAGAGGCAGTGGCTGCCCTTGGGTGGGAGATGGCTCGAGAGTGCGTCTTCTTCGTCTAGAGGCACAGGAATGGCATAAGCTGAGGGAAAGGAGAAAGTGGAATGCAGTACTGTCATGTCTTGCGATTAATGGATGACAATGTACAGGATGAGGGTGGAAGGGTGAGACCACGGGCATCTCTCCTCCCGGCTTCCCGACCCGACGTGTGTATAGCTTGTCCTTGTTCTGTGAAGTACCTTCTACCTCCTGATACCTTGAGGAGGACCTCCTCTACCGCGTCGTGATTGTGCTGTATGGGAAAGTGGAGATGTGGGGAGCCGTTGGACGAGTAATCCAGTCAGTAACGGATGTACGACCGCCAAGGCCTCCTACTCCATCGATCAGGCTGAGGGGGCGCCAGCCCTTGCTGATACTGCCTCCACTGAGTCCGCCTTTTCACCTCGATCCAACATCAAGCGAAGGCAAAGAAGTCTACCGCCGACTCTCCAACAAACGTCGGGTCACTCTCAACTCACCTCGCATGATTGTTGCCCTTCCTCTTGCAGCACCAATTCCCCTGCCCTTCATAGCATTCGGTCCCACCCTCTTGAACATCGGGGCCTGCTGCAGCATATCCGGCACGACAATGAATCTGATCATGCTACCTCTGATGTATACGCTGTCTAGATGTGTCTGTTTGCCATCCCTGGCGGTGAGGATGACCTCTTTGAGGGAGCAATTGAGATTGTCCTCTGCATCAAAGAGCTTGCCTCGGTAGGATTGGCCGCCCTTGAGCTCGAGGGTGACGACGTGACCGAGAGACTCGTGTAGAAGCTTTGTGGGGATTCCAATTGTGCCCATACTTGCGGCAAGGAGAGTGGGGCGACAATGGCGAGGATGAAAGTGAAGTCTGATTCAGATGGATGGACAGAGGGACGGAGGCAGAAGCGGAACGGGAAGAAGTGAGATGCACCTCGTATTCTCCTCGCGGGACGGCAGTGGCCCCGGCCCTGTGCGCACACACACACGCACGCACGCCCAGGCGGGGGGCCAAGCACCAACCCACCCCCGCCTCACAGAACCAACACTTGGCCAGGCAGCATCACTCCTTGCACCACTCACACATCGACCATAGCACCGTGACGAAGCTCTGCGCTTGTCCTTAGCCTACTCACTCACTCACTCGTCGTCACCAGATGCTTCCTCACCTTCTCACCTAGACGCAACACTCTCCAAGGGCACCTCATCCCGGCCATCTGTCGGCGGTGTCCCGGCTGGTGTCGCAGCAACACCAGGGCGGCGCGCCAGAGCATCTTGCTTCGAGCCCGTCCCCTGTCCCATAACCTCTTCACTAACTAGTCATGTCTCTGCAACCATCATCGCGGCATCCCCTGGGAGGCATCTCTAGATCGACATCGCCCACAGGACCTGGCTACCAGTCGACCTCCTTTCCTTTCCATGGCGCCGCCTCGTCGTCAAGTGGACATCTGACTCCCTCTGCCGATGCGTCTGTATCTGGTACACCGCCTCGGTCCCATTCACCTATGCTCACATCCAGACGGAGGAGAAACCAGCTCACAAATGACGCCGGTGGTCCAGCCAGCGGGACCCTCGCGCTAGACCAAGACGACGAGTACGATGCCAAGCGCAGAGGCCCTGAGGCTGGCCCTTCGCGGCCGAGGGGTACGACGCTGGACCGGCTCGAATCCTTCTTTGGCATAGACTCGGGTATGGAGGCGAATCGGTCTCTTTCTCCCGCCAAGGCTACCTACAGCCGAGACAGAGGTACAGCCGCTCCGATGAAACCTTCCTCATCCTCTACTGGCAGCCCAGGGACAAGACTGGTTCTCCAACATACAGTCCTCGCAACGGACACGCTTCAGGGCATTGCTCTTCGATACAAGACGGACGTTCCCACAATCAGGAAAGTCAATGGCCTGTGGCCAGGGGATAGCGCTCTCAGTCGGAAGATCATCTGGGTGCCGCTGGACAGATGCAAAGAGCAATTGACCGTCAATCCTGATGCCAGAGTCGGCGTCCAAGGGGCTGATGGTGGATCAGTGACCGAGGCAGCTTCATCCTTGCTTGGTCTTAGTCCGCCAAGCGAGCCTTCTGCACATTCCGGCGTAGCTTCATCACCCCTTCATGAGCGGACACTACCCTCCACGGGAGCTTCTGAAATCTCAGACCTCTCCTCCTCCAATGGCCTACCAACTAACGGCGGCGGTGACTCTCCTCCTGTCGTGCGGAGATTGCCCTCAGAGGCACTCGGCCACTTTCCTGCCACGGCACGGAGTGACATATTGGCTGCCAAGGGCAAGACGAGGGCCGACCAATGGAACGAAGAGCTCACTTCTGCAAGATCGCAAAATCGTTTAGGGGCCGGGCCTGGCATGAGTGGATATGATCCGGGCGAGAGCGGAGTAGAGGATCTCTTACAGCTGGCTCGGGAAGCGAGGGGGACCGGAGAGAACAGCGAGACTCCCAGAGGCCCAGCGTTCAAATTGAGCCTTCCGGAAGACATCAAGCCAGAGGAGAGTCGCTCAGAGGTCTCGTCGTCATCAGCAGCTGAAAAGGACGAGTGGAAACCGAATGTGTGGAAATTTGGCGAGAAGAAGCGGAGCGGAGCAGCAGGAGGCTCTACTCTGGACGAAGGCAGCCGACGAGACAGCTTGGAATCTTCAGCCTCCAACCTTGCGTCCGGCTCGAACAATGCCTCCACGAGCCCTCAGCGTGCTCTCCGCCCGCTCAAGCTGGTCGACAAGAGCATCGAAGAATGGGAGGCCTCGAGCAATGTAGGTAAGCCTTCTGGCTCGCGAGGGGATGCGACCTCTGCTACGTCCCCTGGCTCCTCAAGCAGCGGCTACGCAGGCTGGAATGATATCCCTTCTCTTGATGCTTACGCAAAGGGAAAAGTCGTCGAGGCATATGGTGGCAGTGGAAAGGGGGCAAACGGAAAGCGTCGAGCAGCGCGTGCCAACCATCGATTCTTTGACGATCTTGCAGCTGGTCTGCCACCAAACTCAGGTGCTGCGAGCAAGTGGGCCAGACCCATCGGCGAGTCCCTGCCAGGTGCGACAACACAGAAGGCCTCATCTTCGTCCAATGGACCTTCGCTCAGCTCTGCTGCTCCGGCGGGCAAGAAGTCCAGTCTGAGGGGGCTACTCAGCGATGCGCTTCGTGGGAGGGTAGCTCTGGACGAAGCGCTGGCAAAGGGATTCGAAGAAGTTCTGAATCGGAGTGAAAGCTGGGACTCTTTGCCTCAGGAAGAGATGGAGCAGGCTCGACGCTTAGGTCTCCTTCCACCTTCCGGTCAAGCATCACCAAGCTTGAGAGGACCCCCCTCCCGTTTCAATCCCCTTCCTCCAATGTACTCGGATCGGCCTCGGATCTCAGCGGAGGAAGCCAGAAGGACACTAGGACGGCGCCAGTCTCCCGAGGGGTCAAATCACGTCCCACAGGCCATGCCGGAGGGGCATTCAGGCTCATCTGTGCTGCCGCCTACCACTGCTGACTCGCAGCAGCGCCGAGCTCAGATGGAGATGGAGAGTCTGGATGCGAATCATCATAGCAGACGCAATGTATATAATGTTCCGGCGGTCGAGGGTGGAGGGATAGAAGGCAGTAGAGGTGGCTCTCTCGCTCCTCCGTCAGGGAGTGGCGTGGGTCCCATGCTGAGGAAGACCTCGAACAGGAACCTTGCTACTGCGAATGGGAGCGGAAGTGGGAGGGGGGCTGACGGGGTAGAAGGCAAGTGGGGATGGTGAGGTGCACGCAGCGGGGATGTCGCTGACTGCTGCCTCAGCTCTCTAGCATGGTACTCTCTGCGTGAGGGAATATGTCAACCATCTGCTGTCAACCATCTGCGTCGAGGCCTGTACCGATTGGATGAGCATTGTACGCGTGATGCAGACCAGGCCAAGCGTTGGTGCCTCGCCTCCACGCGCCCCGTGTGACGGAAGTGTTGATCTGGCGGGGCTGCTTGCCCTGCTGGGCCTACGTGAGCGACAACCTTCCTTCCCCACAACTGCCATCTACCATCACCATCACTGCATCCCTTTGATCGCATCACCGTCTTCCGTCCTCGTCCGTGTGTGCGTGTGTATAGATCATGTCAGGCCAAGCCATCAACAGCATTGCCACCATCATTAAGAGGTCAGTAGCAACGCACCTCCACCCGCCAGAGCTCGCCTTGGCACCTGCCAGCTCATCCTACTCTACCACCTTTCTTTCCCCTTTCACAGGCTGGAAGCAGCGACTAGTCGTCTAGAAGATGTAGCTGCCGCTCAGCTTTCCGGATCTTCCCAAGGTGGATCCTCAGCAACCGCTGGCTTAGCACCTGGAACAGGAGCGGCCGGAACAACCGGTACGCGCACACGCAGCGGTACCACCACGAGCATCGACAGTGCTGTTGCTGGGGGTCTCGTCGCTTCGCCCTCTACCTCGACTGCTGCGAGCGACCCACCGGCCGTGACTGCCTGGGACGACTACCTCGACCACTCCCTTCAGGAGTACACGTCCCTCTCTGAGCAGATTGGCGGACTGGTCGCACAGCAGGCCACGCACGTCGTAGCTACCTTCAAGGCGCAGCGCGATCTGATTAAGCTCGCAGCGCATTCGGCCAAGCCTGCAGAGGGAACTAGCTCACCGGTGTTTGCAAAGCTGCTCAAGCCATTGCAGGAGGAGCTGATTAAGGTGGGGGAGCTGAGGGAGAAGAACAGGGGGGAGAAGGTCCTATTCAATCACCTCAGTGCAGTTTCGGAGGGTATTCCTGCGGTAGGATGGGTAGCCGTGGTGAGTCTTGACACGAGTGGGAGATGCGTGTGGGCTCGAGCTAGGGAGTTGACAATATCCTTGCCTACATTGCCATTGTGTCCACCTCACCCTCATTAGGAGCCCAAGCCGGGCCCATTCGTGAGCGAGATGAAGGACAGTGCTCAATTCTACACCAACCGAGTCATCAAAGACTTCAAGGAGAAGGACCGAAGTCACGTAGAGTGGTGTCGGTCCTTCATCAAGATCCTCGAGGTGCTCAAGGAGTACATCATGAAGCACCACACCACTGGACTGGCTTGGAACCCAAAGGTGAGGCAGGCGGGAGGACAAGCAGCGTATGGACTCATACTGACCTGCTCTTTCCTCTGCTATGGCAATAGGGCGGTGATGCTGCCAGCTACGTGGACGCTTCGTCCACTTCGTCTGTTCCTCCCCCTCCACCAGCACCACCAGCCGACGTACCCGCCCCTCCGCCCCCGCCCCCGGCCGACTTCGGCTCGGGCTCCGGCGCCGCAACCCCTGCCGCTCCAGCAGGTGGGATGAACGCCCTCTTCTCGCAGCTGAACAAGGGCGAAGGTGTCACTAGTGGTCTCAAAAAGGTTGATGCGAGCCAAATGACCCACAAGAATCCTGCGCTTAGAGGCACAGGAGAAGTGCCCAGTGCAGGCGCGGGTGCGAAGCCTTCGCCTCCAGCCGCTGGAAGTAAGCCTGCTGCCTTGCGGCCGAAGAAGGCGGCCAAGACTGCGCTGGAAGGCAATAAGTGGAATGTGGAGAACCACGAGGATAACAGGAGCATCGTCATTGACGCTACCGAGCTGAACCACACCGTCAACATCTTCAACTGCAAGAACTGTGTCATTCAGGTCAAGGGCAAGATCAATGCCGTGTCGATGGGTGAGTAGGGCGTCGCCGTCGTCTGAGCAACAAAAAGAGGAGCAGCGACTGACACAGCCTTCTTGCTGCCTTCATCCCCTCCAGTGTCCTGCCAAAAGACGTCCCTCCTACTGGATACCCTCGTCTCCTCTCTCGAGCTCACATCCTCCCCCTCTTTCACCATCCAGATCCTGGGTCTTACTCCCATGATCATCCTCGACTCGTGCGACTCGGGTCAAATCTACCTCTCTCAGCAGGGTGTGGAGCGCTCCGAGCTCGTAGTGAGCAAGTGCAGCGCAATCAATGTCAGCGTGCCCAAGGTAGGAGGAGAAGAGGGAGAATTCACAGAAGTGGCACTGCCCGAGCAGATCAAATTCAACTTTGGCACTGGTGGTGTAGGGTTGAAGAGCGAGGTCGTGGCTCACACTGGGTAGAAGGGAGGAGGTTGAGATGTAGCCGCAGGGAGCAAAGTTGTCAGTGGCTTGTGGTAGAGGGAGGAGGGTAAGGTCATACCATGTCGCGCTTGCCTGTCATCGACCTCGTTTCGAGCGCCGCGGCGGTCATTACAATGTTTGCAACGGGCTATCAATACTCGCGACTAAGAATTTGAAGTACGTCTAATACTGCCGGAGCTCCCGAAGAAAATGCTCTAATCCATCCTCATTCGACACTTGCGCCTGGTAGGAGTCACGATCAACTGCTTCTGTGGTCGGTCACATAGAGGAGGTCACTGCTGCTGTACAGCATCGTCTTGAACTTTCCGGCAATCTTAGTAAGGACAGTATTGACATATTAACAACCGGTCTTCCTTCCCATCTATCGAGATAGAGGCCCCGTGCTTTACGACTAAGCTTTCTCTATCGCCTTTGCTTGTTCGATCTCCCTAAGCTCCGCATCCACCTCGCCCTGAGAGCGGGGCTCCACAACGACGTCTTCACAAACATTCTGTCTTGCGTCGAGTCGGTAGTTGGAGGTGAAGCAGGCCATGACCAGTGGGACAAAGACGAGGATCAGAGCGGGAAGACTGAGCGCTCTATAAGTAGCATTGTAGGCTTCGATGATCTGAGCTCTGGGCTCTGCAGCCTGTGCGGCAGTGACGTCTGCTGCAATCGAGGCAATTTGATCGGCGCTGAGGCTTGGGACGTACTTTGCCAATTGAAGTGGGAGCTGCTTGTCCCAAATGGCTCCACTGGCAGCTTCCCCAATGGCCCCTCCAATGGAGGTCCAAAGAGCAAGAACGGCAATGGCCACTGCTAGATCCTTGTGTTTGACAGATCCTTGAGAAGCGACTTGACTTCCCACTACAGAGATGCCTCCTCCTGCGCACAGCAGAAACTTGGCAAAGAAGATGACGACGGTACTTGTATGTCCATACGTCTGGTAGTAGTTGATACCCGAGCCGATGCAGCGTACAGCGAGTCCTCCAACCTGGAGGTACTTGTACCTGCCCGTGTAGGCCTGAACGATTCCAGCAAGGAGACCAAAGATGCAGAGTGTCACCGTCTCGATCTCAGTCATGTACGTGTAGTCCTTGGTGGAGTAATCAGTCACTACGTATAGCCAAGAGGACCAGTAGACGTCGGTGAGGTACCCCGTGAGGTAGTAGAAAAAGTCGATGCCTAGACATAGGAGGAACGTCCTGTTGAGGACCCGCAGGGGCATGATCGGGTGAGCAGCTATCTTCCACTCCCAGAGACAGAAGGCGATGAAGAGGACACCTCCGGTGACAAACATTGCGATCATAGAAGGGTTGTCCCAACCTCCAGAGGCCCCAGCTTCAAGGGTTGGTGGGGAGAGCAGCAAGGCGAACGAAAAGCCCAAAAGTAGAAGACCGATGGCATCAGTAGAAGAAATGACAGTTCTTATCCTCTCCATTGTGTTGGGCATCTGTCTTTCTGAGGAGAGGGCGACTTGGTAGCTCATCGAGGAAGCAGAGACCGAGAGAACTGTCACAGATACAGATTGCCATAGCTACGGTCAGCAACAACTTGCGCAGCGTCGAAAATCGATGAGAGGGAAGACTCACCTCCAGCTCTCCTGGCTTTACGATCGGCCCAAAGGAGCATGAGAATGATAGGGGCTACACATACGGGCATGATGATGCAGAACATTCCGTACTAGAAGGAAAGGGAGCGTCCCGTACAAAGAATCGTCTCGAGGGAGTCAGCAGCTGAACATCGCAGGACAACCTCGTCGCTGCTTTGACTCACTCCCCATCTCCAATTCGTTAGCTCGATTCCGGAGGTGATGTTTCCAGCTAGGAAAGCAAAGGGCACATACGAAAACGACAATACGCCATTTACCAGTCCTCTCCATCTCAACGATGTCAGATCGCCGACTATGAGTGTCAACATAAAGCTCAGCCCTGCGTTCCCGGCACTGTACAAGACTTGTCCAGCGGCGAGGGTCGACGCATTATCCGCTCCTGCAGTAGCTGCATACCCCACAGTGTAGAGGATGAGAGATCCTAGGAGAGCCCAGTGCCTGGACCAAAGGTCAGCCCACTTTGCCCAGAAAGGCTGGGATACAGCAGACACAATGGAAGAGACGACGGCAATCGTTGCAAGGAGATCCAGAGCACTAAAGGAAGACTCGGCGAAGGTGAGGTAGGTAGAGGTAGTATCGCTACTGAGAGCGTAGGCAAAGTTCCACAGCGTAAAGGTACCCCAGAAGCTCCAGAGCAGCCACGATCTTCCAAAGACGGCGTAGAAGGCCTCGATACGGTTGATACCGGCTGGATTGAACTCGACAACATCTTTGGTAGGCGTGCCTTCTGAGCCGTCATGGCCATTTGCAGACGTTTTGCTGGCGGTGTCGGCCCCTTCATGAGGCGCTCTGCCTGGCAACTCTACTTCATAGGCAAGGTGCTTGGCCATGGAAGGCTGCAAATGGGGAGCGTCGCTGTCCATGCCGAGCAAAAAGGAGGGAGAAGGAATCAGATGGGCTAGAAAGGATGAGGAGGAGGGACAGCTTCTTCCATTCAGGCGGAGAGAACTATATTGTTCGGCTCTAGTCAGACAGAGAGAGTAGTTGATTGCATGCGACCATCTTCCTCGCCCAGGAGCTTCAGAGCGGCGAAAGTGCCGTTTGCTCATCGAAGTTCGGCTGTCGGCTGTCCACCCTTCCGGTCTCGAGTAAAGTCATTGCCTTCATGGGCCGAAGACAGAGCCCGAAGGCAGAGCTATTTGCGTCAGCGCCCGCTTCTGCTGACAGGGCAGACCGTCGTGGTTCGGGAGGAGAGCAAATCACATCTAATCAGATCTTCTTGGGCCGCGCCGCGCCGCGCCGCCTCTGCTCCCCGCCTTTTTCCGGCTCGGAGGAAACGCCGATGATGCACGAGCGGCATCCCCAAAGCGACGTGCAATGCCCCGCAGAGTCGTCTGGCTGTGAGGACCTTCTGGCTCGGCAGAAGCGGCAAGAGTCCTGCCACCAGACGCTGACAGTCTGATCACACCTCGGCTGCACTCGTTGCCGTCTGTGCAGGACACTACCCAAGTAAGGCAGTGCTTTCATATGGTGAAGATAAGGTCACGTGACAAATGAGAATCGGATGAATGGAGAAGCTTGTGTGGAGTTGGAATGGCACAGGCATCAGAGTCGAAGATGAAGTGGACAGTACAATAGATGGATGGACGTAGGCTTCCCTCGAGGCGGTATTCTCTCAAGCTCCGCCTTCCACCGAAGGCTTCCTCGATGTAATCACTATGCTTCAGCGTTGTCCTCTTCCTCTCATCTTATCACACGGCTTTTGAGTAGAATGCAGATTGGTGGTATGATATAGTTGCACTACAAAGCCAATGACACCCCTTCCGTAACCGTTCGCCCTGACCCGACGTCGCGCTATGGAGCAATCAGATTCTCGCATTTCATCGCACGCCAAATCCAGGAACCTTTGTCTACCCCTTCTTCTTTGAACTTTCCTCTTCTGACCCTCGACTAAGCTTCCACTTCTTGAGCAGTCTTCGTGCTCTCTTGCTCAGCAGCAGCAATGCGCTTCGCCTCCTTCCTCCTCGCTGCTTCCTTGTTGACATTGACCCACTTGAAAAAGACGAGAGGCAGTACCAATGAAGCCGACAGGCCGGTCACGAGGTACCAGACGCTTTTCAAGGCTGTGTTGTAAGCCACGATGACGCCTTGGAGAGCTGTCGGGTCGTCTCCAAAGACGCTCCGAATATCGGTTGCTCCGATACTGCTAATGGTGTTTGGGTCGACGCCTGGAATGCCTTGGACAGCGTCAATGAGCTTGGTGGTGAAGAGATTCTCTCCCACCGAGAGCCAGATGGCGGCTCCCATCAGTTGGAAGAAGAAGACGTTGGCCATTGCCACGGGCAAGTCGGCATCGGAGAAGGTGCTCTGCACACCCATGTTGGCACCCATCATACCGTGACCAATACCAAATCCGTAGATGACCTGGTAGCCAATCCACTCAGAGTGGCCCGTGTTCAAACCAAAGGTCGAAATCAAGCCAGCGCCCACTGGAGCCAGAATGGCGGTGACGATGAGCGATGGCACATAGTGACCGCTACGGCGTACGACGATGCCAAAGAGGACAGAACCGATGACAAGTGATAGGATGAAGGGCAGGTTCTGGTACGAAGAGTGCAGCGCATCACTGTCCTTGATCACCTGGAACCAAATAGGCAGGTAGTAGATCATCGCCGTCATACCTCCGTAGCTCAGCATAGACCAGACGCAGGCGGCGGTAAAGGTTCTTTGCGTGAAGTTCTTGAGGGGTACCATTGCTGTTGGACCTACGTGCCATTGCCAGGCCACAAAGCAGAGGAAAGTGACGGCAAAGACGGTCAAGAGTGCAATGATGCGTCCATCGCTCCATGGGTAGGTGAAACCTCCGAGTTGCAGAGCCAATACGAGGCAAATGACAAATGCAAACATGAAGACGGCACCGATGGGATCCAGTTGTAGAATCTGCTCCTTGAATGAGATCCTGTTGAGCTTCTTCTTCTTGTCAGCTTCCAGATGCATAAAGAAGAAGATGATTACGAGAGTTGCGCCCCCAATGGGGAGATTGATGTAGAAGCACCAGCGCCAGGTGACCTCGGAGGTGAGAGCACCACCGATCAAGGGGCCGACGGCTGCTCCTAGGCCAAAGATTCCGCCGAAGAGGCCCTGCCACATGGGACGCTTGTTGAGGGGGATGATGCTGATCATGATTTGAATACCTCCAGACATGATGCCTCCAGCTCCAAGACCGGCAATGGCTCGGCCAAAGATCAGAGCAATAGAGTTGGGCGCAGCACCACATACGGCAGATCCAATTTCAAAGAGGGAGACGCAGGCGAGAAAGGTGTACTTGGCCGACTGGTGCTTGTAGACCCTGCCAAAGAGGAGCTGAGAGGAGGCTTGACACAGCATGAATGCCGAACCATACCATCCAACGTCACCCACAGAGTTGAACTCGTCTGTAATTTCAGGAATAGCCACTCCGATGATGGTTCTGTCCAGTGAGATGAGGAACATGGCAAGGATGACCGTGGTCATGATGACCAGTACCTTTAGGAAAGGGAGCTCATCCTCGGACTGGTCAGCTGGCACAGCCTTCTCGGCTGCGTCCGAGGAGGTAGGCACGACAGACTCGGGAGCTTTGGTGGTCGAGACCACCGAGGCTGCACGACTTTGGTTGTCGCTCATGGTGCGCAAGGTTGGTATTCGCCGTACAGGTGAAGATGGATGTGCGAGTCCAGGGCTTGACTAGAGATCGCAGCTTAGGAATTTGCGTTTGGAGAAGAAGATGGGGATCCAGGAAACCCGAAGCTCCTCAGCCACAGCCTGCTATATGTATCCACTCTCCTCTCCATTCCCATCCTAGCAAACATGATCAGCTTAGCCTTTGACTCCTTTCCCGCGCCTGAGAAAGTCGACGTTGCTGACCCCCGCTCGGGGGCTCGGCTGAGTATAGTCCGAGGCCGAGTAAGGTAAACTTGGTCCGAGGCCGAGGCGACTAAACTTAGTCCAATACAGCAGCCATTCTCACCCTGCGGAGTTGAAAAAATGAGATCCAATCAGCAGCAGAGTACTCAGCCCGGCGCGCCAGTGCCGCCCACGCGCGGGACCGCGCTACCGTTCTTCAAGTCTAGCCATGATCCTCAGTCCATGATCATCGGGCGCAGGAAAGGTCTGCCACGAGGTCTGGAAATTTCAAGATGAGTCAGAAGCCAACGCCATCATCGCTGAGCGTCGCTGTACGACCCTTCTTTGGCACCTGTCCCGCTCTCGTGGAGGGTTGGGACGTCACCTCTGATACTCTCTGCACGGCTCCTGGGTAAGCTTATGCTCATCGCAACTCTCCTTGCGCATCAGCCCCGATGTCGAATCTTCTGAACGGGTATCAGCGGAACAGAGGCGGGCGGAATTGTCAAGTGTGCCGATTTCACCGCAACCGAGCGGCTGCCGGCGGCAGCAGCGACCCCTGGCTTATCAGCTTCGCGGTTCGCTCGACGACCTGCTGAGACCTGGATGCTCTTCGTCCTTGCGCTTGGAGATTGTCCATCCATCCGAGGCCGAGTCTGCCCGATTCGCTTAGCGCTACTTCTCCGTCGAACCGAGCGCTCAAAGTCAGTGCCTTGTAAGATGACAGCAGTGCCCGGTAACCTGACATCTGAACGTCTTGAGATACCGCGCGTGGCTCAGCTTGCACAAGTGGAGAGACGAATATTGCCGAGCGAGCTCAATTCATCTGTAGAGGATACAGGGAGGTATATCTTGATAAGGGACAAGCGTGACAGTAAAGCGGGGGACAAGGAACGGGCGAGGGAGGATGTGTGAGGGAAAGAGATATGGACTCGCTCAAGCCGTGCACAGCAGAACTCCGCCCCACCACAGCACACTAGAAGAAGGTCCCCGTCTGCACTTGCCCCTGCCCCTGCCCCTGCCCAGGCTGCTGCTGCCCCTGTGCGCCCCCCACACCACTGCCCCCAAATGCGCTGCTCCCGAATGCGCTTGTAGGCTGGAAGGGCTTGACCGTACTTCCGGCGAAGAAGCCCGTGGGCTGGCTCTGCAGCGCAGCACCTCCTGCTCCTCCCTGCCCTTGGCCCTGAGTCGTCTGTTGGCCTGGCTGCTGCTGCTGCTGGCCGCCGACGCCGCTGCCAAAGGAGGGCGCAAAGGAAGAACCAAAGGCAGAGGCGAAGCCTGTTGGTTGGCTGTTCAGTCCGCCGCCGCTCTGGTTGCCGTTGCCATTGCCATTGCTGGCAAAGAGGCTGGAGCCGAACCCTCCCGCCCCTTGCCCTGACCCTTGCCCCGCTCCTGCACCTGTGCTCTGTCCTTGCTGTGGTTGGCCCTGTCCTGCGCCTCCATTAGAGAACGCAAATGGATTAGCCGATCCCATCTGCTGTCCCTGCTGCTGCTGCTGCTGCTGCGCACCCTGCGCAGGCATACCAGTGTACTGGCTTGCCAGCTCTGCCCCAAATGAGCTCTCGGGCTTGAAGGGCTTGACGGTACTACCGCCGAACCCTGTCGGCTGAGGCTGTAATGTCGAGGGAACCGATGAGGTTGCATTCGTATTCGTGTTTGCGCTCGAGGGGAAGGGAGAGGAAGGGCCCCCACTCCCGCCGACGGAGAGGGAGGAGAAGCCTGTAGTGAGCGGGTTGAGTGCGGAAGAATTGGCATTGAACGGGGAGGAAGGCCCATTGTTGGAGGTCGAGGCATTGGGCTGAGCTTGACCCTGACCCTGAGAGTTCCCGAAAGAGGGCGAAGGGGCACTGTTCATCCTCCCAGCGGAGGTGAACTCGGACGCAACGCTGCCTAGCAGACCCGTCTTCTGAGGAACGAGACCGCTCGAGCTGGCCTGCTGAGAAGTCTGCGAGCCCGAGCCTGACGTACCATTAGCATTGTTGCTGCTGTTTCCATTCCATCCTCCAGCTCCGAGACTATAGCCACCTCCACCGCCCTGAGTGGGACCATCAAACCCTCCAGCACCACTGAATGCCAATTGCGCCAGAGAAGGGCCTTTGGGCACCGCGGGAGGTGGAGTCGGCGGCTTCTCACCAGGAGCTGGAGCAAAGGGATTGCGCGAACCCGTCTTTTGAGCAAAGAGAGGCTTCGGAGTGGGGCTAGTAGGGGCTTGCTGTTGCGATTGCGGAGGAGGGGAGAATGTGGCCGGGGATGGTTCTGAACCGTTGGCCTCTCCGTTGGCCTGGCCACTGCCGTTTTGCTCCTGCTGCTGCTTCTGCATCCGCTGCATCGCCAGCTGTTGCTGTACCTGCTGCGTGAATGGAGTAGCATCGAAAGCACCCGATGGCCCCATCCCCGTCATCTGCGGCACCATGCCGCCATTGCCGGCGAATCCAGTAGCCTGAGGCATTACACTCTGCCTGAATGGATTGTATCCGGTCTGCTGAGGAGCCAGGAAGCCCCCTTGCATACCGCCAGGCATCGCCGTCTGTTGCGGCTGCAGGAATGGTTGCTGCTGCTGAGGGAAGCCCGTCGGCTGCATGCCCATTGCTGTCTGCTGTGGCATCATCGTGAAAGGATTGTACCCTGTCATCTGAGGCTGCATACCCATGTCTCCGAAAGCTCCGCCTCCACCCATCATACCAGGGTTGGGTGAGCCAAACCACGCCATCCCGGTAGCTTGTGGAGCCATCGAGAAGGCGTTGCCCCATTGCGATCCATTCGCCTCTGGTCCATTCTCGCTCTCGAGGGTACTGAAGAAGTCTTGGATGGCTTGATTGTTGGTAGGTGGCTTGGGAGGACGGGTCTTCTCTTCGGCAGAGGGCTCCTGTATCGAGACTTTGCGCGACGTGGGCCCCTTCTTGGCCGCTGCCTCGTCAGTAATCTTCGCATCGTTCGTAGCAGGGGCAGAAGAAGACTTGTCCTCTGGAAGTCCGTCTGCCACCCTTTTGTTCTCTTTGTACTCTCGTCTGTTCTTCTCGAAGGCTGGGTCGTTGAGGTACTCTTCTAGTGCTCCAGCCAAGCTGACAGGGGCATGCTTGAGCTGGGGAACGGTCATGTTGAGGGAATGCGATGCCTTTCGGGCGGCAGCAAGATAGGCTACGACTTTCTCGGTATGCCTGCAGAACCGCTTATAGATGTCTAGGGCCTTGGAGGCGTCCGAGTGGGACATCTCAAAGTAGTGCTCCAGAATGTTGATCACTCCCTCGTTGATGGCAGTATACAGAGCTAGCACGTCTTTGAGCACCATGCGGAAAGCGCTGAGGTTGAGGTCGTCGGAGAGGTTGTCCTGGAAAAAGGAGCAGTCCAGAAGCCTCGAGAGTACCCGCTGAGAGTATCCCACCTCTCTGAGCAATCCCTTCTCCACCTTCAACCGCCTCAGCCTGTTGGCCCCATCCCCTCCATTGGAACGTGACCGCGACGATCCGTCTGCAGAGCGTATCACATCATGCTTAAGCTCCCTGAAGGACCGGATCCTCTCATCAAGGTAGGCAGCATAGGGTGGCAGAGAAGGTGGAGCATCGTAGCCTATGAAGGGGTGAGACAATGGGAGAGTGTCAGTAGTCTGTGCCGGCTTGCAGTCACACCCGAATTCGACGCACGGAATTCCGTTCCTCCTCCACCATATCTGTCCTTCCACTTTCTGGCTACATCTCCTTCGCGCATCTGCTGTTCCAGCCACTTCTCACCTTGCCAGTTGCCACCCTGACTGACGTTCTTGAGCTTCAGGCCCGCCTGATCTGCACTGAGGTGAGATAGAACGTTGTCTACTGCACCATTGCGTATCATGGTGTGGATGATGAGAAGAGATTTGAAGACGGTGATGGAGTTGGTCTCCCTGAGCCGCAGGGCTAGAGAGCGACAGACGTCTGCCAGGGAGCCATCCTGTGAGAAGGTGGACGCGAGAATCGGGTCGATGTACTTTGGCTAGGTGCAGGCGAGATTGCCAAGTGATAGCGTTAGAAAGTAGTGCAGGCTAGGGTTGGGAGCGTAGCAGCTTCACAGCGACTTACCTTTGGGGCACCTGGCTTTGCTTTGGTAGCGTCCTTTATGAGCTTGTTGTACGTCGAGGACATGGTCGACGGCGGGTGTGGGGATGCGAGGCGGTGTGGAGTAGGTGCCGCCGTGAGGATACGACGCAGACCCCAAGGACAGGGGTGTGGTGAGCGAGTGCGTCTATGCTGCTGGCGAGTGTGAGTGCGGACACTGCTGAGGTGTGAGTCTGCGTTGCAGTAGATGACTGATGCCAGGTGAGATGACTGTGTCTGAGGAGGAAGGTACGGTCTGATCTGGCAGATCTTCTCGAGGATGGTCTTGGTCGATCTGCATCTGGTAGGACGAGGCGGGGCGGTGGTGCGCCATGTGGGTGCGTGGTGCCTGGTCCCACCTCGGCACAAATGACGTTGCTCAAACTCCGACGCACCAGCCGGGAAGCGCGAGCCAGGCACAGGCGGACAGACGTCGGTCACTCACTCGCGTCGCCTCTGCAGACACACACGCAGCAGCAGCAGCAGCAGCAGCAAGGACCAACACCATCACCTGGCATCTCGTCGCCATCATCGTATACCCACCCCACCCATACGGTCATACCCATCACCTCACATCAGCCTGCACGCCACACCCACCATGTCTGGGCCATCGCGCACACCGCGAGAGCCCTCCTCCAGGGCACTCACAGCCCTCATCCAGTCCACCAATCCCGCGACGCGACCCTCGCGTTCAGATGATCCGCGCACCGCAAAGGACAAGGAGGAGATGACAGAGGATCTCATAGACCTCGCCAAACAGACGCTATCACAGAGGTGAGCAGGTGTATCTATGACAGACTATTGTCCTCGCAAGACTCACACCCACCCTTGACCACTTCACACAGGCAAGGGTCGTCTATGACCGCTGCCCAAGAGGCCGAAGTCGTGGATCGCATGAGGAGAAGGCGTGAGTCAGAAGGCACAGCAGAAGCCTCCGTATCCTTGCCACCTTTGACTGACTGCTTCATGCCTTCCACTACCTCGCAGTGTCGAGAACGAAAGACGGCAGAACTGCTGTCAGGGACCTTGACGCCCTGCTGCAAAGACTCAATGACTCGCCTCACCAGCCCGCCGAGCTGCCTGCCATTCTGTCCCTCCTCTCACAGCTCTCCTTCACCGGCCCAGCCCCAGCTTCATCATCCTCTCATACTAGCGACGCTCGCCGTTCGCCAGCGCCAAGCAGCGTATCTAGCAGTCGCACTCCCAGGACCAGCCTGCTGTCCGATCTGCCCAGACCGCCCCGGGACGGAGCCAGTAGCTCAGCCAGCTCCAGAGCAGCGGACAGTCGCTACGCCGACAGTCGCCCTACTTCTAGAGCCGAGGTCAATGCAGAAGCCAACGTTCAGCAGGCTAGCAGCCGCACACCGAGCAGTGGCAGCGATGGTGCCTCGGTCACGCTGCGCACCGCCCCGCCCAAGCTGACGGCCATAGACGTGAACAGGAGAACAGCAGCTGCTGAGGTCGCTCGCGTTGAGGAAGTCGACGCAGAGAGGAAACGAGCTGCCAAGGCCGACCAGCGTAAAGAAGAAAAGGCAGCAGCTACAAAGGCTGGTGCCCCCAATCTGTCTGGTCCGAACATTGATGCGTCCGAGCTGGGCATTGGCAAAGTGCCAAAGTCAGTCGTCCTTCAGCGTTGGAGAGCAGCCTGCGAAACGACCATCGTCCCTGAGCAGGAGCTTCTACGAGACGTCATCTTCATTTTGCAAGGCATCAACGGGAAGTTTGTGAGATTCGAAGAGGTCAAGCCGACGGTGGTGCATGACCCGGGAGTCATTCAGAGCAACCCTGGGCCAGCCGGTGATCCGCTTGTAAAAGTCAAGATTGTAGAAGAACAGTCGACAGTGAGTCAGCCCCTCGTTGCGTGTACTGATGAGTATGAGACTGACACGAGCCCTGTTCTGCCTTCTGTAGGGTCGCATACCTCTCCCTACCCGCCACCTGATTCACAGATTGGCCGAAGCTGGCAAGCACTACCAGCGCATTACATCATTCATTCGAGCGCAGACGCTGATTGAGGGATCAGGCCGCATCATGCAATCCTTGTGCCACTTCATCGATCGGGAGCTGTCTGAATACTACGCCCTCATCTGCGGCCTTGAAGCTCAGCTCAACGAAGGTCCAGCGGATGTAGAAGATGTTCCCTCTGATCCCATCGCGGCGAGGGCAGCTGCTACGAAGAACGAGCTCAAGGATAGTGCAGGCAAGGGTCTGACGCTCAAGAAGGTCGCTGTTGAGACAGAAGAGGCTCTGCTCAGGATGAGATTGATGTCCGCTCTGGTGGAAGGGGCTCAACATGCCCATGGCGGTTCGCTGGTCAGCTTGATCCACAATTATACCTTCAATGGTGACCCCTTCATTCGGAACTTCACAGAGAGGCTGCTCGAAGAAGTGAGTGTCAGGGATGCAGATGGGCGTGACGGCGAAAGATTACTGACGTATCACAATCTGGCTTGACAGGTTTCTCGCTCATTCTTCATCTCACTTTCACGCTGGATTTACGAAGGCGAGCTGCAAGACCCATTCAAGGAGTTCTTTGTCGAGCTCAACCCCGAGCAACGGCAGAACAACAATGCGAACCTGCTGTACTCGAATGGTGATGATGCTGAAGAGGTTGATGCCGCCGCTCTTTGGGAGGCCAAATTCCTCTTCAGGGCCGAGCTGGTACCGACCTTCCTTGCCGAGAGCTTTGCTCGAAAGATCTTCTCGGCTGGAAAGAGTCTCAACTTCATCCGCTACAGCTGCGGAGATTCTGACTGGAAAGATACGAGGCAGCTCATCGAGGCGCAGACGAAGCCGACCCTACGTTATGCCGACCTGGTGGGGTTGGAGAGGACCATCGATACAGTTCATGCTACAGTCTCGAAGCGTCTGCTGGACATCTTCCTGGACAAGTTCAAGTTGCAAGAGCACCTCCGTGCGATCAATGACTACCTCCTCTTGACCAAGGGGGACTTCGCGGACCTGCTCCTGGAAGCTCTCAGCCCGATCCTGTACAAGCAGGCATCTCTGCTCTATCGTCACTCCCTGACAGCAGCGCTTGAGACTGCCATTCGAGGATCAAACGCCCAGTATGACGATGCAGATATCCTGCGTCGCCTCGATGCTCGAGTGCTGGAATTCTCAGGGACTGAGACGGGCTGGGAGACCTTCATGCTCGAGTACAGGGTGGATTCGCCTGTCAACACAGTGCTAGACGCAACGGCCATGTCCGAGTACCAGCAGATCTTTGCGCACCTCTGGAAGATGAAGAGGGTAGAGCTGTGCCTGAATGCCAGCTTTGCAAAGATGATCAGCGCCACCAATAGTCTTCTGAGGATCAGGAAGAAGGACAGGGACGACGAGGTCAATGCTCTGCACGGAGAGGCTCATCGTGGGTTGGGCTTGCTAGCCGAGATGATCCACTTTATGCGGCAGCTACAGGGCTACAACCAGCTCGAAGTCATCGAGTACTCCTGGCAGGACCTACAGTCCTTCTTTGAGAAGCGTTCGGGAGACCTAGACGTGCTGATCGCAGCGCACAGAGGCTACCTGAGCAGTCTACACGGCAAGATTCTTCTGCGCGGGGGGAAGAGGGGAGCAGTTGACTATCTAGCTTCGGAGCTCAGGGCGAACTTCAATACGATCATTGCCTTTACGCAGGCTTCGGACGAGCTCGCCACATTCATCAGCGATGAGCTGGCACGAAGACACCTGGGCGATATGGAGACGGAGGACACGAGGCTAAAGGGAATCTTGCGAAAGTGTGAGGATTTGAAGAATAGCTTTAGAGATAGGACAGACAATGTTATTTCTCGACTAGAAAGGCATGGCAATTTGGTGAGTACCTTTGCTGCTGCAGTGCGAGGACGAGAACGAGGGGGAGAGTGGTTGCTGATATGCAGGCTCTCTACACTGCCCTTTGATCCCACTCTAGGTGATCCGCGATCTGAGCATTCGCCTGGACTACAATGGCTACTATAGTCGTACCCGGCCAGACAAGACTCGAGATCCATCTTCGATGAAGTGAAGGAAAGGGAAGGAGGAAGGGGCTTGGCAATGGGTCGCGCAGAGCTCCGCTGCTGTACTTGTACTACCGTCACTCGAAAAAGAGCCTTCGTCGGACTACCTTTGTCTCATGGTTGGATGTGCATTTCTTGGAGATGAGATGTCATTGGAGGGCGCAAGATACAAATCTGGCCCGCTCTTTTGCCTTATCTCCGTTTTCCTCTCCTCTTTACCAAGAGCTCTCCTTCTGCCTCTCCCAGAAGGTTCCACTCTTCGACCCACTCAGATCCTCCAAAGCCAGCGTCACAGGCGTCGCTGCACCCTCATCGAGTGTGAGGTGTCCCTTCTGCTTTGTCATCCTACTCGAAACATACCCGGGGCAGCAAGAGTACACTTCTACTCCCTGCGCCACCTGGCCTAGAGCACCTTGCTGGAGCTGTTGGGCAAGGGCACGATGCAGGGCGATTACCCCGGCCTTGGAGACACTGTACGCCGCGCCTTTCCAGCCGTCCTTTTGGTAGGTGCCGGCCTGCACAGAGGAGAGGAAGGAAGACATGAGCGTGTCTACATCCTTGACTGTGGAGGCTGAGGTGAACTGTTGGACACGCTCATCGGAGTAGCCGTTGAGCTTGCCGGCCATGGACGCGAGAGTCTGTACAGGGAAGGGAAGTGGGGAGGTCAACACGCGCTCGCTGCTGCTTCTCTCTCCTCTGCGCGCTAAGCTCGCTACTCACGACTACGCGTCCGTCCTTTGCCATCTGGGGTAGAGCCTCGATGATCATATCCTTCGTCGCCCAGTAATTCGTCGCGAGTGTCTCCTCGGTCATCTTCGCATCGAATCCCTCGAGTGCAATCCCCGCATTATTGACCAACAAATTCAGCGGTGTCTTCTCCTTCTGCAGCGTCTGGAGCAGCGCAGCACGACTGGAGGCATCGGTAATATCGAGCTGGTGGTAGCGTAGCTTGATCAGTCCATCGGCGAGAGGGTTGGGCTTCTCGTTGGAGAGCTCCTCGGTGAGCTCCTTGAGAGAGGCTTGACCGCGCTCTTCGGAACGAGAAGTGAAGAAGATGGTCAGTGGTGAAGGAGGAGAGCCGGCGAAGTGGGAAGAGGAGTAGAGGCGGGTGAGACGGTGAGCGATACCGTAGCCGATACCTGGGAATTCGGGCAAGTGGAGGAAAGTCAGAGAAGGGGAAGCAACGGGTCAGATGGAGACACGACACGACAGGCGTTGGATGCTGCGAATTACAACTCACCCTGGTTGGCACCGGTGATGACAGCGACTTTTGCGGTGGTCATGGTTACTGAGTAGTGGGTGTTTGTAGTTGTCGGGAGTTGGATCAAGGCAATGAAGGTGCAAGGCAGAGGTCCCTACATTCTTAACGCCGTCTATACACGCCGTGCCGAGAAGATCTCAAGTAATCTGGACCCGTGCATCGGAAGTGCATGTGGAGGTGGTCAGGGCACGTCCTGGTCGCCTTTACGCCCGGATACGCATATATGTGGACAACCTTTGATAATTGCAACGGAAGAAAACTCAGGGAACATGCTGTGCAAAACGGGTCGCATCCGCGAGCTTGCGGGCGTCCATGTCGTCGCAATCCCACTCGTGCATGAAGTGCAGAATGCGGTCGACTCGCCATCCACTCATCCCCTTTGGGTCTGGGGCTCCAAATCTCCACTCCCCTTGACTGAGCAGACAGACCATCTCTGCCTCTGCCTCCTTCTCCTCCTCCGGCGGCTCCTCTAGTGTGAACTGCCAGGAGAGGCACGTCTCTTCATAGTCACAGATCGCCTCGCAGAGGTGCTCATCGTAGGGCCTACCCCAGGTCTTGGCATAGTCTCGATCGCGATAGGCAAAGTTGTCGCTGTAGAACAGCCATGCTTCTTTACGCACAGTGAACGGAGAGGCCCCGTTGGATGACAGGTATTCGTCAAGAGCGTGCTGTAGGAAGGCTGGCGCGAGACCGTGGGCGGCATCGCAGTATCGGATACCATCCTCTCCTTGTAGGGCTGCCAATCGGTCCACTTCGAACTTGCGAAGGTCATGCGTCTCCCACGGTTTCAGATGGTGAAGGGTGATGAGCGGTGCGTACCAATTTTCCTTTGTGAAGGAGAGGAGCCCAGCTATTTCTGATGTGAACCTGTATGAGCAAGTGTAAGATTCTCTCACGATGAGCTTACGGCCTGCAGGCTGCCGACTCGGGGCGCGCTCACTCGTACTCACATTGGCGCTCCTCCACTGAGTGTGTTGTTCAGACGAACACCGGGCGAGCGGTAGATTGCTTGTGCCAACAGCACGTCTCCGCCCGGAGTAGACGCAATGACCCCATCCCACTGATTCTCGAAACCCCAGGGGTCCTTGGCGTATGTCATATCCATGATGCCCTTGCTAAGCACATATCCAGCCCCACCATTTGCCCAGACGGTATTGTTTGCGCCCCACATATCGTGACTGTCGGCCTGACCAAAGAACCAGTGGTCCTCGGGATCGTAGTGAAGGAGGAAGCGCAGCAGGGTAGACCAGAAGACGTAGCTGTCCCCGTCTACGGATACAAACCACTTGGCGTCTGGGTGCCGGCGATACATGTCGCCAATGAGGGGTAGAAATTTGTACCGATCTAGATTGTAAAGACCCTCTACGTCGTTGGGGGAGACGTGGTTGGCGATAGCCTCCTGCAGCTCGTAGTAAGCTGAAAAGTACTCCTGCTGCTTGAGAGACTCTGACAGATTAGCTAGGATGTCGACGACCGTCACTTCACCAAGACTGAGGGCGCTATCAGAGTAGATGTACTGATGGGGAATGTCCGGTCGCGGCTCCATCAGCTGAATCGGCAGTCGATGAAAGAGGACTGAATGGCCCGTCTTTCTTGATAGGACCACCTCAGGAGCCAAACGTTCCCAGTCGCGCAGCGCAGCGCTACCGTCATCTTGGTCCGCACCACTGAGCTCTTGCCAGATCAAGTTTAAGAGCTGCCCAAGGACGAGACAGCATGTGCACAGTACGGCTGCCGAGATGAGCCTCCTCGCGAGGCGTGCTGGGAGCTTGATGCCGTCACGCAGCCTGCGCCCGCCACCAGGTCGTGGTTCCTTGCGATCGTCATGAACGAGGTCCTGCGGCATCTGTTGACCTCCAAGTAGACAATATAGTAGTAGATGGGTAGGAGAAATGACAATGGAGCAATACAGAAGGGGGGCACAATCTCATCTGCCTACGACTCCATTCGGAGGATGACAGAGCTCACAGGTCTCAGAAGCGGAACGAGGTGCACGGTGGACCTGGCCATGGGAAACGGACATCTTCACCCACCCACCCTCCCACTCAGCCACCCACGGCCCTTGCCTTGGCTTGCCTCGGGGCCCACACGCCTGTGAACGGCCGTGTTTGTGTGCGTGAAGGTGGGCTGCTGCCCTTCCTCGCCCCCCTTGGCTCGCTTCGGTTGCAGTGATAGAGGCAGAGACCTGCTTCCGTACTTTGTGAGACACAGGCACTACGCAGCACCCCCGCCCCCACTCACACCTCCCCTGGGGCCAAGCCACGCATCCAGCCCTGCAGGGGCCCGCGGCCCAGATAGTGAGCCAGGCGCATCTCGCTGGGAAGGAGCCGGTCAGGCGGCTTTGCTTTGCTATCTCGGCTCCGAGAAGAGAGAAGGATCCACCCTCTTCCGGAAGCGGAAGAAGAGGCAAAGGCAGTGCGCGCGGGGCCGAGCTCGCCCGCCCTGCCTGCCTGCCTGCCTGGGCCCTGGGCTCCCTTCTCCGCCATGTCGCGCCTTCACTTCCGTCTGGTCGCGGTGACTTGGTCTCCTTGCATCCCATCGCACCTTGTCCCGCGAATTCGTTCCTCGCCTCCTCTTCCTACATTCCATCCCGTACCATTCCCATCCACGCATACAGTCACCGCCTCTACACATCGGCTCATCGTCCATCCACACGCTGGTACCTCAGCATCAAGCTCACTGCATACACCCTTTACTTCCCCACTCCAACCAATAAAGCTGCTCCACACCTGCCTCTGCTGCAGGTCCTGCTTCTAGAACGACGGAAACAGCGGAAATACGCGGCGCGTAATTCTCCCGCCTCGCCTCGCTCCCGGCTCACACGACCTGGCCCAAAACTCAAGCTTCAACACCCTACACGTAGCGCATACATCCACCTACCGCACTCGTTACCATCATGACATTCTTCCCACAATGCGACACTCAGGTAGCTATTGGCTTTGCCTCGCGAAAGCGAAAGGAGATGGAGGAGGAAGCCGGCGGGAACGGCCAGATCAATATCGCAGAGCGACGAAAGGTGAGTTGTGTACTCGGCCGGTCTCTTTCTCCCCAAGCAATGCAGCTGACAGGTCCCCGATCGCGTACTCTCTGCTCAGATTGCTCTTCCCTCTCGGAAGTCTGATGGCCACCAGACGGCCACCTTCCACCCTTTAGGCGCAGAGGACAACCTGAGGATGCTCGCCTCTCTGGGCCTGCTAGAGACCCGAGCCTCTACCTCCCGGCTGCCCATGAATGGTTCTCCCACGTCAGCCTCATCCGACGCATCCTCTTCCGACCATTACTTCTCATCAAGTCACGCTGGCCATTACCCAAATGTCGAGCCATACCATCGTCATAACATGAGCGCGTCTAGCAGCGGTAGCATGGACATCGACCCTTCTACTCCCGCTCACGGCCACGGCCCGCAGTGCAGCAGCCTCCCTCAGCTCTACATTTGCCACGAGATGGACTCGGCTCTGTACGCTCGATGCGTAGACTGCTCGCACTCTTGGCACGTTGGGCCCGGACAGTCGCTCAGCTACTCTCCCTGAGCTAGGCTTGTCCCTCCTCTGGACAACGGTCAGAGAAATCTCGATCCTGATCCAAGCTCGTATCCTTTCGCACACTTACACATACATATGCAACCCCTGTATCCATAGTTTTGTTCCAGCTCCCGCTTTCACACACACATACGTCCACCCGACTCTTCGCTCTCTGCCCCGCTCTTGGCCCTCCATGTACTTTTAGCTTAGCCCAGCCTCTAGCCTCTAGCCTCTTGCACTGCACTTCGAAGCAATTGCAATATCGTCATCCATCTACGCAAGCCTTGACTGAAATCTGAGCCGAGCGTGCGACGTCAATGGTTGAGCAGCCACAGATGATCGACGCATCGAGCATCGAGCATCATTAGTGTATGGTCTGCTCCAGCGACTTCGCCAGAGCCAATATGGTGGGCTTTACACCACCACGCTGCACGCAGCTCAGTCAAAGTGGACCGCGGCGCAGCCAACGTCAGATGCCATTGTTATTCTGCGAACATGTGTGCATGTTACCTTACATGGAATGATCACAAGCCTGGTCCCACTGGTGTCTGCGTACTGCTGCCTTTTTATGTGATCGTGGGTTGGGCCAGAGAGTCACCTTCGCCTCTTCGAATTGAACTTAAGCAAAGAGAACACCCCGTGAGCTTGCAAGCACGATCCTTGTGTAGCCTTCCTCGACCGCACTGCTGTCACAGCATACCGACACAGTACCGCTTCCTTAGAGATATCGCTCCCTCGCCCACTCCTCCATCGTCTCCTTGACCTTGCGAGCTTCCGAAGTAAGAAGTGCGTCTCCTTTCTCACCATCCTCAACGATGACAGAGCCGGCAAAGTCAATAAGCCAGATGCGCGGCTTGATGCTATCTCGGAGACGGCTGAGAGGAGATTCCGATACCTCTGGCACAAGTCCAGAGTCACCATCAGGGTCGAAGCCAGCATCTTCTCTCAACTTGCGTGCTGCAGTAGCGAGCTCCCGATGACTGAGCTTCATCTCGCGCTGAGCTTGCTGCACCAGCTCTCGCAACTTTGAGATCTCCAGTGTCTCTCTAGTGGAAGAGCCTGAGGCCTTCCTCCTCCACTCGATGAGGATATTAGATGTATTTACGTCTTCGTGGCAGACCCGGCGAGCGTGTAACTTCGAAAAGGCTGCCTCAACTGCCTGTTGGACAGTGTCGCCCCAAATACATCTCCACATGGAATCCGACGTGCCCACTGGCTCAGCATCTAGATGCTGCAGCATGAGCTTAGGCGCCGTCGAGCGTGGGTAGCTCTCTGGAGAGACCAGACCGTACAGTCTCGGCAGGACGGTACCTTGAATGTCTTTACAGCGCTGGAAGATTTCAATCTCCTGCGTAGTCCGTTCTCTGATGCCCTTTGCGTCTTCGGCGCTGAGAGGTGGCCCATCCGGCTCCTCAAACCTGGGCTCTGGCAAGTCCTCCTCAGGATCTGGCTCTGACGGGACTCTCTGCACCTTGAGGTATGTGTAACAGTCGCCACGACGCAGAGGAGGTAGGATGCCAAGTGCAGGACGGCCTTGATTCTCTTGAGATGGACTGAGAGCCTCACGAGGACTTCCTGCCAGATGAGCCCGATCGACCACACAGCGGTGGATGTCGGCGTATGTCCCGCCGAGGATAGGTCCGTATGTGCAGACGTAGGCTGTAATCAGCGGAAGACGCTCTGTCTCGCTTTCGATAGCGCTTCCTTTAGACTCTGAGTCCCTCGCAGAGCTTTCGTTGAGCACAAGAGCTTCGGAGGGAATGTTGCCACTACACTCCTGCAGGCGTGTCCGCTTCGCAGACGGTCCAGAATCTTCGGATTCCTCATCGTCCACAGAATCTCCAGCGTCCGGGTGTGGCTGTGACTCTGGCTTGTGTGAATTCCCTGAGTCGTCTGAGTCGTCTGGAAGATCCTCGATAGCATAAAGTATCCATCCAAGTAAGAAGAACACTGAATTCGGGAGATGCTGCAGGCGGAAGCTTGAGGCACCTCGGCCGGCCAGGCCGTCCCTGCTTGCCAGTTCGGCCAGTTTGCAAGCCTTCTCTCCCTCAAGCACATCGCACCATGATGCCGTGGAGGCAAAGGTGAGTCGTGCGGCACCGCCGTTCTCGGTAGCGTTGTTTCGCAGCTCGAAGGGGAGCAAGAGCCGACCCCAGTCGGCAATCAGCAAGCCTTTTCTGCTGCCTGCTGCCGTAGGCTGAGAGCAGATTTGCGATAGCAGGCGCAAGGTCTCCGTCTCGCCACGCACTTCCCCTATTTCTTGCTGGCGAAATGGATCACTCCTTTCGCGAACCAGGTCGCCGACATTGTGTGGTCTGCAGCCGGGTTCGCTCTCTACCGTGGCCACAACATGAGATCCTACAGTAACGTAGAAGTCCGCATCCGCTAGCGTGGAGACTTCCTTGATCCGTTTGGAGACAATGATTCCGGAATCGTTGGCGCGAGCAGAGGAGATGATGAGGATCCGGCTGTCCGGCGATGTCGGCAGTGGCGCTCTGAATGGCCGTCCTGAGTCAGTTTTCTGAGCCTGTTTCCAGCGACAAGCCTCTTGACTGAGCTCCAACAACGCCTCCGTGAGGCACAATACTCGCTCTTCGTAGAGATAGTTGAACGGTGCCTCTGTTGTACCTCGACGTACTAGCAAGCGATTTGAAAGCTTCGGAGCACTGAGATGTGCGCCATGAAGCAGTGCCCGTCGAGGGTCATCGTCCAGATAGCCATCGATGATTTCGCAAAGCTGGTCTAAGAGGCTGGAAGATCGAGCCGAGATGCCCGTCTCTGGATCCTCTTCCAGACCAGAGGAGGTGATGACGAGATTGTCGGACAAATGTCGAGCGTTTGCTCCAAGATTGGTGTGTGTGCTGGTCGAGGCATTATGCGGGAAATCCGACGCAATCTTGATATGATACCCAAAGCGTTGGTCCTCTCGACAATCTCGCAGAGACGTCGTCGTGCGGCCAGGATCGGCAGAGAGCCAGATTTCCTCGGGATCAGAGGGATCGCTATCAGATCCGCTCGTGTCGCGCACAGTGAAGGTGCTTCCTGGTTTTGGCACCATGATGGACACCACTTGGTGTAAGAGGGCTGGCAATGTGGAAGCTGATCTTGAAGGACCTGGGTCCAATTGACGAGTGTGAGAGTGCGTAAGTCGGTGAGTTTGTGTGGTCTTGTATCGGTGTTCGTGATTGAGTGGGAGAGTCAGGAAGGAGAAGCAGGGCGGATCGGCAACAAGAATGCCTCCGACCTCTGCTTCTCCTTCCGTACTGCTTCCGTTACCATTGCCATCTCCACCGCCCGTCGTTGGTGTTGGACGTCTCCTCTCAAGCGCCCCAGCTCGGGAGTAATTTGAGTGAGGTGGTCGAAACGGAGCGGGAGCAGCCACGTGCCACCACCACGCCAGGGATTTCAAAGCGGGGCGCGGCACCACCAAAGGGACCCCGCCGGCAACCCCGCGCCATCCGGACAGCCGGATCGAGCATTTCCCCGCCCCCCACTCCCGCCACAGCTGAACGCTATCGTTTGTGTTACCAATCCCACTTCTCTCATCGCAACACCACATCGCCTCTAATTCACTTGGCAACATTGCAGCTGTTTTTCCGTCACTTAGACCACATCTTCAGACTACACCCATTTATCATGTCGAAGCAATTTGACGCCGCGGAGATCAAGGAGCACAAGTCGGGTGAGTCAACACTAAACAGCGAGACTGGACAGGATCAGAGCATCGCTTATGGTAGCCATCTCACAATGGATGAAGGTGGACGGCAACGGCAGGAATGAGGAAGTGCGCTAGATCCAGAGCGAGGCAGTGTTGAACTCCATCTCTTTACTCTTCTAATTGCTGACGAAATCTCATCCACACCTAATCCGCTCGCCTCTCCGTGCTCCTGCAGCCGAGTCCGCCTGGGTTGTCGTCGATGGCAGCGTCTACGACGTGACAGAGTTTCTAGAGGACCATCCAGGAGGCAGCAAGATCCTCCTCAAGAACTGTGGCAAAGACTCTTCCGATGCCTTCTGGAACTACCACTCTGAGAAGGTGCTGAAGAACGTTGCCGAAGAGTACAAGATCGGAGAGCTGAAGCCAGGAGCAAAGCTATAGATGAGCTGGAGACTGGCAGCGATGCAATACCATTCCTGACGGACTTTATGTACTCCATATGAATTTTGTGAGATCAGGGTGACATTGATCGTGTGATTCGGTTTGCGGGCGGGTCAGGAACGCTACGGACAACGGGTCGCGGTCAAGAATGCCGCGAATCGTTGCCACCTTCACGCGCCACCGCTAGCCTATCCACTGGGCTAAGATACAAATTTCTCATTGACTATCTATGATCACGCTTTTGAATTCGGAGGCGGTCTATGTATGCGACTGATCTATGAACAAGGATCTGGACGGTGCAGAAGTTGAAGCGGTTCCGGGGTAAAGTGAAAGAGCGGACCTGTGGCACTGGGTAGCTACTAGGCTGTGTCATCCGCCTGTTCAGGCTCACAAGCAAGCCCAGCCGATGTACAGAAACATTGCTGCCCCTACTGCTGTGACACTGCTCTTCTTAAGTGCCAGTTGGGGTGCTGCACTGACGACGTGCGAGTCATCCGGTCCTGATGCGCTCATTGTACCACCGCTCAGGGGGCCTGGTGCAGTGGCGACTCCTGCCCACGAGGAAGGATAGGTAGCTGTGGGATAGGCAGACTCCGTCGAAGTCGAGACAGTTGAAGTGAGGTTGGAATTTGTTATGGAGGATGAGGCGCTTGCAGAGGAGCCGGACGCTGGCGAGGCGAAGACGAGGCTCGATGAAGTCAGATCAAAGTGAGGTCGACCAGTACAGCAGGCTGAAGAAACACTGTGAGGGTCGGAGCTCCACGAGACTTACCTGTGCTAGAGATGCTGGTGACAGATGAAGTCTGAGCGCTCACAAAAGGGACGGATGAGGCCAGAAGTACGAGAAGACAGCTCACAAGGAGACATTGCGCTAAGAGGTGGCGTGACAGGAAGCGTGGGCGTTGTCCCAAGGCTGGAGGTCTCGGAGGGGATGAGGCTGCCATGTCGTAGAGACACCTTGCAACGATTGATGATGATCAGAAGAGTGGCGGAGAGACGAGCGATGAGACTGGTGAGCTCAAGTCAGAGCTGCTTGCCGCATGTACCCGGGGCATCGGCACAGAGGAGCCCCCTGCGTGCGTGGGAGTTCCGACGACGACGTTTGAGTGCATCGCGACACGGAAAGGGCGACGTGGGGGCCGATTGCTTCTCCGACGCGATGCTCCTCCGTGATGCTCTTCTTGGTACCACCATCCAGCATTCAGCACTCACTTCTGGGACCTCGTTACTGTCTGTCACTGCTGGTGCATCACTTGCTCTTCGGCTGCGATGGTCAACATCACTCGAGCGGTATGGCTGCAGGCGATGCTTGCCCATCGCTACGTGACCGACAAGGAGTCTAGGGCCCTCTACCAAGCCGCATGCTCCGCTACCAAAGGTGAGTGAGCAATGGTTCGACTTGTGGGCGTATGCCGTAGGTGTCCCCGAGAGTTGCTGACCCTCGATGTGCCGGATTCTCTCCTCTGCGCTGATGCTCTGCTTGCACAGCCTCTTACCGCGAGCGCGAGTACGAAGACTTCGTGTCAGATGCCGGCCAAGCCATCGAGCCGCTAGGATTGGACCTCAGAAGGATGATCGACCAGAGAAGTGGCAAGGCAATGCTGGCTTTGGTGAGAGAGGCCTGTTTTACAGGACCGACGATGTGTGCTTGGGCGACTGAGCTCTTATGCTTCTCCTGACCGGCTTGCGCAGGTCAATACCAAGTCGGATGACATAGCTCAGCTCGCCACGACATATACTGCGCAAGAGATTGCCTTCATCAAAATCATGGTAAGATCGCAAGACGTCGATCCTGGCTATGAGATATTGACTGACTCCTTCTGCATGCTCGCTGTGTCATCACTACCCAGATTGAGATCATCTTTACAGCCCCAGATGAAGCATATAGCATACCTACTATTCAGGCGCTAAAGGAGGCAACGAGCATGAAGCCTCAGATGAGCAAGAAAGCTGGGGAAGAGCTGATCAACAGTCTGATTCGGCATGGATGGCTTCATCGGTCAGAGTGAGCTCTGGATGAAAAATGGAAGAAGAAAAGAGGTGGAAGCAAGAGCTGACAGCATGCGCCCATCTCCGCCCCCAACTTTGTCAGGTCTGGCCGCCTCTCCCTCACCGTGCGTTCTATACTCGAGCTACAAGCCTACCTCAAACAAGAATTTCCGGAGCACGTACTGGAATGTACTGTGTGCAAGGACATGCTGACAAGGGTGGGTCCATCAATGTTCGCAGGAGATCCACGCTGATGGCTGATGCATCTGACCTACTCTTCCTCTACCACCCACCCACCTGTAGGGTTCCGCTTGCTCGATTCCAAGCTGCGATGTGCGGGTACATCAAGCTTGCCTGCCTCGACTAGGAGGTGGGCGTGGTGTTGGCTCTGGAGCGTCTCGCTCTTGTCCAGGGTGTCAGAATACCTTCCAAGCTACACCTGTTGGCGAGGAGAGCGCTGGTAGTAGGCGCAAGCCAGGCTCCGGAAGCAGGCGTCGTCGTAATGATACTGAAGGTCAGGCGGACAATGGATCAGAAGAAGAACATGAGGAAGAGGAGGATGAGGACGAAGAGGACGAAGGAGCCGAACCCTCTACATCTACTCGCAATACTGCTCCTGCCAGGAGAAGAGGTACCACGCGTGGCAATGCGGGGAACGCGAAGAGGGCCAGGAGGAACAATGATGAGGAAAGCGATAAAGAGGGTCATTCGGAAAGCGCCCAATCGGAAGCCGAAGAAGCGGGCGAAGAAGACGACGACGAAGAGGAACCTACTCAAGCACCTCGAGGCGGCAGACGGAGCAATGGCGGACGGGGTCAACAAAGAAAGCATCCCAGAGCGGGCAAGCGGAGGAGAAGCAGCGCTGTGAGACTTGCGGGGGGAGGATTCTTTGATGATGAGGCTGGAGACGACGGAGAGGAGAGCGAAGAAGAGGAAGAGGAGGATGAGGAGGAAGAAGAAGAAGAAGAAGAGGAGGAAGAGTGAAAGGGGGCTGCTATGGGCGTTGCTAGTCCATTTATACCAATCACTAGCTAGCTAGCTCTGCCATGGACAATTCACACAGCGGCACATAGCGAGCGCTCAGATACATTGTTTGTGAACAGAAGGTGGCATCTACATGTGATTGAGAAAAGTCGTCGTTACTCTGACCCGCCCTATGTGTGCTGTACGCCTTCACCATCTCTCCAGCAGGGCTGAGATGCGGTCTGCCTTTGCCCCGGCTCCCACAGTCACGCCCGCCCTGATCAGCTTTAGCACATTGGCTCCCAGCGCCACAGTGCCCACAAAGACGCCCCATACAGCAAGTGCCTGCGCTGGTCTCCTGAGCTTATCGTTCCGGTCATGCAGCGAGGCGTACAGTACGCCAGGCAGGATAAAGGAGATGGTTGTCGATCCCAATGAGCCTACGAAGCCAAGGATGAGGGAGAGGTCATCCACTAAGAGGGCTATTGTGAACGTTGTTGTGAGGATCAAACAGGTGATCACCACCCAGCGCTTGAGTGGCATCTCGTCTGATGCTGCAGTGGAGGAATGCGAGGGATAGGAGGCACCAGAGAGGAGGGAAATCTGATGGTCGACATCCCCTCGATTGTCATTGTCATGATCGTCCTCTGCTTGACCCTGTCTGTCCTCGTCCGCTGATTCGTCGTCGTCTTCGTCACCTGTCGGTAGCTCAACACCGGAGCGAGGTGGGTAGATGACCTTCTCGATGGCAGCTCGACACGGGTGTACTTGAAGAGGATACGAGAAGATGGTCAGTAGGACGATAGAGAGTCGCCCTACTGCTACAAAGATGGATGATGAGGGATACATTGCAATACTGTAGGGACATGAATAGACTTTCATCAGTCTTAGAGCTCCTGCTTGAATTTGACTATGGCTGCACTTACATGTTGTCGCCCAAGGTCCCGCCGAACTCAAGGTAGCCCAGAACGCTGACCACGGCGTATACACAGCCTGCTCCTCCGATGCTAGCCCCGATGGCCCATTGAGCTCGATCCATGTGCATCAGAGCGTCATCTGCGGACAGCTCATTGTAGACTGGCAGCATGTTCTGTGCGCAGGTGAACGCAAAGACGAAGACAGGAAATATGGGCAAGAGGTGGGTGGAGAGCACCACGATGTGCACCTCCCCCCGAGGCGGGAGCGAGCCTCGTAGGTTTGGATTGATGAAGAAGAAGACGACGATGACGACGAGGTAGCATACGGCTGCGAGAGAGAGGTAGGATGTATGTCGCAGCGAGTCGAGCTTGCGGAGGAAGCAGAGTGGCAGCAGCAGGGTGATCAAGAGGGTCACCCAGAAGTTCCGGTCCAGAAGAAGATCCGGTATGGCATCATGCGAGTGACCTGCGGCTTTGAGAAAGGAGAGGACCACTTGAGGCATCAATTGGCCAGAGATGATGAGATAAGATATGGAGACGCCAAAGCACTTTGTGGGCATTAAGAAGGCGATGACAATCGAGGAAGACTTATCAGTACATGATCGACCAATTGGGCCCAACTTATCTCACGACGCCTCACCTTCAGTGCGATTGCCAGATCGAACCACCTCGCTCCTTTGGGTATGGTCTTCATAGCGACACTGAAGAAACTCTGCCTCCTTCCCCCAAGCTTATTGGCACATCTTGTCAGCAGATAGAGACCGCTGGCGCCCGTGAAGCCACACAGGGCAATGAGGAAGAGCCCCAAGAGCCAGCCAGTATGGACAAAGTTGCCCGGCAGAGCGACCATGCCTGTACCGATGATGGTATTGGCCAGGTTGGCAATGGAAGACGTCAGCGAGGCGCCGCCGTTCGACGACGCGGTACGCTTGCGAGGTCGAGGAACGGCAGGAGGTACGCTGATGGATACAGAGCGGCCACCACCACTGCCGCTGCCGCTACCGGAGCCGCGGACGGCAGAGTGCGCATCTCTGCTGCCATTGGCGTCCATATTCCTGGCTTCCTGCGAGGAAGAAGGAGTGCAGAGAAGGTGAGGATGAGGAAGGATACAATGATAAGGAGGTGCGAAGGGGACCCTCACCTGGGCGAGAATGATATTGTGCGCCTCGGCACTCCGCCTCGCTTCCCGCACAGGCGCTGGGTAGAGTCAGGCCTCTCTCCTCCCTTCTACCAACTCCCACTTGCTCAGCATCCACCCATACCAACCATCGCCACTGCTGCAACGCCCACAGCGTTGCACATCGAGGGCATCATCGCGCCGACATGGCCCCTCGATCAGCCTCTCAGTCAGCCACCCCAGCCGCTGGCCATTCATCTCCTTCGCCAGCAGGGACAAGCGACCCGACTCAGTTGCCTTCGGTGTCTCCCGGCGGCACATATTCCCTCGAATCCATTCGACCAGGATGTAAGATCTTTGTACAGAAGCCCGACGCCGCAACTGGAGAAATCGAACAACGGCGCGCCGAAGTCCTATCGCGGCGTGAGAAGTACAGGGGCAGGGTGAAGAGGGGCGAAGAGAAGCCAGAAGTAAAGGTAGAGGACAAGTATGAGTACTATGTCCACTATGAAGAATTCAACAAGAGGCTGGACGAGTGGGTGGGCGGTGGAAGATTGATCATCAGCAGGGAGGTGGAATGGCCCAAACCCGCAGATGCTATGGCTGCCAGTGGACACGGTCATGGCCATGGTGGTGCCTCTGGCGCAGGACAGAAGAAGAAGGCTGCAAACAGCAGAAGCGGATCGAGTACACCAGCGAACAAGGTAGCGGGAGAAGCGCCCAAGGACGATCTTCTGAGGAAGGCTGCGAGGAAAGCGGCCAATGAAGCTGCTTCCCAAGCCGCTACTCAGCAGCAGCCTTCCGGCCCAGAGACGCCCAGCAAGAGGAGACATGGCGAGGCAGACGGAGGGGACGGGTCGTCTGATGAAGACGGAGATGGCGAAAGCGAAGATTCGCCCATGGCGAACGGGGAGAGCCCTTCGCAATCCCAAGTAGACAACGACGATGGAGCAGTGGTGGCCATGGAACTCTTAGGGGATGAATCGATGGACGTCTCCCAACAGGGAGGTGCCGTTGCAACCGCCACTGCCCAAGCAAATGGCGACGATCCCGTCACGGCCAGCAACCAGCTCAAAAAGGAGCCCATCAGCAAGGAAGCAGAGATCGAGAAGCTCAGAACCTCTGGCTCAATGACCCAGTCCGTCTCTGAAGTGGCTCGAGTCAAGAACTTCGACTGTATCCGCATGGGAGCCCATGAGATCGAGACGTGGTACTTTTCTCCATACCCGATCGAGTATGCTTCGATGGGTATGCTACACATTTGCGAAATGTGCCTCTCCTACTACCCCTCTGCATACTCACTGAAGCGACATCGAACCAAGTGTACGCTCACCCATCCGCCTGGAAACGAGATTTATCGCCACGAGGACATCTCCTTCTTTGAGATTGATGGCAGGAAACAGAAGACATGGTGTAGGAACCTCTGCCTCCTTTCCAAGTGCTTCCTGGACCACAAGACGCTCTACTACGATGTGGATCCGTTCCTCTACTACGTCATGGTTCAGCGAGACGATACGGGGTGCCACACCATCGGTTACTTCTCGAAGGAAAAGGAGTCAGCAGAAGGATACAATGTGGCTTGTATTCTGACACTGCCGCAGCACCAGCGATCGGGCTTCGGTAGACTACTCATCGACTTTTCCTACGAGTTGAGCAAGAGGGAACACAAGTTGGGAAGTCCCGAGAAGCCCCTGAGTGATTTGGGTCTGCTCGGCTACAGGGCGTACTGGGCAGAGACAATCGTAGGATATCTCCTAGACAAGGGAGACGGCGAAGAGACGTCTATCGATGAAGTTGCCTGGAAGACTTGCATTACCCATGCTGATGTGCTGCATACGTGAGTCAAGGCTGGAACGGCCCGTGAGGCAGGCAGCACCATCATTGACCTTTCCTCTACTCGACCCCTCTGACGTCTAGCTGCACATCGCTGAATATGCTGAAGCAGTTCCAGGGCAAACATTACCTCGTACTCAATGACCAGGTCCTGGCAAATCACGAGAAGCAAATGGCGAAGAGGAAAAGGAGGATCAAGGGCGAGAATCTCAGTTGGATACCGCCAGTGTAAGTGACCAATGAGATGGTGAGCGAAGTGAGTGCATGATCTGACATTTCCCTGTCTTCGCATGCCCCATCACAGCTTTTCTCGAGCACAATTGCAATTTGGCTGGTAGTGCCATCTGCTGCCCGTTGCTCATTTGCGCTACTGTACATCTACGGAAGTGGTCATATATCCCTGTACACCACCGCTTCAAGCATCATCCTCCGTCCCCCCTTGCCTTGCTACGCCAAGCTGTTGTAATATTATACCAATCCACCTCATAAGCTTCCCTTGTTGACCTGACATCGCCAAAGCACTTTGGATCCACGACTCTTTACCTTGCGGCAGACTCCTTCTCCACTTCTGCAGGCGTCTTTGTCCTCAGAGACAGGGCATGAAGACCGGAGGCGAACTCTGCGGGGGCGTTGGACGAGATGGAGGAGGGAGGGCAAGATGGTCAGGTTCGCGTTGCCCAAGCACATGCCCAGTGAATGTACAGATTACTCCGAGGCTGCGTCAGACTCACCGTCTGAGAGGAGGGAGTTGATGGACCGATGCCTTGCTATCTGCGTCTTTCCGCTGAAATCATCCGAGACGACTTCAATGTAGAAGTCTAGGTGAGGCATTAGGGGTACAAGGAGCGGAAGGAATGAGCTACATTCGCCTCCAAAGAGATAAGTATGCTTTGAGGCTACTGACGAGTCTCTCCATTTCCACCACCCTGTGCGGCCATGGCAGCGTGATGAGCATGTTTGCTCGAGTCGTTGCGGATCTTGAGGTGGGTGGGCTTAAAGGCGGACTGGATCTTGTTGCGCATGGACTCCTCGATGGACATGATGCGGGCGGTGGAGGTGAAGGAGCGGAGGCGAAGAGGCAGGGACGAGGCAGTGCTGGGGTTGAGTAGACGGCGTAAAGACGATGAGAAGGAGGCCATCGAGGTCGTGCAGGCTGTGTGGACGTAGGCAAGGAGAGGTGGTGCTGTGAGGATGCCGTGGTGCGTAGGAAGGACTGACTGACGGACATGAAGGACTGGCGGCGTGCAGCGGAAAGAGGACAGAGCAAAGCGCGTGGCCCACTGAGTCTACTTACCAAGCACCAAGTGTCTCTCGGTCACCTTTGCTTCCATTATCATCAAGCAAGCAGAGACAAGGTAGACCAGAGTATACAGGCGGACGATAGTGCGGTGTATAGACTGCGGAACTCCCTACCGTCCCGACGGTGTTCCTTGGTAAGATGGCCGCGTCCTCATCCTCGTCCATCTTCTCGCGCTACTTTCCTAAGGCCCACTCCACCTACACTCGCTACTCATCCTCACCTGTGGGCCGAGGGGTAGCATGGTCTTGGAAGAAGCGGCGCCCCATCCTCATCGGTGTGTCCCTCACTTACTTCGGCGCAAGCTACCTGGTAGTCAGACAAGAGGCAGCCAGGCGCGACACCATTCACCCCAATACCTATCTGGTATGGAAGTTCTACCCCGGCAGCATCGTCGAAGTCAGGGGCCCGCCCTCTCTCTCTTATCTTCTCGGCTCTTCCACTGCTGGCGAAGAGCCGCCGAAGATCATGGAGCTGCACGAGGCTGTCCGGGCCCTCAAGTTGGCTGCAAATGATCAGAGGGTGAGGGGACTGTTGGGTGATTTCAGTACTCTCAATTGGCCAAGCAACGTTCAGAGCGAGGGCTTGGGCCTGGCTCAGATAGAGGAGCTGATGCAAGCGATTGTGAGTGTCCTCTCAGCATCGGCAGAGCCGTGGGAGACCAGAGAGGCTGACGTGCCTTGCTCGGATATACCAGTACGAGTTTAAGGTCGCAAAAGACCTGCAATTCCCATCCTCTGCACAGCTCGCGATCACAGTAGAGGGCCAGCCGTCCCCAGCATCGGTGTCGGGACCCACCGGGGAAGCCTCCTCCGAGCCTTCAACCTCTCGAGACCTTACCACATCGGGCGAGAGCTCCACCGACCCTCAAGAATCTCCTGCTCCCCATCTCCCATCCACAATAGCATTCTGCGACACCTTCACATCGCAGTCCTCCTATCTTCTCGCTTCCGCATTCGACAAGGTCTACCTCCAGCCTTCAGGGAGCATACCGCTCACTGGCATCTCGGCCCAGATTCCTTTCTTTTCGCGGCTTATCTCCAAGCTTGGGATCAAGGTGCATACCGAAGCTCGGAGGGAATACAAGAGCATGATCAGTCAGTTCAAGGAAAAGGATGGTCTGCCACCACTCCAGGCTCAGAATGAGGCGCAGCTGCTGGGAGAGTTAAACAGAAGCGTTGCATATGCAATCGGGTCAAACCGCTTTCGAGGTACCGATGGAGACGACGCTGCTGACAAAGTGGTGGAATTGATGGGTAAAGGCCCGTATTCGGCAAAGGAGGCATTGGAACTGGGGCTGGTGGATGGGCTCAAGTACAAAGGCGAGGTAGTCAAGCTGCTCACAGGCCAAGATGCAGGCGGTGACATTGGCGAGGCGAAGAAGAAGAGCGAGGCAGACGTTGACGATCCAGCGTCGCTCAAGTTCAAGACGCTGCCTCACTATGCTCGTGTGACAGATCGTCTGCTCTTGTCCAAGCTCAAAGACGAGGAAGTCATCCCGGTAGCAGTATGCTACCTGCGCGGCTCAATTTCGGCCGCGCCAGGAGACTTCTCTGCTTCCACGGTCGTCAAAGGTCTCAAGGAGGCAGCAGAAGATGACGACGTCAAAGCTATCGTTTTGCGCATCGACTCGGGTGGTGGAGACGTCGTGGCATCAGATTCGATCTGGCATGCCGTCCGGAGAGCGAAGGAATCGTCGGGAAAGCCAATCATCGTCAGCTTCGGCAACGTCGCGGCTAGTGGAGGCTACTATGCTGCTACAGCTGCTGACGCCATCTACGCATCGGAGACTACTGTCACTGGTTCTATCGGAGTGGCTTCTCTGCGTCCGACGATTACTCGAAAGCTCTTTGATTGGGCTGGCGTTGGGTTGCAGACCTTTTTCACTGGGTCCAAGGCGCAATCCGTCCTGCACGACATGGACGAGGACCAATTGAAGAGGCAAACTCAGCACATCGACGAGACCTATGAGGACTTCCTCTCCAAGGTCGTACAGGGGAGGAAAATCGAGAGGGACGTCATCGAAGACATCGCTGGCGGTAGAGTCTTCACTGGCCTCGTTGCGTGGACCAAAACAAATCCCGACGCCCTCGAAGCGGCTGAAAAGGAGAGGGAACTGCATCGGGCAGGCGGTGGAAAGAGTGAAGCAGCCGCTTCGCTGATCCAACAGGTAGAGGAAGCTTTGGGTTTGTCGAGTCCCCAATCGACCGGACCGCCAGCTGCCTCGGTAGAGGGAGACACGCAGAAAGGCAGCGCCTCGTCGCCACCAACGAAATTCAAGCCGTCTGATGGGCTAGCCGAGTGGGATCTTCAGGACGTGACAAAGGAAGGAGAGCTCGACACCAGACTCGTCATCATGAAGGCCAAGAAGGAGATGCGAGCAGAAGATCAGGAAGGAGTAGGCAAGCAAGTCATGCAAGGTGCAGAAGTTGTGACAAGCAGAGTACAAGACGCTGTGCAAGGCCGCAAGGACGAGACACAACCAGCGTCTTCGATGGCTGCCGTAGACCTTGCCGAAGCCGCTCACCGCGAGGCCCTCGTAGCAAATGGTACAAAGAGCGAGAAGGAGGAGCAAGATCTGGCCGCTCGACACGCTCAAGAGTCGGAGAAGACATCGAGCCCATATGGTGCGGGCCTAGTAGACGCCATTGGTGGTCTTTCGGATGCCGCTGCGTGAGTTTCCAAATAGCGGACGAATGTTGCTGCTCCCATTCACTGACACATGATTTGTTCGTGCTATCCCAGGCTCGGCATGACGCTCGCGATCCAGGCGGAGATCAATGCGCTCATGGCCGAACAAGGTCTGGCTCGCGATGCGGCAATGATGGCCATCCGGCCCGGCTGCCATCGCGAGGTCGATCCTGAAAGCGGCATCGTCTCCCTCTCGACTGACATGAGGCTGATCAGATACCCGCGCGAGCGATCCTTCAGGGAGAGATTACGCGAGATGAACGCAAAGGGCGATCAGCCTTCTCTGAGTCTGGGAGGTGTATGGGGTACAATACAGAGTGAGATCGGAGGCATGATGGCCAAGAGCTTCCTGAGCTACCTGGGAGAGAACCCTGGAGCATTCTTGCGAGAGGTCGCAATGAGGGTGGAGATGAGTGCAAGGAGAGAGGAAGAGGAGATGAGGAGGGTCAAGATGGAATATGGTGGGGTCGGAGGACATGCGAGGCTGTGAAGATGGAGGAGGATGGAAAGCGATGGCGATGCAATATGCTTCACTTTCCTTCACTCAATTATCGCGCACAACAATCATAATGGCATACCGGCATTGAGCACTACCGTCTTTGTGTGACCAGGGGACTGTCTTGGCCCTGCGCTGGACGCAGAACACAATTCGACACTATCATAGACTATCCTCATCCTTTCAGCTTCATACGATACAACCTGGTCCCTTGGCGGTTGTACTGCTCTGTCCGCACAGGATCATCATCTTTGACGTCGTCGAAGTGGAAGTGCTTCTTAAGTATGGTGAAGAAGCGCTTGTCTGCTTTCCGGCGCTTCTGATAGCAGAACTGAGGGTGGAAGAAAGGTCGCTCAGATCAGCACAGGCTCAGAAGCGCAGGGGAGCTGAACCGGAAGTCTGACTCACCAGAATCTCTGTTTCTGTTGTGGATAGGTCAATCATCGTATCGACGAGGGGCTGAAAGGCTACTTCCAGGTATACGCAGTCAGCTAATAGGAGCACATCTGGCTTCTGCGGGACACTAGAAGGCAGAGGTTCGCCCCAATTTAGCTCTTCCACAAAGCAGGGATCCATTCCGGGATTGAGCTCGAGATTCTTCTGCATGAGTTCCATCATAGCGCTAGTGAGGGAGTCACAGAGTCATCCAAAAGCAGAGCCCGTGAGCGGGAATCTGCTCGTATCTCCGCTCCCTTCCTTCTCGGCACTCACTCCTGATCTGTGATCCACGTCTCGGCTCCAATGCCCATCTTTGCCAGCACAAAGCCGACCAATCCAGTTCCACTGCCTAGCTCTATCACCTTTTTGCCTTTCCATCGAATCGCCAAGTCTTCCCTCCTGCCTGTGAGATAGGCTCCTAACACTTCGGCTGCGGGCCAGATCTTGCCCCCACAACCATTCGTCACATCGCAGAGGAGTGTCACGTCGATGTGAGGGGAAGACGTACCCGTCTCTGGAGCATCACCATCGAGGAGATGGGGTGTCTTCGTCGGGTCGCCATAGTATCTGATCACCATCTTCTCGTCGATGATGCTGTGACGTTGCCCTGGGAAGAGCTGGCCGTCCGAGGAAGGTTCGTCGTCGAAGTCGCCTACATCTTGGTTCAAGAGGTGTGTGAGGGGGTTCAAAGGCGGTGTAGGAGGATCCTGCTGCCTCGAAGTGGTGGCCATGGCTGGCTGGCCGTCTATGAGAGCCTCTGTCATCGGTAGGCAAATAGACACAGATTGTGGGGAACCAAGAATTAAGGATCGGAAGGAACCAAGGAAGCGGCCAGAGCTCGGGCCAACGCCGGAGAGTGGAGCCGCGGCAAGTGCACTGCATACGCACCCCGCCAGGGTTCAATTCAATTTCAAGGTCCTTCGAATTCCTTCGTGCTCCACAGCTTCTCCCTTCCCACGTTCTTCTACAACACACGACCATACTTCTACTACACCCTCATGTCGTCCTCAAGCTCAGTTACCCCCATCATCCTCTGGTGTGTGCCTCGCTCAGTCTCCACCGCGACTGAGCGAGCCTTCATGACCCGGCCTGACACCCGCGTGTGGCATGAGCCTCTAGGCGACCCATTCTACTTCTCTTCGAAGCGTCAGTGCCTTCGCTACACCGAGGATGAAGCCAAGAAGAGCGAGCATTGGGAGAAAGACATCGTCGATGTGATGCAGTCCCTCCTTGACCCCGAAGTGGCCAACAAGGGCAGCGGCAAGGATGCAGAGGTGGAGTACATTTTCATCAAGGTCAGTCGGGCGAATGGCGTGATTGGCATGCCATCACGATACTGACGGTCCGGGCTCCCCGCGTGTGTGTTTTCGACAGGATATGGCGCAGTACATCATGCCTGCAGAGACCCTCAAGAACATTCATCCCGGATCTAGAGTCTACCACACTCCTGGTCAGGCCGGCATCAAGGCCCATGGTATCAACCCCGACGGCGAAGTCCTGGAGAACCCCACGGTCATCCCTACCGAGCTCATGCGTCGCTTCAAGCACACCTTCCTCGTGCGAACTCCGCAGAAAGCTGTACCCAGCTACTGGAAGTGCGTACAGGAGAAGGCCGCTGGCTTCGAGTACTTTGATGGAGCCGAGGCCGGCTTTGAGGAGCTTCGTCTGCTCTACAAGTGGATCTCGAACCCCAACTCGACTTTCAACAAGGCTCCGGCGGAAACTTCCGCCCAATTTTCTGGAGCCATCCAGACACAGCCTCACCCTCCGCCCCTCGTGGATGCCTCGGTCCTGTTGGCCCACCCCACTGAGACGATCAAGCATCTGTGCGATTCTACCGGCGTCCCCTTTGCACCCTCGATGCTCTCCTGGGAGTCCGGTCCTCAGGCCGAATTCCAAAAGTGGGGCACTTACCACAAGGGAGCCGAAAACTCCACTGGCTTCAAAGCAGAGACGCCCATCGATCGTCAGGCCAAAAAGGCGGCCAAGAAGGCAGAAATGGACAAGTCAGCAGCAACTACTGGCGCTTCAAGTCAGAGCGAAGTGGAGCTGAGGAAGGAAGACCGATTCCCACAAGAGGTCAAGGACACTATCACGAGGAATATGGAGCCATACAATTGGCTTTACGCAAGAAGGACGATCAAGGGTGCTGACAAGGGCAGCAGCGCCTGAGTTGAGTATGTATGGACATTTCTTTCTCCCTTCTCAAGACCAACGCATCGCGACTCATCTGGATCCACTGGCCAAACATGACCAGTTCAACGTCAAAACAAGTAGCAAGAACCATCACAACAGGATAAGTAGTTTCGAAATGTTCCGAAAGTGGGAAGGGCTGTCGTATAGTAGGCTTGGAGGACGCACGAGAGAGGAAGGACCAACGGCAGAGGCGAACGTCATGATCGTCATCCTGTCATTACACCTTTTATCTCGCCTACCACAAAAGCTCAGCTGCTCCTCCTCCGACCCGATTGGATCACCTTATCCTGACCATCGGCTTCGGCGAGGGCTGTTGTCTCGTATTATTTCTTCGGCCGTCTCTGAGTGAGACTGAGTCACTGACAATTAGGGACATGGAGATGGAAGTGTTCGTGACTCACTGACCGATGAGTCTTTGCTAACATTTGTGAAGTGACGCGACAGGTAAGAGGCTGATAGGGGAGATCTGTAAGCTGCTCTGATTAATATCTGTGTCAATATGATCGGTGAGCCTCAATATCGGCTGGGCTCTCTTCCCGGCTAGGTCAGAGCCGCTACACCAGAGCTGCTTGACTGAGAGTGAGTTTGTGACTCCTGAGCAGAGGACAGGAGCCATGTCAGGCGTCGTCGTCGTCGTCGTCGTCATGGTTGACGCTGTAAGAGGCTCCTCGCTCTACCTACCCATGCACACTCACTCGCCTGTGCCTACGGGCTGCTTCCGTCGCGTCATCGGCTCCGCGCTGCGTCGGGCGCACGGCCGAGGCAAAAGATTTTCCAAAAGTCCGCCAGAATTTTGAAGCAGGGCGGGGCGGCGGGGCTGACCGAGGGGGGAAGGACGAGGCGGAGAGCAAGGAGGATCACCTTGCACGACGACTGCCATCTGCTCATAGTCTACCATCAGCATCGTTAGCAATGGCAGCAGCAGCAGCAGCGTCGTCATCATCATCATCCTCGGCCATGCCCGTAGTAGCCGCTGGGTCCTCGTCTACCATCACCTCGGCCAGCCTGCTCCCCTCGCTCAACGCACACAACACCTCCTTCCTCACCCTCTTGAACCTCATCCCGCCCAAGTACTACCTCGCCGCCAATGAAGACGACGATGAAGATGGAGAGGGAGGCCACATCAACACAAAGTACATGAAGAACAAGAAGAGGAAGACGGCAGAGGAGGTCAAGAATGCCAAGCTGGCTGAAAAGGACAAGAAGAGGGCAAAGCTGGACCCAGAGAATCTCAAGACGGTCAGCCAGGTGCAAGAGGAGAGGGCGAGGGAAGAGGCCAGGAAGGAGCAGCAAGGGGACAGCGATGAGGATGACGACGACGAGGACGAAGACTCTGAAGGAGAGGACGTGGACGATGACGACGATGACGATGAGGACATGGCTGCTGGAGACCTCGAATTGGACGACGAAGACGATGGCCAATCGCAGCGGAAGCCAGCTGCACGCACACAGCTTCCCACCACGAAAACCACTGCCCCTCCTCTCACCCAGCAAGACTCCATCTCCACCCTTCGGGAGCGTCTACAGAACAAGATTGCCGGCATGCAAAATCGTCGGAGGACGCCTGGAGGGCCCTCAGGTGCTAACATGGTCGGTCTGGGAGGTGGCATTGCCGCTGCAAGCGAGGCGGATGGAGATGACGATGCTTCTGTCGCCTCGACACGGGACGAGCTTTTGGAGGAGCGAAGGAGGCGGAGAGGTGAAGTGAGAGATAAACGGAGGAGAGCCCGAAAGGAGGCCAGGAGACAAGAGGAGGCGGCCTCGTCTTCAGATCAGAAGAAGGGTCCAAACGCAAAGAAGCCCTCGACTTCTGCCGGTACGGGCACGAGTCTCCCGCCTTCGCTCCTCGTGAGGGACTCCGATTCTACATCCAAGCAAGCCAAGGCCTCATCGAGCTTCCCAGTCTCTTCAGACATCAACTTTTCGTCTCTGCAGTTCCCAGAGGACCCTACCTCTAGCAAGAAGCGCCGCGACAAGCAGGCTCTGCCTTCCAACCCCAAGCAAGCACTCGAGATGTTGCAGGCTCGCAAGGAGAAGAAGCAGAGTGCCGCCGCCGATGGTGAGGCCAGCAAGGACGACGATCCTGAGAGGTGGGCCAAGGTCCAGGCCGCGGCGCGAGGAGTCAAGATCCGCGACGACGAGAAGATCCTCAAGAAGGCTATCAAGAGGAAGGAAAAGGAGAAGTCCAAGAGCTCCCTGGAGTGGAACAAGCGCGATCAAGACATCAAGGATGCAGAAGCTGCCAAGCAGAAGAAGCGCACAGAGAATCTTGCCAACAGGAAAGCCAATAGCAAAAAGGGAGGCAAAGCTGGTGCTGCCGCCAAGAAGAAGACGGGCGGAGCGATTGGAGGTGGCAAGAAGACCAAAGACAGGAAGTTTGGCGGGAGCGGTAGCAGTAGCAAGATTGGAGGCGGAGCTAGTAGAGCCGGCTTCGAGGGAAGGAAGCTTGGCGGTGGCAGTGGCAGGGGAGGCGCCAAGTCGGGCGGCAAGGGCAAGGGTCGAGGAGGCAAGTAAGCGCATTTTTCGAAAATGTCACCCGCCTGAGGCAATACACTATCTAATCAGACCTTGTTGCCTACTTCCGCGATGTGACTATGGTATAAGGATGAACGAAATTGGCTGATGGTATAACGGTATCTGAGCTGAGGAGCTGCAAGGTAGAATCTTCGTCCATCCCACTCAGCGGACCACCCTCCTCTTTCCGCCTGTCCTGCTCGAAGCTCGGGATGAAGCGGCTGGAGGTGAAGACATGCCTGCTGGAATCAGAGAGGCCAACGGGGCAATGCGACGAAGCGTTGCCATGGCTTCGGGGGCTCCTTTGAGTGGGCTCACGGAAGCAGACGTGGGACTGGAGGCGGCAGGCGAAGTGACGAGAAGCGCACGCCCACTGGCACGGGGTGGCGTAGACGCGGCTGGAACATCACGCACAAGCGAGCCGGGTGCGGGCGATATGCTCGACTCACGGCGTTGGTGTTTGGACGGGATGTTGCTTCTGGAAGGCGTAGGGCCCCCCCTGGCAGTGATGTCTGCATCGTCCGAGGGATACGAACGTGCTGACTTAGCTTCGTCAGGGAGAAAGACTCTTTGGGGAAGCGAGAGACAGTTGACATATTGGTGTCCGGTACCAGCGCCGACGACAGCGCTGTGGACCTCTGCGTCTTTGCCTTTACCCAGTGTAGAGACCATAAGCGTCGGCGAGACTTCGATCGCCTTGGAGCCATATACTGCTTCTTTGGCCTCATCGCTTCCTTCTTCACTGGTCGTCGTACCAACGACGAGGCTGGGAGAGGAAGATCGATCCGGTGGGCAGGGGTCATGACAGAGGCGTGCACCAGACTCGGGCAAGTGCGGCGAGAGGGCTGCGAGCAACGCTTCAGATAGTCTGTAGCATGACGGTCCCGCTTCGCGAGACTCGTCGACGCTGGATCCGAGGGTATGACAGGCACGAGAAGAGGCCGTCCTCGAATCAGTGGAAGTTCTCTTGCTGCTGCGAGCGGCTCGCTCTCGAGCATCGTGCAACAGCTTTCCTGCCACTTCTACCCGGCCATTCTTGACAATAGCTGGCGACAAGAGGCCATTACCTTCTGTCAGAGTGGGCGAGTCTGCGATGACCTCTTCGGCTTCACTCCTTGTACTGAATCCGCGCTCAAGACGCTGTAGTATCTGCCGAGTCTGTTCCTCCTCTGAGAGCGGCGCGGACTCCTTAGAGTAGACTGACGGTTCTGAAGGCTCAGCGCTGCTGATGATGACTGCAGGGGCAGCGCGCAGTTGTTGCTGCTGGCTTACAAGACGATGGCGTACGCCGTTTCTTCCCGCTTCAAGAACATGGGCAGAGGCTAAGCGTCGTGAGGGCTCAGAGGGCCCTGGCGCCATTGCTAACGAGGTGGCTCGGTAGTTGTAAGAAGTCTGACGACCGATATCTGTTGCCTTCGATCCGCTACCGCAGGATAAGAGGTAGCTACTTGAGCCCTCTTGATCTAGTGTAGACGGTTGCCTTCGGTGCCACTGGCTTTGTTTACGCTGTTCCTTTCTCACGCTGTCGGCTACAAAGTCAGGCACGTCTTCTCGCCACGAAGCTACACGAGTTTCCGGCTGAGATCGACGGGGTAGCGCCGCCAGCCGATTGGAAGCAGCTCGATCCGCATCGAAGAGTGTGTACCCTCGAGGAGCTGCCATCAGGTCGGGAGGCGGCGCCGTGAATGGCGCCACAGCGTTTGCCGCGTTGACAAAGGGTATTAACCAAGGTGTATGGCCAGTGGGCGTAGGCCGGAGAAAGGACTGAAGATCTGCTCTTCGTGGTAGTCCCAGCGATGATTCCTCCTCTTGGTGCTGTGCGCTACCCTGGATGTGTGAGCAGGGCACAAGGAGGGTCAGATGGATTCACAGGATGGGCAGATTCCATTCGAGCTCGGCCATACCCACGGTGAAACTGCTCTTGATCCACCTCCACACTCTGCTCGACGTAGTGGATTGACCAGACACGCGGCGGGCTGCATTACCCTCGCGAAGGTTGACCTCATCGTAGCCCCTCTCAGTGTCCACCTGTGCCGTGACCCGGGGCTCTGAATGGCTATTGAAGATAGTGGAGCTGCTGTCGATGGGTCTGCGACCCTTCTTTTGAGGCAAGGTGGGTATGATTCTACGAGTAGTGAAGAGGGTGCTTGCGGACCCGCCATGCTGGCCATAAGGTCCGCTCTGCTCGACGGCCGTGGTGGGCGAACGAGGGGGTTGTGGTATGGCTACGCCTCTGACGTGCAAGTCGATGTCTTTCCAGCGCTGATTGAGACCGATGATGCGACCCAAGATGGCAAAGAAGAGGCTGAAGACGACCAGCCCGCCCAGGACGATGGCGATGATGAGGAGAGCTTCCTTGGTCCAGGCCTGATGAGATGGCGTGACCACGGCGGAGGAAGTGGCCAGAGGCGCCGCTGATGAGGTCGACGATGGTGCTTGATCGGTTTGCGAAGAGGCGGCAATCCAGGCATAGTCTGGCGGGGCTTCGGGTTGAGACCTAGCACAGTAGCCTGAAGGAGGGCTGTACCATGGTAGCACGGGCATCTGGGAAGTGGAAGCGGAAGAGGTGTGACCGGAGAGGGTGGCGAACGTGCTATTTCCCCCCGACTGAGGAGCGAGCACGAGAGCAAGAGGGGGTGACGAAGCCTCGATGGATCAAGGGATGATGAGCACCTGACTGTAGATGGTAGCATGGGTCAGTGGAATGGTAGAGGTGGGAGCAACACTGAGTCTTCGGCGTCTGTCCCTGCTATCGTCCGCTCAGCGTCTGTCCGCCCTCTGCCTTGTGTGGGACCATCCATCGAGACGCGCCTGTAGTGGACCAAGGTGACAGGCGCAGGCGAGGCAGCTCTCCTTTTCTCTGGTCTGTACCGCGCATCGTGGGTGAACCACCGCCTTGATGCCTTGCAATGCTTCTGTATCACTCGTAGCGTTGACCTGGCTGCCATCTCTTGTGCTTTAAGAGTATGTCTCCGATCCCTTCTGCCAGTGTGACCATTGCGGTGGGCCTGGTATGACAATGTACCCTGGCGCGGCAGAGGGGTGTTTTGACTGGGCGTGTGTGCCTCGACGCGTGTGGCTGGTGCCGTGCATCAACTCCCGCCGCCTCGCGCTTCCTGTTCCTTCCCATCCACGTCCGACCATCGAACCACCATCCGCCCCTTCCTTCCCCCTTTGGTTCAAGATCGCATATATATACCCCCATTGGACTCGACTCTACTCTCTTGACGATCACGAGTATCTCACGTGAGCAGCAGGTCACTCTCTGCTCGATCTCGACGACAGAGGAACTTGACGCGGGCACCGCTTCATCCCTGGTTACGCCTTCCTAATCATCGGGCCCAAGACGCGTGACGATCATCATACCGCGCCTCGTCTTGGTCTCACACCGCCGAGATGAACAGTCCGCGACGGTCCTCGAGGCGGCCTACCCTCGGAGACACCTCTACTGATACATTCGCGTCGTCTCCTGGCTACCTTCCCACAAATCGAGCCAAATTTGGAACCAATAACAATAATGGCAACGGACAACGCAGATTCGAGGATTTCCTGGACAGCAGCAATCACGACGCCGCAAGCAACACAAGAGCATTTGCAGCCAGTGACGCCTTCCCTGCGGCAGCATCGTCGTCAGAAGCAGACGATACATTTGCAGCAGCCATTGACAAGGGCAGGAAGAGGACGGCAGACGAGGAATTGAGGGCACCACCAAAGGCAAAGGAGGCGGCAGTGACCAGGGCGCCGAGAAAGAGTGAGTCAACAGGAGGCCATCGATGCTTTCTCCGATGAGGTGGAGCTGACGTCTGGAAATTCTTACCGCTGCAGCCTTTAACGAAGAGGCGGATGCATCCGGCTTCGTCTTTACGGTTGAGCCCAGGAAGCTGCCGAACGCGAGCCTCAGCAACCAGGCTACAGCATCTTCGTCCTCCGCCTCTAGCATGGGTCCTCCCGCTCTGCCGACTGCATCGCGTATCCGAGAGCCTCTGCCATCAGATACCGTCGGCGAGACGCCCATCAATCGCAAGAATCGCCTCTTCCGCTCGGGCCCCCTTCACCCATCCACGCCCTCTAGCAGCAGACCACGGAGCGGCAAACCCCCTCCTGCCTCGCGATCCAGCTCAGCCAGTCGTCGCACGTCCTTGAATCTCAAAGGCGACCGCAGATCTTCCAGTCTTCGAGATGGTACACCTGCCTATCCCCATCCTGGGGTGCCAGATAAGGAGCTATATCGCCATTGTGCGGACAACATCCCTCCAGTTGTCAGGATGACTCATCTGGCAGCATGGACACTGGAACGGTCCCGGTCTAAAGTGCTGGAAACTGTGCCGTCCACATCCATTGGCTCCTATGTAGGACCAAAGGGCAAGAGGACCCAGAAGGAGCAGGAAGCCGAAGGTAGCAGTCAATGGACTGCCCAGGAGAGGAAGTTGCTGGAGAGATGCCGTCCGTCCTTGGAGAGGGTCCTTCTAGACACATTACGCGACTTGAACGGCCAGACGATCAACCTCAGCTGGCTCAACGTCAAGAAGGACCCGCGCGCCTCGAATGCGTCCACGACGAAGCGCAATCCACGCAACGAGGAGAATCGAGCCATCTCTGAGCAGCTCTCCTCCCTCGTTGAGACCCTGAGGGCCGAGAACACACGTTGGGAAGCCGAGTCGAGCTCAGTTGAGGCGTTTGAAAGGGAGACTGCAGAGCTGAATCGCATCAGGTCGAACTTTACGATGGACCAGCTAGGCTCCATGGCCTCTTCGGATGTGACTGCGCCCCCACGCATCCCTGCTGAAGGCAGTAGTAAATCTTCAGCTTCGACAGCAGGAGGTGCTGCCAAGGCAGTCGAGTGGGATCTCGACGATTTGGACGAGGAGAGCAGAGCGATGATGAGGGACGCGCAGCGTGCATTGGCCAGAGAAGAAGGCTGGCTGCCACCCTCTTCGCAGGAGACGGAGCTGGTCGAGGTAGCTGTTAGGGCTGCTGCCGCTGCGCAGAAGAACGCAATCAACGGTGCGGGCGGAGACAAGAGGAAGAGTCGGATTGTGGCTGCCGAGACTTCGAAAGCGCTGATAGAAGGCTCAGAAAAGGATGCGAGATGGAAAGACTTCGAGTTTCAGGTGAGCTCAACACGAGTACTGGTAGTCATTAGATCGAATGTGACAGCGAGCTGACCCATCCTTCTCTGGCCCTTGCTCTCAGACGGACGTCCTCCACTCCTATACCCATCTCCTGGATCGACTCAACTTGTTGTCCTCTTTGTACACCAGCGCCACCTCGTCTCGGGCAGCTCAAGCGCTACACCAGCTCGCCTTCGCATCCGGTGACGTCCTTGGCTCCTCGTCTTCCGCCTCTGCCGACCTGCCTGGCTCCTCTGGCTCAGCAGGCGCTACGGCGGACAATCGTTCAGCGGGCCGCGAACGCAAAGAGAAGCTGCTCAGGGGCATCCGCGAGTCCATCGGGCCCGTGAGGAGGCTCGAGCTGGAGGCTGAACTCAGAGCTCGAGGTGACGAGGACGAAGAGAGACTCATCAAGTCCGAGGGGGGAGGAGGGGCAGACGACTCTGGAATCCACCTGGCGGACCAGAGCGCAGTAGACCTGTTCAGAGCCTTTGCCAGCGGGGGATCCACCTCGAGGGGTCGCAAGAGCGGAGCTGGGGTACCAGCGAGCAGGGGAAGTCTAGGCGCGGCGGCAGCAGCAGCGCCCATCAGTGGCAGGCAGAGTAGTGGGTTGGGTGGTGAAGGGGCAGGGGCACCTTCCTCTGCTCTTGCTACGGCTGCAGCATCAGCTCCTGCTGCAGCCATGCGACGTACCACAGGAAGAAAGAGCAGACGCTGAGGACGGGAAAGGCCCTCCATGCACTTCTGGTCACTTTCACGACTGGCCTGCCTCAATCCAATTCGGCTTCCACTCAATGTCTCCACCCTTGTTGTAACAAATGTCATCGATCTATGCATCTCTCGGGTCTCGCATCCTTGCGTACGCGGAGGCCTGACGTGTGCGTTGAATTGGACTCATCTATTGCGCTAACTCCCGTCTTGGCCATCTCTGAAATCATACTTTGCCGCAGTGCTCAGGCTCAATAATACGCTCCCTTGCCCGCATAAGCCCCCTCTGTATCCTCGCCTCCCTCAGCACCAATGAGGAAGCCCTGTCCACCGGATTCGCCCGTGCCCTCACGCCCGAAAGCAGCCTTGGGCGGCGTCCACCCACCCCCGCCCCCGCCCTGGTCAAAGGTCAAAAGCCCCCTCGGCGTGGGGATCTTTCCTGACAGGTCCGCCACGCTCGGCAGCACCTGAAAGGAGACGGAATCATTAAGTCGCTTGTAGAGGTTGAGGATGTGCGCGATACTGCTCGTGTGCGAAGAATAGATCATCGAATGGTACGTCTGCAGACGGGCGCGCAGCGGATGGCTCGAAGAGGTGCGATTCTGCTCGCTCTCAGGGTGCTCGAGCTGATCGGGTTGCGAGGAGTCCTTGCGCCCCAGCCTGGCTCGCATACTCTTACTGTCGTCCTTGCCGATGAATTCTTCCAGTGGTGTACTTGGACCGTCGGTGAGCTTGTCGAGCTCGCCTTTGGCCATGCGCAGGTAGACGACGGCCTCGGCGTGCCTGCCCCCGGATCCATCCTCCCCTGACTCGCCCACAGAGAGGGCTAGATACTTCAGCGAGATGGAGCGATATAAGGGAGCTATTGAATCCAGATACTTGAACAACCTTGAGGTCACGGGCGCTAAAGACGGTCCTGGGTAGGAGGGATGTGTAGAAGAGGAGGCGTTGCCTCGATAGGAGCGCGATTCGTGGGCAGTCGGCCTGGCGCGGTGCGGGGTCGAAGCCGAGGAGAGCAGAGCTGGCTCGGGCGAGGGAGAGATGGAGCGATGTACATACTCTGGTTCTTTTTCCTTTCTGTTCTTGCCTATGCCGAAGCGCTTGAATTTAGATGACAGCTTTGACTCATCTACGGCAGTGCCGGAGCCACTTGTTCCTGCACCTCCGAAAAGCTTTCTGCCTGCTTTTCCATTGCCGCCTTTACCGCTGGCGCTCTGTAAGTTGAGCTGCGCCTGTTCTACTAGCCGTGGTACCTCCAGACATAGCTTGGCGAGTAGGGACGCCGAGGGGTGGCCCTTTGGTAACGGCGGAGGTTCGTGCTGCGTTGAAGTGATGGTGCAGGTAGCAGGAGAGAGAAGCAGGCGCAAAGAGATGAGAGTGGGCGGTAGCTGGTGGAGGCTGCAGGAAGAAGAGCCCACGGAAGGAGTGATTGAGAGCTGAGGACTTTGAACACACTCTCTGCCACTTCGTATACTCACGCTTGCAAGCCCTCAAGCAACCGCCGCCTACTGCTCTGCCACTCCTCATTCCAATCTTGCCGTCCATCGGCTTCGTTACTCTCAGCAGCGTCAAGATCTCGTATCATCCACTGTACCACCTCGACTGCCTTTTTGCCAAAGGTGACACCCCTCTTGAGTATGTTCTCGTAGTCTTTGCGCTGAGTGTCCATCAACGACTTGGTGTACTCGTAGCTACCTACCGATATCGACTGCAGTAGAGCAAGGTTGCTCAATGCCAGCGAATAGAGGATCAGAAGATTGTCCAGTTCAAAGCGCAAGGACGAGGATGCGAATGGTCCATGTTTGGCGTATGCTGAAGAGCTGCTGCCGCCGATGTTGAGCTTGTTCGAGGTTGGCGAGCTGGGAGAGAGGGGAGCAGGCCACGCAAACCAGGCTTCGGCCCTCCATACCAGATCATCAGTTTGAGTGCCATTGTAAATGGCGATGAGGTGCGGAAGGTAGTCCTCAATGGCGGACACGAGTTTGACTTCGAATGTGCCACCAGGCGTGCCGCCGGAGCACGATGCAGCCGCTAGGCGAGCGTTGGAGAGGACGCTGCGAACTCCCTCACGAGCGTGGGTGGCCTTTGCGAGGTGTGCAGTGGATATAGACGAAGTGGATGTGGGTATAAGGCAGCTGCTGAAGTCTACAGGGTCCGGAGGCGGAGGCAGAGGATGAAGATACATCCTGGCAGAAGCGACGACGGCGAGGGTCAGTGGAGATTGAGTAGAAGGTGAAGGAGTAAAGGAAGGATTCCCCGTCCAGTGCCAAGACGTCGACAATGCGGGGAGCCTTGCTTGGCGGGCGGACCACTCAACCAACGGAAAGGAGACCGGAGTCTGAACCGCCATCGACGACGGAAGCGTGGAGGGACACGACGACTGACACACACTCACACTCACACCAGTAGACGACGACGACGACGACGACGCTATTAGACTCCCTCGCAGCTGCTACTCATCACCACCACCCTTGGGGAACCACGTTTACTCGCGATGTCGACGACCACTCCTGGAGCTGCGCTGGTGTCCACGTCAAAGGCAGCTGGCGTTGGCGTCTCTCTCTCCCTCCACCCACTGCCCATCCTCACCATCTCCGAGCACCTCACCCGAGCTCGATGTCAGCAGCAAGGCGACGACGACGGATCCGTACAAGTCTACGGAGCTCTCTTGGGCACGCAGAATGGTAGAGAGGTGGAAGTACACAACACATTCGAGATCAAGATCGACCACGCACCCAGTGCACAGGGGGAAGCAGGGCCATCCACTCCTCCTCAGGTCAACCACACCTTCTTCAAGAGTCGACAAGCGCAATTCAAGCAAACGTTCCCGACCTTTGACTTTCTAGGCTGGTATTCCAACGGCGCTCAGCCTACCCAGGCAGACATGGACATACACAAGCAGCTCCTGGAGTATAGTGAGGCCCCCATCTTCTTGCAATTCACCCCTTCCAAGGCAGCCATCCTCTCCTCTTCGCGAGGAGGTGAGCTACCTCTGCAGCTCTACGAGTCGCAAGTAGAGATGGCGGCTGCCACTTCAGACTCGGTCAGCGCTGATGCTGCGAAAGAGGCAGCTGCGGAGAAGGCTGCGCAGCTGTACTTTGTAAAGAGCAACTACAAGATCGAGACTGGAGAGGCGGAACGCATCGCCGTAGACTATGCTTCGAAGCCCAGTGACGGTAGTGGCGACGCGGGCGATACCGGAGCAGGTGAGTCATTTCGGAACCCTCTTTGCGAGACTGTCGGCTACTGAGCGCTGACAGATGACGTTGCACATCGACCTCCTTGCCTTTTCCTTTCCACCCACAGTCATCTCCTCACTGACGACGCAGCAATCTGCAATTAGAATGCTATCCGATCGCATACAGCTCGTGGCCTCATACATAGCAGCAGTCCGTCAAGGTACTGCTGCCAGGGACGAAGAGGTGCTAAGGTCCGTCAAGAGCGTCTTGGCTCAAATGCCTGCCATGGACAGTGAAGAATTCAGGAGTGAATTCTTGAAGGTAAGTTCGGCAGAGCGAATTGATGCCGCCCCACGAAGGAGGTGTCTCGGATTCAACTGATCGTCACACCCGTCCGCCCGCCCGCCCTACATCAGGAATATAATGACGTCCTCCTCACCAGCTTCTTGTCGAACATGACCAGAGGACTCAGCTCCCTTAACGAGGTATGTATGCCTCTAGACTGGTTCAATCTCCACGTTCGAGCCTCTTCTACGACTGACATCCTCAATCTCACTCTACCACAGCTGGTGGACAAGTTCGAGGTGGTCTCCTCCTCTGTTGGTCGCGACATGTCTCCCGATGGGGAGACGGGTGGAGCCGAGAAGGGGAGAGTTCTCAGAGAGAGGCGAGGGAAGGGCGCAGGTCGAGCATAAGTGGAACTTTGGCAGGCGTGCTCGTCTTTCGTTTGTCACGTCGGTCTGTCATGTCAGCTACCCCAATGTCATTCAACCTCCTTTCATCTCGCCTTCGTCAAAGGAGACCTGGGAACTCATTGAAGCTCGTGGACCATGGTGAGGTCCGAACAGCTTGGGCGAGGGAGTGAGTGGTCCTTGCGCGCGCGTGGGCCAAGCGCCTCGCCTCGCCCTTCCGCCAGTGGGATCTTCCTCACACCTCCCCTCTACAGCATCACTCCCTCTGCACATCTCGTACCTCATCGACTCCCTATTGCACTCGCAGCTAGCAGAACAACTCCTGACTCGTACACCTCGGTTAGTATCTGGCCGCAGTACCTCGGCAGGCGATCTACTCGCCTCTTCTCTACACCACCTTGGAGCGAGGAGTCAACTCGCGTCGGCCATCCCGGCCATCCCCGCTCCTGCTTCATCCTGCCGTCCAAAGGTTGAGGTGACGACGCAGCAGCAGCAGCAGCAGCAGCAGGCGGGAGCAAGAACTTTTCCACAATGTCATGATAGCATGGTGGAGGGAGGATCAATCAAAATGATGAACACAAACAAACTCTACTCTAATTTTTTCCAAGAGCGTGGGGTAGTATCCACGCAAGGACTAGACACAATGTCTGCTTTTCTGATTCGATCAGGGTCGAGCGAAGGCTCCTCCTGTCGTGGGCGGACGAGGAGGGGACGGCGAGATTGAACGGGAGGCGGCCACGGACAGAAGCTGGCAGGAAGCTAGCATGCAGACAGGTTCTACGTCTTAGCTGCGAGTCACTCGTTTACACCTCTGCCACTGGCTTCCTCTCCCTCCTCTTCTCCCCATCATTTCTGCCCACCAGTATCAGCCGTACCGCCCAGAACCAGGACCGGTAGAAAGCATCAATTCGGACGAAGACAAGATGGCGGCCGCTTCGCAGATTCTACCTCTGGAGCTCGTAGACCGGTGTGTGGGCAGTCCAATCTGGGTAGTGATGAAGTCCACCAACAGGGAGTTCACAGGGACGCTCCTGGGCTTCGATGACTTTGTCAGTGAGTATGCTGTGACGGACTATCTCCGTCGGTGGGCAAAGATGGGGCTGGGACAGGGAGGGCGGGACACTGCTACTCTTCTGATACGGGCACAGGTGCTGAATCTTCGACCACCTCATCGTATTCGTCCTAGATATGGTCCTGTCGGATGTGACCGAGTAGTGAGTGGAAGGGCAGCTGGATACACATTGCTCAAACGATGGCGTGTACTCAGTGCTCTTCATCTTTCCCGAACCCCTTCTCTTTGACAGTGAGATGACACCACAGGGCAGAAAGGCGACGAAGCTGAAGCAGACCCTCCTCAATGGAAACAACATCGCTCTGGTGAGTCGACATCGCACGATGCGCTGACCATCAGATCTTGTAGGCCTGTAGCTCTACCACTTCTGACTTCTTTCGCTACCCTCATCCTCCTCAACTTGCAGCTCATCCCGGGAGGTGAAGGTCCAGAAGCATAGAGACGTAATTCCAAAGGAGCTCTTTCTTCGTCTATGACCCAATCTGGGACTGTACTTGTATCCTACCCATTCTTTACTTCAATACAGGCTTCCTGTCTTGCCACTCGGCTGCCTTGTGACTGGACCGGATACATACTCTCTGCGCCGATCGACCCCACAGCCATTGCGCCTCGAACCGCTCTGCCCGGGCGGCCACCGTAGACCTGCCTTAGCTTGACTATACCATCAGCACAGCCTTGTCTTGTCTCAAAGACCTTTTTCAGGGCACGTGCGCATAAGCAGGATGGCGACGATGACCGTCCAGGAGATGAGCGCTCCTATTGTGCAGCCGCAGAAGGCGCTCAATACCATGGCATGGCGAGCGGGTCAGTACGATCAGAGTGTGTTCATTGGAAGCCCGAATCCGGAAGCCGGGCGTAGGCGTCGGCACCCCTTGGCGCACTCTCGTTCGAACGCATTACAAGGGGAGCAGGTCCAGCAAATCGCTTTCGCACAGTCTGCTGTCTGTGCGAGCAAGCATCCTGGTGATCTCGTGCTCTTGACCACGGTCTTCCAGTAAGCCGGTGCCAGAACCTTGTCGTTGTAAAGACGGCGCATCCCAGGGTCTAGTATCGGGTGGGGTCCTCCTTCCTTCCTTTCCTTCCAGTAGCGAGGGTCTAGTATCGGGTGGGGTCCTCCTTCCTTCCTTTCCTTCCAGTAGCGAGGGTCTAGTATCGGGTGGGGTCCTCCTTCCTTCCTTCCTT